GACCATCTTTTCCACAAGATCCCTGCATTGACTCTCCCAGATGTACTTCTTACCATAGCTTTCCCGTAGAGTTTGACATTCTGCAATTGCTGCTTCGCGACCCTTTTCTCGGACACTTTTAATAGCTTCAGCCCACTTCTCTGGTTCCTCAGAATCCACAACCCAAGGGGTACTCTGAGGAAGAGCATCTTGCAGAGCCTCTCCAAATCCACTGGTTTGTGTGACAAGAAAAGGCCGACCAGCAGATAACACTTCCAAGGCGGTTAAACCAAATCCTTCCGATCTTGAAGGTATAATGGCAAGATCTGCTGTAGATAGCAGGGTGGCAAGATCTCTCCGATTTTCAAGAAATGGTTTCACAATCAGCTGATTTTTCCTTAAGCCGTACCCAAGCAGTTTCTCTGCCACTTGTTTCTCGTTTCCACTTGGTGCACCCACAAAGACGAGCTGGTAACTTGTGTCATTCAGTTGAGCGACTGCTTTAGCCGCAATGTCGAAACCCTTGAGTTCAAAATCTTCTGAGTCGCCTCGTCCAAACAACAGAATATTGAACCTCTTACCTTCAACTATGGAAAGCTTTAACGAGGATAATTCAGAGAAGATGCCTGGTGTAAGATTGAATATATGTTTTCCGGATGAGCTAAGGTAACGTGAGTAAGACTCCCAAAGCCTTGGTCCAATAGTCACCACTAGATCAGCACGCTCGCACAGTTTGATTTCATTCCACTGTTTTTCGTCACCCTTAGCTATGGCATTGTCACAATCTGAGTACGTTTTCAACATGGAAAGTTCCTCAGGGGCAGTATGTACAACTTGAACCCACTTACACTGATGGCTTTTCTTTATTATTTGAGCGTGTTTACCAAGTTTTACACCATGGCCAATGATTATGTCTATAGAGAGATCATCCGGTGGAAAACTTAATAGATCAACCGGATTGAATGCATAATGCTCCTGTGCTTTAACGATACGCACGTTACAAGCACTACTTGCATTTTTGTCGTCTTCAGTGCATTCCGGGACCAAGAAAGTAACTGAAACATTGGGATGTTTAGCCAACTGTATCGCCAATTCTCGATTTATGGTCGACAGGCCACCTTTGGAAGACTTCCATTCGTCCGCGAGGAGAGTAACTTGTAATTTGCTATTGGACATGTTCCTGGCAATGTAATTCAGCAAACAACAGACGTGACTTTTATTTTCAGAAGCTCGTGTTACTCATTGAGTTTGGTTGGCCTTGTTTTTGACCCATAGAGAAAAAATCTATACACATTGTAATATTATCTGAGGGTCTAGATGGGGTGATGGCTTTCACGGCTAAAAAATTTTAGACAATTACGGCCAACGCTTAATATCTTTCCGTTGTAGTCACCAGAAATGTTTTTAACGATTAACTATTTCATAACTAACGGTTATAATTTATGAATTTTTACGACTAATGGCTGAATTTTTTGGCCGTTTTACGGCTAACGGTTAACCCCATTGACTCTCTTATCCCGTATTACTTACTGCACTGAGTTGAAAATTGCTCCATACACCGCTTAGGTGAATGATCGTGAGAGTATTAGGGTGAGGAAAATGCCTGCTAGCTATTTGTGTCAAATAAATTAACCCCTTTTACGATTATAATATGGATGAGTTTTCATTCAAAAAAAGGCGAAATACCAAGAACTATGATTAGAAAAAGCTAACGTAAAATAAATTTGTTTAACTTCCCAACAATATTTCTTATCCGTCACGCTAAGAATGTAGTTGTCACGCAAGGAAATTTTTCAGGCATCCCTTCAATTCGTTCAGGACCTGAGGGAGCGTACAGGGTTACTTTAGCTTTGCCCGCCCAGAGTACCGTTGTGCAGCTTGCCTAAGCTGAAATGTTCTTTCAAGTATTCCAAGAAAACCATGCAAGAATATTTAAGTATGACAACATAAAATACTTATTACAATAGGATACTTTTTTTTATTTTGAAGGTTATTCTCGAAGCAATGCGATTTCATAAGCACTCCTCAAGCCAATTCTCTCTACAAATTTTTCAATTACGGGCTGATCAAACCATAGTTTCCGCTATTAACTATGATCAAATAACTATGGAGGAAGCCAACTGTTCGCAAACTCAAGATTAAAATCCACTTTCGCACGCGTGCTTAGCACATTGGGAGAGGTAAGGGGATTGGCTCCCTTAAGGAGGAACTACGATCTGAAATAAGGCTTCCTTTTCATTATACATAGTGTCTTAACTTTATGTTGATCAAAAGCACCTAGCGGTGTCTGTAGACTACATTTAGAATTTCTTCAACTTAGTAACGACATAACCCGCTTCGCCCGAACTTATTTTGCTGGATTTCAATACTCCTTCATGAATCCTACGCGTAGTTCTGTTTACTTCGGCTACACACAACTAAAAAAGAAAAAGGGAGTTATAGCCAGCGATTCCTTTACGAACAAAGCACAATTGTTTCAAGTCTACAACTTGTGAAAATATGATCATAAACTTACATTCTTGCGGTTACATGTATGACGCACTTACCCTGCCTGTGCTTCTTGATTCCTCTCAAGCGGAAGCAGCATTCAATCGACAAAATGGATTTACCATCGTCCAAGGGACCAGCATATCATGATGAAAAACATGAAAGAACTAGACTGTGCTCGAAGAGACTTAATGGAATCGAAATATTTCAGTCTCGACAAGAAGTATCAATCGTGCGATTCAGAAGCTCATGCCTCTCGTGAATGACGAAAAACGAAATTGAGTCTTCGCATCATTGAACAATCCTGTTGCTGAAGTAAAGGATCTTGGGATACAAAGATTGTCACGCTACAAAACAAAACAATTGTATTGTCTGGAAAATTATGTGTGGCTCTTAAAAACGGGATACACGCCAAGTGCTCTTTCTTACTATTCTCATACGGCAATAATTCACTTATTTTAAAGGACATATTGTGGCAAGAGGTCAAGAAGCCAAACTATTTTCGGGAGATAATCTTTATTGAGACTGCACAATAGATGTAACGTATCTCAGAGTTTAGAGCGTGAAGTCCCTCGGTAACTTATGTTTGCGAAAATAAAATTTACATGGGTATTCAGGGTTTATCGTAGAAATAAGAGGTAAACTTGGTAAAAGTGGAGCACGGTTAGTGAATTTCTGCTGTCTGATTGGCTGAACGGAGCCAGGTTAAGACTTAATAACTTAGCTCCGACAAATACAATCAACGAATTCGTCAGCGAACTAATTTATCACCTCACATTCGACGCGCCCTCGTAGAATAATTGTTATTATTATTATCCAACTGCAAAAAGTAGAGTACAAATAACGCGCGAAAAGACTACAAATATCCTGCCATATTATACGGTTATTTGGACAGTTAGCTATTTTGTACTGTTAAAAAAAACCTGTCAAACCAGTCGGCTGCGCGCGTTAGTTTCTCAAGCGCTTTGCTTTTCCTACCTTATGAGAAATGAGCAGAAACACTTAGCAGAAAAAAAATGCAGTTGGATAATAAATAACTTATCGGAGTCGTTGTTTGTATTTAGACTCGCCCAACGGGCTCGTAAAATACGGTAAAACTCGTAAAAATACCCAGCGATACTACATACCAAGACGTCTAATAAGATTTAAATACTTATCGGATACATATCGACTTTGTAGTTGGCGCGCGTGGGCCTGGTATTTACTATGACTTGTCCTTAACATTTATATTGCACTTATTTTGTTGTTGTTAGAGTTGTTGTTGTTCGTATTGTTGTTGCTGTTATTTTTTCGACTCGTTACCGCTTCTTTTAATAAACTAAACAAATTCGTACATGACATCATCTTTTTTTGGCACAAAATATTCCCTTTCCTCTATGGTTTATCCTTTATCCTCTGTGGTTTATTCTCAACCTGGTAAGTCGAGGTAAGACTGACAACCATTTTATTAATTTTAGAAATGACCCTCCTATGCCCTCTTTAATTTCAATTGCTAATTGTACGTTAAGCTCCGACAAAATTATATCTAACGCAAGTGGCTTAAAATTCTTACTTTAACAAGCTTCATTTGAGAAATTCATTGTCATGTGTCTCATCGAACTCAAGATGAAAGCAGTCAAGTTACCCCGCTTTATATCCGAGTGGAAAAAACGAAAACGAAGAGCCGGATATGTTTCGAGTTTCATTATTGCCTCTCTTTGCGTGCAGAAGGACAGTTCCATTGCGGCAGAGCTGTAAGGATTAAACCTCACAGAAATGAAGGCCGAGGCTTTAGGTAAAATTCTGCACGCATTCATTTTCAGCTTCTCGTCACTGAAATTCTTACCGATCGTCGTCATCCATTCGCAAAGCTTCCTTAGATATACTGGTCTCGTCATCTTCTGATCTTGAGATGAGCTTAGTTCTTGTTATTTAATAGGATCAGGGGAAACGGGGTATGGCATTGCAAACTGAGGTAAGAAAAGGGAAAAATAATGAAAGGCAGGAAGCACGCCACATCCAACTTCACATCCAACAAACACATCCAGGCCGAGTTAAATTTTTGTTGAAGATTTTGTGATTTCTTGTCGGTAAATTTCCTCCAAAGTTTATATCAAGTCCATCCGTACGTTGTTAGCGATTACTAAGATACTTGGCCAGTTTCATAATCTCACGTTAAGACTGTCCAAAATGTTTCCACTCGGACGAATTGACTAGCCTATATTTATTTCATTGTAGAGTAATTATAAACCTATTCTAAAATAACTTGAATGAAATTTGATCTGCAAAAGGGTGCAACAGTTTCTTAGACAATCTATAGTCAATAAACTCACAAATCTTCTGTTCCTTGACCTCGGATATTACAAGTGGAATCATGCAAACTCTGTGAACATATGTAAATACATAAAAATATTGATGAAATATTACACCTTCATTTACAAATATCACAACAAATTTTAAAATCAGATTTTTTGCTGATAGCTAAGGTCATTTCTTACGAACATCGGCACTGGACTGGCTGTTATACATTCAGAGGCAGCCATTAGACATTTTTCTCAGTCCTTTGGAAAATGGCATAGAATATCAAACCCTTTTTTTGTTACTTCTACTACTCTTTTCTTTGTTTGTTTGAAAGTATCAGCAGCTCGCTCCATTTTTCCACTTTCTTTTACAATAGCTTCAAAATTATCTGAGTCATCTAAAACGATGTACAAGTCACCATCAGCCCTCTTCTTTTGTAGATTATCGAGGATGTATTTAGGGATACAGCTATTTCCATATTTATACTTTACATCATTGTCTTCAAACGATACCTTTCCGTTGTGAACACGAGTTTTTAATACAAGTCTTTTTTCAGAAGCAAGCTGTAATTTCTCGTGCGACTTAAATTGTTTCAAATCTCGATCAACTTGATACTCAACTAACCCATTACTGAGCTTCATGATTCTTACTCCAAGTAGGGGGATGTGAGAGCATTCCTTTAGCTTCCTTTGGATCTCATCCGGAACTTGAAATTCAGGGTCGCATATTTGAAGGTCCTCTTCCTGATAAGATATCTTTCCATGACGAATGAAACTTCTTAGGACAACAACAGGAGGGGATCTTTCTGAGAACTGTGTCGCCAAGACCAGCTGCTGACTATTTTGAGCACTCATGTCATCAATGCTTTTCCTTTCTGAGGAATTCCCTTGAGGATAGTTTTCGCTCAAGTTATATGAATTTGTGGACAACGAGTCGGCGTTTACGTCCTGTTCTTGAGAGATAAACTGTGTATTTGGCGTAGAACATGTCATTGGAAGATTCAAAACTTGGCTGCAAAAAATATCTGGATCCATAGCCAGCTTTCCATTGTTTACCTGCGCAACGAACGTTTTCTCTAGTTTATTGATTTGCCCAATAAACTCATTGTATGTATTTGTTGTTGATTGCCCATTGCAAACCAAGATAATGACTTTTTCAACTGTGAAAAGAAAACAGAAAAAATCTCAAGTTGGGACTGCTGTGTTCATCTCTTCACACCGATTGAGCCGTAATTCAATTACAATCATAAGGATTTTGCTTCAAGAATTGAGCTGAGTTGTTCGAACACTATCAGTACCAGTACCCTTTCTGTCGCTGTATTAGTTGAAAACTAACGTAGTGACAGAAAGTCTATAAACAGCTAACAAAGCATTAGTATTACTCGTGTTTCGAAGAACCATGGCCGATTCAGGTTCCATGGTCTAAAGGGGGCTTAGAGCTACCTCAAATATTTGTTACTATGCCTGTGTTTATAGCAGTTCAGTGAATGCAAAAAGGTGATCTACCTTTACGAAAAAATAATCTCAGTACAAAATTCAGAGGAGGAGCCGCTCACGATCGGATGTAATCACTATGCACTTTTTGTAAACTACATAAAACTGCAGTAGGATGATCATCCCTTTCCAACCCGCTCTCCAAGAAAATGATTTATCAACTCAAGCATTCAGCGGTAAGATTGTCTTTTTGTCAGACGAAGAGAATGTTTTTGATTAAATGCACCGAAAAGGAACTAAATTGTTGACAACGAAATAATTCAAGGGGTTAAAAGTATGGTAATGAGAAAAAAACGTGGTATGAAGGATTTTTATGAGAGTAACTTATCAGTTCAATTTGAAGACTTACCGACTTTATCCACTGCAAGTCTTACAAGTCGCTTTAATTCCTTTGATCTTTGATCATCACAACCATCCCTCACGGTATAACCGTCCACCACCAACACAAAGAATCTAAAGAGATAGTCCCTCAAATATTCTTCAACTTCGGTGATTGGGAGGTTGCCAACAAGAGGATCCTTTGACAAACGAAGGCTGGGAAGAACTTTTGCAAAAAGTTTTTTCGCATCATCCACAGACTCACGTGACACATTACAGCCAAGAATCGACAATTCTAAAGAGTGAGAGACGGAAAGTCGTACACTTAAAGATTATCTTAGGGAAGAAGTATGCAGATTGAGATCCCAATGAGTAACCCAACCTGGCTAAATGTGCTTAAAACTCGAACACGAACGCCGTCATTTTGAAACTAACAAAGTTAGCTGGCCACACACGGAAAACCACCACGAAAAAACAAATTTTTTAATAATTTATTTTCGTGTGGCTCTTGATTAATCGAACAGATCTCCATGAGATGAAAAGAAGAGAATCGAAACTTGGAACCGAGAAAGGTGGTCGGCCAGGTTTTTGGGCAAGGTTAAAAAATGGCAAGCGTCCATAATCAAAATAAAAATTTGCTCGGTGAAAATCTTCATAAAGTTTTCGATATGGATCAAAGAGTTGAAAACACATGGGCAATTGACCTCAGCACTTAAAAAGGTACCATTTGGCCATGCCCACAGCAGAGGTAGTAGTTTAGCAGTCCACTTCCTAGTGCCTCCTCAAATCTATATACTTTGGATACCTTAAGTGGGCAAAAAGACAAGAGTTACCGAGCAACTGTGCTTTCGTTTGCTTTATCACCTTTCAGGTGATGCGCAGATTAATTCGGAACTTCAACATTCCCCCCAGGCAACCCGCGGTAATTTAACTGTCATCCTTATCCGAGGTGGGGAATTTGAACATTTTTGACTGGGGTGGGGAACTAACCGGAATACAAGTTTTTATCTTTTTAAAAATAGGGAGAGTTTGAAGGTAAAGAGGTCACTTTCGCAGGTGAATTCCTCAGAAGGAAAGGTCTGCAAGGTCTAGTTTTAAAGCTTGGTAAATGGGTAGAAAGTCGCTGTCGCTGATTCCGCCTTTAAAAAAATTCACCATCAACTCCGCCACTTGGGGAGGGTATTTAAAAATAATTTTGAGCCCGGGACGGGAATTTGAACAAATCAATCTTCAAAAGTTTAAATCCACAGCGGGCTGCCTGGATGTTGAAGCTTCCGATTGATCGACGCTTAAGTGGGGAAGGTGCCCATTTTTTTCCTTCAAGTCTGTTTTTAAGATTTTATTCTAACCTATGGTTTCTCCGATACGTGGACGAATGATTTCCTCAGACCCGGCTCCTAGATTAATGACAGTTGATGTGTTTGCCTTGTTCCTCGAAATATTGCCACCCTCGGCTCTACTATCAAGATTCTTCTCTTCTTTGATCTCCCTTGCTCCAGTTACAGCTTCACAGTGATGCAGGGAACTTTCTGGTTTAAGTGGCGGCTCCGATTCATATTGTCGTTCGCCTGACACAGAACAACATCTACGAAATGGAGGTATCACCTCTTTCGATCTTGACGGCGGTGGTGTTGCTGCCTTTCGTTGTTCCTTTCGCTGATCCGGCTGATATTCAAACTTTTGCCCTTTCTTGTTTGGGTCAAAGTGATGCAGTAGAGCTTGTTCGTGAATCTCTCGATGCTGTTTGTTCCAAGAAAAGATGAAGCTCTTTCTACCATCAAGACACTCTTCGCTAAACTGTGAGGAAACTTTCCTTTTCGCCCAACGTGAAATAACTTCTCGATTCTCTTCGTCGACGCCTTTATAGTTGTCATCTCCCCCGATAACGACGACGACTTCTCCTCCTGTAAACAAAACAGATTAAAATGTAACTGAGCTTCAGAGTATTATGAGCATCATCCTTTACAAGGAAATCGTTTATTTGATGATCCTTGCGGCCCCGCGCGCGCCTTTACCGAAAAATATCAGACAAAAATACCGATATGAGGACCGTGCGCAATGGCGTGAGTAGGGCTGTGAAAAGCGTGCTAAAAAGAAGAAGGAAGAAAATGAGCGATGGTCATACGATCTGATCGACTGAGTACCTCGAGCCAACTTTTTTCCCGTCCAGCACTCTTACTCAGTCATTACCTAAATACTATTCCGATGTGGTTTAGAATACTGGTTTTGTTTAAACAGTCTGATGAGTGGTCATCTTTAGTCGTAACGTAAATACATCCAGCAAGAAGGTAGCATGTAATGCGCAATATGCGTCACCCAAGAGCGGTCAAACATTTTAGAAATTGTAATAACATAATTTTGGAGCATTTTTTATCTGCATGCGAAAAGAAAGCTAAATGTCACATAAATATCAAGGTGCAAATACAATGTAACACACAGAGCACGCGTATAACCATGATCAAGCGAACGTCATATGCTCTTGGATTAATACAGAGGGTCTTATTATAACTATTTTCATAACCACGGCGTGTCAGTGTCTAGCTGGCTCAAATAACAATGTTTGTATCAATTTTTTTTTATTTTTCGGATAATTGCTGGAAATTTTCTCTACAAAAAGAGAGAAATTTCTGTTTCTCCGTTAAACGGGAAGTCTCTCAAGACTTGAATTGCTTTATTCGTTGTTATTTTAAATACTACTTGATGACTTGCATCTATGAATACCTCTCATCATAATGAGCGAACGAATTAAAAGTTCACTCCACCGTAAAGCATAAACGAAAAACAACTTTTTAATATAATTTTTCTTCAATTCCATTCTTATTTTCAATACGGTTGACGCCACTTACACCAGCATCTTTTACCCATACCCAACTTGAATGAGAGGCAGTAATAAATCAAATTAATTAGGGTATTTTTCGGACCAAGGAAACACCAACCCTTGTACCATGGAGAACCGTTACCGAAAAAGTCGCAGCCCTATGGAACAGTTCGTGGTAGTTGCTACCTTCTGAACTTTACAAAAAAAACATTCGTCGCCTCTGATCAAACAGAAGTTATTATTTTAAAGAAATGCTAATTTACTTTCGCTTTCACCCTGAGGTCTGTTAGGGCTTTGTTGGGGGAAATTTGTAACAAATTTTCCACACCTTTCATTAAATTGTCCCTGCCTCCTTAAAGAACATTGTGTTAACCCGGGAAAAAAAGCATTATTGGGCAAAATTGAGTGCATCAGAATGAAAAACCTTCAGGAAGGCGATACTACCCAGTAAAAATACTTCCGCTTATTAACCGTTGCTTTTATTAAAGCTCTGTACATTTTGGGATAACCAATGCCAGCGTTGTATCAAGAATCGAGATTCATTCGCATGAACCACGAAGAAAGTCATATTTATCTCTAGGGTTGGAATTTTGAACACCATTTCTGACATTTTAGTAAGTTTGGACTTCTGATTCTAAACACATTCAACATGGATGCTGAATTTCTTCAGCAATTTCTCGACAGGCTGTAGTTTGTATACGTTATCACAGTCGAACCGATGAACTCGCTCTTTGGACTGTGACATATTTTCTCTGGCACAATTTACTTCGCTTTGAACGTAATGACAGAGAAAGAACCAACGAAATTTCATATCGTAGCTTCAAGGATGTTTAATGATAAATAACACCAATCTGGTCGTCATCATTGAGCCAGCTAATTCAAGAAAACAGAATATTAATTTTAACTTGTCTAGTCCACTTTACCAAACGATAGAAACACACACACACACACACACACACAAGCAAACTGGGTTTAATCTTGAAAAACACATCGAAATTATCAAAAGATTCTTGGAAACAGTTCCTTTTGTCTTATCTCTCGTATCATAGGCAGTCGCCAGAAGTTTGCTTCTGTCTCGATTTAGGGAAGGGAAAATAAAATCAAAATTCAGAAATAAATGCAAACACATTGTTTAACATCATAAAACCGTGGCAAAAAATAAAATTTTGATTGCCAACAAAAGAAGGAAAAACAGATTATCGGAAAAGGTCTTAGTTGCTTCTGCTCAAATTGTCCGCTGCTTTATTTATAGAAACATATCGTGTTAGTTTCATACGGTTGGTAACACTTTTCTTTGCTACAAAGGTATTATAAAGAGGCATTCGAGTGCATGCACCTCAATTATTGTAAAATCCATCTGCCCAATAAAGTATTAATGGGCATAACTGAAAGTATCAAACTGAAAAACCTCAAGGAAGTCAAATCTACCTAATAGGAATACTTCCGCTCCTTACCCGTTGCTTGCAGTAAAGCTCTGTATATCTTGGCGTAACCAATGCCAGCTTTGTCTTCGTTGATCGAGAGTCTAGATTCATGTGCATGAACCACGAAAAAGGCCATATTCATCTCTAAGGTTGGAATTATGTCTACCATTTCAGACATTTTAGCAAGTCTGAACGAGTGCTTCTCAACACGCTCAACATGGCTGCCACATTTCTCCAGTAATTTCTCAACAGGCTCTAGCTTGTATGTGTTATCACAGTTAAAAAGATGAACTCGCTTTTTTGAATGCGACATCTTTTCTTTGTGAGCAATTTCTTTCGCTTTGAATGTAGCTGTAAAAGAAAACCACAGAATTTAACACTTCACATCAGTCGATGGCGTCAGACGAAATCGACTGCGCAATGTTTCCGAGAAATTGATTGACATAGGTCACGCAAATCCTTCAGTCACGAAAGATAGAAAATCGTCAAGGTGTCTAAAGTAACGATTTTCTTCAGAAAATAGAGTCGTATTTTATTGAGGATAAAAGTCGAACTCACCTTGGCGCACAAGAGATGAATTTGTCGTCACTTGGAAAATTAGTTCCTCGTCAGAGGGAACATCTGTAAAATCACGTGATTGAATTCTCGGAAAACACATGAGGTCACTTGAAAGGGAAAATTCCCATCTAGCATCTTGTCTTACACTTGGTGCCTCGTATCTTACACGAACACATTCACTTGTGTTGGAATAAGAATAAGCTCGTCTTTGCGTAAATCTTCAAAATGGGGGTAAGTTTTACAAGAATTTTGCCTTTTTTCAACAACTCCTTCTGCAGGTTTTGACTCGTCATTTCCTTTCACCGGTGCTCGAAATGTGCGTGTAAAATGTGATATCATTCATGCGGATGAGCTGTGACACTAATATTAATCCTTCCAAATGGAACTTTTTCCTATGGAAAAAGACATTAAGAACTAGGTTAGCCTTCGGCTAACGGTACAAGCCGAAAGTTTAACCTTCGCTGAGGTAATGATTTTTAAACTCAGGCAAACTGCTGGCGAAAATTGCCGTTGATTCAAACGAAATCTTCACATGGAAGATTTTATGACTGTTCGCTTCTCGGAAACTGAAAATGAATACTTTCTACATATCGATTTCTGAACTTTCAATTTCGTCAAAAGAATTAAATCCAAGTTGCACAAAAGAGAATTGTGAAAAGGAAGGACGAGGGTTGACAAGTTTTGCTGGAAGAACTAAAATTTGTGAATTCGAATCGCGGTTTCATCTTACTTCCTGTAACTTCGGAAAAGGAGAAAAATCGCACCTTTCACTTTGGAAGTTTTAAATTCATCTGGTTCTTAAAAAACGTAAAAAAGCTTTCTAACCAGGTAGAAATTTCTAAGTTAAAAATATTTGATCCACGATATTAAAAGAATATTACGTTTAAAATTTCCACTAACTCAGCCTAGAAGTCATCGTAAACGAGCATTGCAAATTGAACTTGAGCAGTTAGATTTACAATATCTTTACTACTAGCAAAGGGAATTTTTATGCTCTATCTCTTTCGTTGATAGCCCAACAAAACGCAATGTTCCGCGTCTGTCAATTAAAAAAACGACTGCAAACATTTCCGAGAAAGTCTGTCAGTTGTTTTGATTGAGTAGAGTCACGCAAATTTTAAAACCACGCTACATGAAAACACAGAATAGGTCACAAAACATTTATTTCCACAGACAATAGCGGCAAGGATTAAGAAATCCTCCCACTTCATGAAAGTGGTCAATGTAAATGAGAAAACATCTCATTTAAATGACTTAAATTCTTGGAAGCCCATGTGGTCATTAGAAAGGGAAACTTCCCATCGTGCATGAGAGAATCGACATAGTTAATAGTGGTGTGAGACTTTTCAGTCCTGAGTTTTATTTCTGCTTGGACACTACCGAAGAGCGAGTTCATTTCTGATCTAGTTACGAGTGATATGATCAAGAGACATAGGAAAGGCCTAAAAGTCTCGCTTCTCCTCTCCATTGATGATCTAAGTGATGATCTGACTCTGAGTGATTCTTCTACGTAACTCTGATCGACCCTCCTACTTTGAACTCTATGGTACACGCTTATATATTCACAGTATATACCCATGAATGGGCATGCTGGTCAATTGACCCTTTTTAGATCAAACAATGTTTTCAGAACACCTACACAAGGATCTCACAAATAACCAACAACATAATTAATGCTTTCAGTCAAACAATCAATCGTACATGGTTTTATGAAACAATCAATCTTTGACAGCCAAAGCCAAAACAAGAACCTTAAGCTTTGTGTAAGTTCAAGGCAGAGGTCAACAGACAAATTAAGCACGTCCACAAATGGAAGTTAGACAAGACAGTCACAATCAGGGAACTCACAGTGATAGCTAAAACCAAACTAAGTTTGGACTTTGAACTCAAATGTTAAGTAAATACGATTGAACTTGTATTAAGGGGTCACCCACAGGGAATGGCCGCTTAATACAGGTTTACCACCTTAACACAGGTTGCACAGACCAGGGTGTTAAAAAACGATAAACATAGCCATGTTAAGCCATAATTGACCACTCCATGAAAAGAATTTCACTCGAAAATACTATTTACGTTGCTTTTGGGAGAGAAACATGGATAAGAATTACTTTAAAAATTATTTTCAGTTTTATTTGAGTGGTCCTGCTTTCAGAGACTGTTCGATACAGGTGAAGGAAACAATTCAAAAAGCACTAAAACACTTAATCGAGACTTTGCAAAGGGTGACCGCGACCGCCCAATAGAGGTGACCGTTTAAAAGAGACGGAAATAGCAGTGATTAAGTGGAAAAAAATTGGGGACTTGAAATCTGACCGCTTAATACAGGGTGATCGCTTATACAGTTTCGACTGTATAAACACAAAAATCACAATCAACGAAATACTTCACAACACTGACATTTATTACGAGTGCGAGTCAAGAAAGAATCTGAGACCCTGAAAAGATTCCCGCCCTAGACCCTGTGATTTTGTTTTTGTTCCAGCTTTTCTAGGCTCTTACAAGAAGGGCGGTATATCAATGATCGAATTTGTGAATCATGATAATAACACTAAAGTTATTCTTCCCTTCTCCCTAGAGTGGTTCTAGTCAAGAGACTCACTACACGTATGTGGATAACTCAGAAACAGAAAGGCGTGAAGCAGAGGAGAAAGAGAAAAGACGGCTGGAGAATGAACGAAAACAACGTGAGCACGAGGAAAAAATGCGTATAAAGAAAGAGAAGGAAGAAGAAGAGAGGAGACGAAGGGAGCAACTCAAGGAACAGCGGCAGAAAGAAATAGAAGAAAAAGAAGCCAGAAGACGAGCAGAAGAACAGAAACTTTTGGAACTGGAGGCCGAACTTTGCCGACGCCGAGATCAGTTGTTCAATTACAAGTTTGGAGACAAGACCAGGCTTGACAATTTTATGGGGCTAAACATTGATGATGTAACCCAGCTCAGGATCGGTGTGTTTGGCCCCACGGGATCAGGGAAGAGTTGCTTCATCAACACGTGTGAACGGGCGGTAAGGCAAACAGAAAAAGGATCCGCCCCGGACAGCACAACAGGACAAGAGGGAACCATCACACTCCAGGACTACCTGCCAGAGATGTTCTTCCGCTTGGTAGACACCAGGGGCTTCTTCAACTACAACTCCAACGAGAACATCGAGTTTCAGAATATCCTGTTCGGGAAAATTCAGCCCGGAGATAACATCGTTCGCCCTGACAATGACGAAGACAACACACAGGAGTTGCATCAATGTCCAGCATTTGAAAAAAAACTGCATGGAATCATTATTGTCGTGATGGCTAACGACCCAAGACTCACTGAAGGTGCCTTGAGGGATTACCTGAAACCAGTTCGAGATGTCCTAAGAAAAAACGGTATTGTATGAATCTGCGCACAATAAAGTTTATGAATCCCACTTAAAGACCCAGCTCAGCGTAGAGTCTCTGTGGCTCAGTGGTAGGGCATCAGAGCGCGGAATTCAAGGTCTGACGTTCGATTCCTCATGGGGTCTCAGAATTTTTTCTTCGTCCCACGCTTGTGGCGAAAAAATATCTTGCTCTGTTATTGTTTAATACCCACAGAGGAACACTGAAACCAGTCAATGACTTAAAAAACGGTGCTGGCTTATAGACACGAACTAATCAAATGGTAGAGGAAAGTATGTGACCATTTTCATTTGTTTTTTTTTTTAACAGGAATCGCCCCAATAACTGTTATAACTCATAGGGACAAACTGAAAAATGAAGACGATGAGAAGGACGCTTTTGACGAGGCATCAGCTGCTACCGGTAGCTCTCCTAGCCACACTTTCTTCATGTGGAACTACACCAAAGAAAACAAGGAACGTAACCCTGAGATAGAGCAGATGACATTTGACATCTTGCACTATGCTTTGATGACCGCCGAACGGGCTGTCAAGATCATGAAGCAAAAAGAGAAAAACAAAAGAGAGGATGAGATGATGAAAGCCCTCGAGGGAGTTACTATCAGTGGACAAGTGGCACCTGATTCCGTTGATGGTGAGCTAATTAGAATAGTGCATGGTGCATGTTGCAATAAGACATTGAAAACGAAGGCCTCTGCTGTATGAGTCATCGATTCCGTGCAATATATATTTTTATAAAATAATTCAAATAGTACGCGCGCTCTGATTGGCCATAAAACCATTTTACATGAGCGTATGTAAACACGGTTTTCGTTCCTCTTTCATTAGTTATTTTATAAAAGAAATGTAAAATGGTTTCCGTTTTACATAGCCTGATGTAAACACGCGGGAGGTTGGGAGAACGCTCGATAAGCTGGTTTCCTACGCTTATCTCGTGTTCTCCCAACCTCCCGCGTGTTTACATCAGGCTATGTAAACATGGAAACCATTTTACATTTCTTCAATTCAAAACCGCGCTGAAAGGCACCAAATTGTCGCTAATGCAGGGGAGGAAAATTAGTTTGAGAGCGGGCATTAAATAGTATGAGCTACAGGTGTAAGCTGGGGAAAACGTTCGAGGAGAATTCTAAGGCAAAAATGATTTTTGATTATGCGTAGAATTGTTTTTCCTTACATGAAGCTGAAAACTCGCTGTACATTTTTGTACCGCACTAACTTGCATTGCAGGCGTCCCATCAGGGCGGGCTAACGTTACAAGTTCGCGATCGCTTATATATCAATTATCAGACCAGCCATCTTTGATTTGGAGTAAGAGTCTACCATGGGGGTAGGGGGTGGGGGAAGGGCGAGAAGACTCGGTAATCCTCACTCCCCCACCCCTACCTCCCTACATATTTTTGACCGTCGACCGCCCCCTTGGTACAAATTTCTTTCTCTCACTAGCCTTCCGCTGCCGTTAACATCAAAGATGGCGGCCATGATTTTCGCTAAGAAAATACAGAGCGCTCGCTCGCCAAGATTACGCCTGCTCTGCAGGCCAGTACCGCACTGGCAGGATAACTTCCCTACTTGGCACTGACTGACTGCAAAAACTCATTTTTCGTTACTTTTCGCTGGGTGCCTTAGGTTTAGTAGCCACTAATTATATCTTGCATCTTATTTGTTCTCTTTTTTTGGCCTCTGATTCGCACTCTATTATCGTGTTATTTAAGTTCTACTAAATAACTGAGCGTGAATTAATTTTAACAGTCTTCTTATCGAGATTACAATTATTTTCCCCACAGCTTCGGTGGAAGTGTTTTTGCGTTTCCTCCAGAAGGAATATCAGTGGTCGACAAACAGTATCATGACGGCTTCGAGCAAGTTAGCCAAAGATGACATAACAAGTGTAAAGTTATTAGCCATGAGCTGGAGTGAAGTTCGTCACCATTTTCCAGCTGGTATGAGTAGAATGATCGAGAAGGAGCTCAGGAAACGAGGCATGATCTCATGAACAATTGGGTGGCATCTGGGCACGGACTCAACGCACAGGAAACCGTAGTTTCTTGAGCAAATTTGACCAATTTTTTTTTCTAACGTTTAAGGGGCAATAAATAGACTAATGCTGGGCACACAGTTGTTTTTAAAAGACAACATTTCATTTCTGATGTTTAGGATAATTAAAAATTAGTAATCGAAATACTGTTAGAATCATGAAAAAGTATTTTGAATAAAGGTTACTTTGTCCCTGTTGGTGTTTGTCAACCATTTCAGACATTTTAGTAAGCCCTAAACAGGCTTCAACTTGTACGTGTTATCACAATTGAACAGATGGTCTCGCAACATCTTTGCGGTTAGCAAAGGAAATCTTTTTGCTCTTTCTTTCGCTCTAAACGTGGTTATTATTGATAACGTGGCAGACTGCAATGTACCGTAATCGTCAATGAACAACACGACTGCGCAGTATTTCCGAGACACCCTGTCAATCTTTTTGGTTGGCAGGAGTCACGCAAATCCCAAACATATCACGCAACACGAAAACTCAGAATATAAGTTCAAAGACATCTGTTCTACAAAGGCGATACAGTTGCTACACAGACCTAAAACCACCTCAGGGATCGATAAATTCCTCGATAAGTGAATGAGTTCCTTGTAAAATATAACACATCTCAAAACCACGTGGCTTAAATTCTCAGGATTTCCGTCTCACATCTAGTTTTTCATTCGGCGATCAATAACTACCACAGAAGACATCACTCTGCTGTGAAAGGCTAAGCTCGAGTCAATCACCAAAATGGGGGTAAGTGTTACACAAACTTGGCTTGTATTCTGCAATTTCTTCGGCTAAGATCGGCTCGTCGTTTCCTTACAAAACAATATTGCAAATTTGTTCTTGAATTGTAACAATATTCATGAGTTCTCAACACAAACAAGGATGCTTCTAGCTTGAAGTTTTTCACTCTAAAATATATCAGCTAATCGTATTTACTGAAAGTTAAAGGTTCAGAGAGGTTCTTGTTTATAAACTTGGGCGAAATGTGCGTTTAAGTTGAATTCCCATATGTTCTACCGATAACTTCGCGTCAAAGATTTTTGATAACATAGCGCGCGTGCTTGCCCCATTTAAGTCTTATTGAGCCGCCATGAGCAAAATCTTTATTTACGCACGCCCGTGAGCAAATAAGATGACGTGAGCATTTTTTTTTTACCTGGCTTCACAGTTTCTGTTCTGTTAAGTTGCAGTGCAGTTTTCCTTCTCTTTGAAATATGGAAGAAACCAGCTAAAAACTGTCCAATTTTTCTATCGGCATTGACCTTGTAGGTCCTAATCCAACAAGCAAAAAAAATGAAGCCGAAAAAAACTCGCAAGTTGCACGTTTCGCAAATTTGTCGGAAGACCAGCTGCAGTTTCCGTTCTGAGACCTATTGAGTTCATTTGGCTTTGATTTTCCCCATTTTCCCCGTTAATTTTGAGCTTTTCATTCACAGTTATCAGTTAACTGGATCAAATGTTCTCGCTCAAACCAAAGTATAAAATGTGGCGTGTTTCTGACCAGCCAATGGGGACGTTTGTTTACTTTTTTTGTGCGTTGTGAGAATTTTGCCCTCTATCACAATAAATCTGTTATAAAATAATTTGCTCGTGCTTTTAGCTGTGCGTGTATCGAGTTATGGATGCACTTGGGAAGTTTGGAGAGCATTAAAAAAGCTAGAGTTGCTCTCGGCTATGCCTCGAGCTACTCTTACGCATTTTTCGTGCTCTCCAAAGTTCCCGCGTGCGTCCATAACTCGATATATGCACGCTAAACATGAACAAATTTTTAAATATATTGTTCGCTTCTCGGAAACTGAGAGTGGAAACACTTCTTCATCATTAGTTGCACATTCTGTATTTTCTAGAAACTTAAATCAGATAGAATAAAGAAAATTTGAAGAGGAAAGACTTATTTTGCTGAAACCTGAGTGTGTGTGAAACAAAATTTCGATCATGATTCTTCTAACTTCCGGTGACTTCCGGGTAAACCCAGAACCGCATCTTTCACTTTCGAAAAGAGCGTCTAATCCATCTGGTTCTTAAAAAGAGTAGGAGACTTTCTAAAGAGACGAGGACACTCAATCCACTGATCTTTTCACGAATTTGACGTTTGATAGTGTTTCCAAGAATCCAGGTTCGAACCTTTGATCCCTATGTTTTTCACACACACAAGCCTCACAAAGTGAATGTGAGGAAAGTGAAATTATCATGTGAGGCTTTTCGATTGTTTTTAAAATCAAAGTTATTTACACCAATGCTTTTACCCAACTATTTTTTGCATCAGCGTAGATCCGCCGAAACACATTTATATTCTTCTTGAGTATCACACGCTTCGTGATGTGTAATTAAATATATCGCAGGACAGCTACCAGTGGCTTGAGACTTCTCTTATGATTAATTTATTTTCTGCTAACATTGAAAGGGAAATAGAGCGAGAAAATTTATGAGCAAGTTAACGTGGGAAAAGACGTTGCTTTTGCTGAGCAGTTGGGTTTACAACATCTTTGCTACTGGCAAAAGGAATCTTTATGCTCTTTCTTTCGTTGATAGCCCGGCAGAACGAAATGCTCTGCATCCGTCGATGAAAAAGAAAAACGACTGCACAATATTTTCGAGAAAGCCTGTCAGTTGTTTTGACTGACTAGAGTCACGCAAATTTTAAAAGATCACGCAACACGAAAACTCAGAACAGGTCACAAAACATCTATCCCAGTCGATTTCCACAGAAGATAGCGGCAAGCATTAAGGAATCTCCCCACTTCATGAAAGTGGTCAATGTAAATGAGAACACATCTTATTTGAATAATTTAAATTCTAAGAAAACCCATGTGGTAATCAGAAAGGGAAACTTCCCATCGTGCATGAGAGAATCGACATAGTTAACGGTGGTGATGGACTTTTCAGTCCTGAGTTTTATTTCTGCTTGGAAACTACCAAAGAGCGGGTTTATTTATGATCTAGTTACGAGTGATATGATCAAGAGACGTAGGGAAGGCTTAAAAGTCTCGCTTCTCCTCTCTATTCTGACTCTAAGTGATGATCTAACTCTGAGCGACCCTTCCACGTAACTCTAATTGCCCCTCCGACTATGATCTCTATAATACATTCTTATATATTCAATATTAGTATATGGGCATGAATGGGCATGCTGGTCAATTGATCCTTTTAGATTAAACAATGTTTTCAGAACACTTATACAAGAATCTCACACATAACCAACAATGTAGTGTACTGATTACACATGCACCTATCTTGTAACTATTGACGACGAGCTTAGTATGGGTTCTAAGGAGAGCACTTTGTACTTAATTCAGTAAATGTACTACTCACAGTAATCCTACTGTACTGAAAATATCTGCATGCTGTAAAATTACTACAAGTCGGTAAACTCTTCTACTTCTATATCTGTGACGTGTTTGTTAATAAAATGGAGTAAGCCTTTGGCAATGAAAGAGAGAGAGTCTCTCGTGTCTGAATGACGACACTACAATTAACATAATTGATGCATCCGATCAAACAATCAATCTTTGACAGCCAAAGCCAAAACAAGAACCTTAAGTGTGAGTTCAAGGCAGAGGTCAACAGACGAATTAAGCACGTCCACAAATGGAAGTTAGACAAGACAGTCACAATCAGGGAACTCACTGTGATAGCTAAAACCAAACTAAGTTCGGACTTTGAACTCAAATGTTAACTAAATACAATCGAACCTGTATTAAGCGCTCACTCACGGGGAATGGCCGCTTAGTACAGGTTAACAACCAAACACAAGTTGCACAGATCAGGGTATTGTAAAAAACAATAAGTATAGCCACGTTCAGCCATAATTGACCACTTCATGAAAAGAATTTCACTCGAAAATACTATTTACGTTGATTTTGGGAGAAAAACATGGATAAAAATTACTTTAAAAATTATTTTTTAGTTTTATTTGAGTGGTCCTGCTTCAGTCGCCGTTCGATACAGATGGAGGATATAAAAAACCTTGAATTGAGACTTTGCAAAGGTTAATAGGGGTGAAAATAACAGTGATTAAGTGGAAACAAATTAGGGACTTTGACACCTGACCGCTTAATACAGGGTGATCGCTTATACAGTTTCGACTGTAGAAACAAATCACAAAAATCATAATCAACGAAATACTTCATGACATTGACATTAATTACGAGCGCAAGTCAAGAAAGAATCTGAGACCCTGAAAAGATTCGCGCCTAGACCATGAAATTTTGTTTTTGTTCTAGCTTTTCTAGCCTCTTGCAAGAAGGGCGGTATATCAATGATCGAATTTATGACTCATGATCATAACGCTAAAGTTATTCTTCCCCTCTCCCTAGAGTGGTTCTAGTCAAGAGACTCCCCACTATGTGGATAACTCAGAAATAGAAAGGCGTGAAGCAGAGGAGAAAGAGAAAAGACGGCTGGAGAATGAACGAAAACAACGTGAGCACGAGGAAAAAATGCGTACAACGAAAAAGAAGGAAGAAGAGAGGGGACGAAGGGAGCGACTGAAGGAACAACGGCAGAGAGAAATAGAAGAGGAAGGCGCCAGAAGACGAGCAGAAGAACAGAAACTTTTGGAACTGGACGTCGAACTTTGCGGACGCCGATATCAGTTGTTCCATTACAAGTTTGGGGACAAGACCAGGCTTGATAATTTTATGGGGCTAAACATTGATGATGTAACCCAGCTCAGGATCGGTGTATTTGGTCCCACGGGATCAGGGAAGAGTAGCTTCATCAACACGTGTGAACGGGCGGTAAGGCAAACAGTAAAAGGATCCGCCCAAGTATACACAACAGGAGTAATGGGAACCATCACACTCCAGGACTACCTGCCAGAGATGTTCTTCCGCTTGGTAGACACAAGGGGCTTCTTCAACTACAAAGCTAACGAGAACATCGAGTTTCAGAATATCCTACTAGGGAAAATTCAGCCCGGAGATAACATCGTTCGCCCTGAAGATGGCGAGGACAACACACAGGAGTTGCATCAATGCCCAGCATTTGGACAAAGACTGCATGGAATCATTATTGTTATAAAGGCTACCGATCCAAGACTCGCTGAAGGGGTTTTTAGTGACCACCTGAAACCAGTTCGAGATGTCTTAAGAAAAAACGGTATTGTATGAATCTGTACACAGTAAAGTTTATGAATCCCTCTTAATGACTCAGCTCACTGAATATCTTGCTTTGTTATTGTTTAATACCCACAATATGGATGAACATAGAAGCCGGTCAATGACTAGAAAAAACGGTGCTAGTTTGAAGAAACGAGGTAATCAAATGGTAGACGACAGTATGTAACCATTTTCATATATTCTTTTTTGACAGGAATCGCCCCAATAACTGTTATAACTCATAAGGACAAACTGAAAACTGAAGACGACGAGAAGGACGCTTTTGACGAGGCATCAGCTGCTACCGGTAGCTCTCCTAGCCACACTTTCTTGATGTGGAACTACACCAAAGAAAACAAGGATCGTAACCCTGAGATAGAGCAGATGACATTTGACATCTTGCACTATGCTTTGATGACCGCCGAACGGGCTGTCAAGAGCATGAAGGAAAAGGAGAAAAACAAAAGAGAGGATGAGATGACGAAAGCTATCGAGGGAGTTACTATCAGTGGACAAGTGGCACCAGATTCCGTTGATGGTAAGCTGATTAGAATGGTGCATGGAGCATGTTGCAACAAGACATGAAAACGAAGGCCTCGTCTATAAGCCACTTCCGAGTTCTCGCGGTTCAGTGATCTGGTACCGAAATTACGGTGCGAGGGCGAGGCTAAGTGCGAAGTATAAGGAATACAATGTTGTGGTCGAAGAAATGAGCAAAACTTTCTCGAAATTCAGTGTGGGAGAGTGAAAAATTATTTGTGAGAGAGGCGTTCAGTGAAGTGATGGCGGCAGAGAAAAAAAAACTGTTTGATTTTTGCAAGAAAGCTACAGTAATGAAGCAGATCCAAATTGCCTCTTCTGCCAAAGTCCTCAAAAAAACTGTAGGAGGGGAAATTACAAACAAGTGAGGATAAATTTCCAGTACCAAAAATTTTTAATGCTCAGACGTACTACTTTTCTAACATTACAGAGCTCCCATTCGGCGGGCGAAAAATAGAGAAGGAAGACGCCAGAAGACGAGCAGAAGAACAGAAACTTTTGGAACTGGAGGCCGAACTTTGCCGACGCCGAGATCAGTTGTTCAATTACAAGTTTGGGGACAAGACCAGGCTTGATAATTTTATGGGGCTAAACATTGATGATGTAACCCAGCTCAGGATCGGTGTGATTGGCCCCGCGGGATCAGGGAAGAGTTGTTTCATCAACACGTGTGAACGGGTTGTGAGGCAAACAGAAAAAGGATCCGCCCTAGTAAGCAGAACAGGAAAAATGGGAACCACCACACTCCAGGACTACCTGCCAGATATGTTCTTTCGCTTGGTAGACACAAAGGGCTTCTACAACTACGACTCTATCGAGAACATCGAGTTTCAGAATATCCTGCTAGGGAAAATTCAGCCCGGAGCTGACCTCATTCGCCCTGTCAATGACGAAGACAACACACAGGAGTTGAATCAATGCCCAGCATTTGGACAAAGACTGCATGGAATCATTATTGTTATAATGGCTACCGACCCAAGACTCACTGAAGGGGCTTTGAGGGATTACCTGAAACCAGTTCGAGATGTCTTAAGAAAAAACGGTATTGTATGAATCTGTACACGATAAAGTTTATGAATCCCTCTTAATGACCCAGCTCACTGTGGAGTCTCTGTGGCTCAGTGGTAGAGCATCAGAGCGTGGAATCCGAAGGTCTGGGGTTCGATTCTCGGCATTGGGACTTAGAATTTTTTCTTTGTTGCACGCTCGTGGCGAAAAAATATCTTGCTTTGTTATTCTTTAATACCCACAATATGGATGAAAAGCCGGTCAATGACTGAAAAAGACCGGTGCTGGTGTGAAGACACGAACTAATCAAGTGGTAGACGACAGTATGTAACCATTTTCATTTATTTATTTTTTTTACAGGAATCGCCCCAATAACTGTTATAACTCATAAGGACAAACTGAAAACTGAAGACCACGAGAAGGACGCTTATGACGAGGCATCAGCTGCTACCGGTAGCTCTCCTAACCACACTTTCTTGATGTGGAACTACACCAAAGAAAACAAGGATCGTAACCCTGAGATAGAGCAGATGACATTTGACATCTTGCACTATGCTTTGATGACCGCTGAACAGGCTGTCAAGGTCATGAAGCAAAAAGAGAATAAAAAAAAAAGGGAAGAGGTGACGAAAGCTCTCGAGGGAGTTACTATCAGTGGACAAGTGACACCAGATTCCGTTGATGGTAAGCTAATTAGAATGGTGCATAGAGCATGTTGCAACAAGACATGAAAACGAAGGCCTCTTCTATAGGTCACTTCCGAGTTCTCGCGGTTCAGTGATCTGGTACCGAAATTACGGTGCGAGGGCGAGGCTAAGTGCAAAGTATAAGGAAAAAAATGCCGTGCTCTAGGAAATGAGCAAAACTTTCTCGAAATTCAGTGTGGGAGAGTGAAAATTATTTGTGAGAGAGGCATTCAGTGAAGTGATGGTGGCAGAGAAAAAAAAAAGAACTGTTTGATTTTTTGCAAGAAAGCTACAGTAATTAAGCAGATCCAAATTGCCTTTTCTCCCAAAGTCCTCAAAAAAAACTGTAGAAGGGGAAATTACAAACAAGTAAGGACAAATTTCCAGTACCAAAAATTTTTAATGCTCAGACGTACTACTTTTCTAACATTACAGAGCTCCCATTCGGCGGGCGAAAAATAGAGAAGGAAGACGCCAGAAGACGAGCAGAAGAACAGAAACTTTTGGAACTGGAGGCCGAACTTTGCCGACGCCGAGATCAGTTGTTCAATTACAAGTTTGGGGACAAGACCAGGCTTGATAATATGGGGCTAAACATTGATGATGTAACCCAGCTCAGGATCGGTGTGTTTGGCACCACGGGATCAGGGAAGAGTTGTTTCATCAACACGTGTGAACGGGTTGTGAGGCAAACAGAAAAAGGATCCGCCCCGGTATGCAGAACAGGAAAAATGGGAACCACCACACTCCAGGACTACCTGCCAGAGATGTTCTTCCGCTTGGTAGACACCAGGGGCTTTATCATGTACGACTCTAAAGAGAACATCGAGTTTCAGAATATCCTGCTAGGGAAAATTCAGCCCGGAGATAACATCGTTCGCCCTGAAGATGGCGAGGACAACACACAGGAGTTGCTTCAATGCCCAGCATTTGGACAAAGACTGCATGGAATCATTTTTGTTATAAAGGCTATCGACCCAAGACTCACTGAAGGGTCTTTCAGGGATTACCTGAAACCAGTTCGAGATTTCTTAAGAAAAAACGGTATTGTATGAATCTGTACACGATAAAGTTTATGAATCCCTCTTAATGACCCAGCTCACTGTGGAATCCGAAGGTCTGAGGTTCGATTCCCGGCATTGGGACTCAGGATTTTTTTTATTTGTTGCACGCTCGTGGCGAAAATATATCTTGCTTTGTTATTCTTTAATACCCACAATATGGATGAAAAGCCGGTCGATGACAGAAAAAGACCGGTGCTGGTGTGAAGACACGAACTAATCAGGTGGTAGACGACAGTATGTAACCATTTTCATTTATTTATTTTTTTACAGGAATCGCCCCAATAACTGTAATAACTCATAAGGACGAACTGAAAACTAAAGACGACGAGAAGGACGCTTATGACGAGGCATCAGCTGCTACCGGTAGCTCTCCTAACCACACTTTCTTGATTTGGAACTACACCGAAGAAAACAAGGATCGTAACCCTGAAATAGAGCAGATGATATTTGACATCTTGCACTATGCTTTGATGACCGCTGAACAGGCTGTCAAGATCATGAAGCAACAAGAGAAAAACAAAAGAGAGGATGAGATGATGAAAGCCCTCGAGGGAGTTAATATCAGTGGACAAGTGGCACCTGATCCCGCAGATGGTAAGCTGATTAGAATGGTGCATGGTGCATGTTGCAACAAGACATTGAGAACGAAGGCCTCTGCAGTATGAGTCATCGATTCCGTGCAATATATATCAATTTAAAACCGTGCTGAAAGGCACCAAGTTGTCGCCAATGTAGGGGGGGGGGAAGCTAGTTTGAGAGCGGGCATTAAATAGTATCAGCTACAGGTGTAAGCTGGGGAAAACATTCGAGGATAATTCTGAGGCAAAAATAATTTTTGATTATGCGTAGAATTGGGTTTCCTTACATGAGGCTGAAAACTCGCTGTACATTTTTGTACCTCACCATCTTGCATTGCAGGCGTACCATCAGGGCGGGCTAACATTACAAGCTCGCGATGTTTAATTTGGAGGTAGAGTGTACGATGGGTAGGGGGCGGGGGAAGGGCGAGAAGACTCGGTAATCCTCACTCCCCCACCCCTACCTCTCTCCTTATTTTTGACCGTCGACCGCCCCTTTGGTATGGTTAAAATCACAGATGGCGGTCATGATTTTCGTTAAGAAAATACTGAGCACTCGCTCTTTAAAATTACGCTTGCTCTGCAGGTTAGTACCGAAATGGCAGCGTAACTTCTCCCACTTGGCACCGACTGGCCGCAAAAACTAATTTTTCATTGTTTTTCGTTGTGTGCCTCAGGGTTAATAGCTACTAATCAATGTCTTGCATATTGTTTGTTCTCTATTTTGGCCTCTGATTCGCTCTTTATCACCTCGCTACTGAAATTCTATTACGTGACTGAGTGTGTATGAATTTTAATAAAATATCCTCATCGACATTACAATTATTTTCCCCACAGCTTCGGTGGAAGTGTTTTTGCGTTTCCTCCAGAAGGAATGTCAGTGGTCGACGAACAGTGTCATGACGGCTTCGAGCAAGTTGGCCAAAGATGACATAACAAGTGTAAAGTTATTAGCCATGAGCTGGAGTGAAGTTCGTCACCATTTTTCAGTTGGCATGAGTAGAATGATTGAGAAGGAGCTCAGGAAACGAGGCATGATCTCATGAACAATTGAGTGGCGTCTGGAAACAGACTCAACGTACAGGAAACCGTAGTTTCTTGAGCAAATTTGACCAACTTTTTTTTTCTAACGTTTAAGGGGTAATTAATAGACAAATGCTGAGCACACAGTTGTTTTGAAAAGACAACATTTCATTTCTGATGTTTAGGATAAAAATATATTGATCGTAACATTGTTAGAATCATGAAAAATATTTTGACTACAGGTCCATAGGTTTACTTGTTCCCTGCTGGTGTTTCAAAACACAAAATTTATGAAACCATTACTATATACTTCTCAGATAGTTTAATCAAGAATTGCATCTGTAAAAGGAACTAATGATCAGTAATTAACTACGATAATATGTTGCCTTTCTACTTAGGGGTGTTGATTAAAAGCATTTGTCCTTCTGCTAGTGATCGTTGAATCTTTATGCCCGATCTTAATGATTCCATTCAGTTTCTATAACCAATCACAGCCTCGTCATTCAGGTAATGATTCCCGCTATGTTCAAATGCGAAGTGGTTAAGCAAAATAATTTGCAACCTTTTTTCTAAAAGTGTTCAAAAGATCGGAGAAGTCACTGGGGAGAGGGACGCGGAGGACTCGAACAAAGCACTTGCCAATGTGATACACAAACACCGCAACTGATGACGACAGTGTTAACTCTGTTGAATCTTGTTGGTACTTTTATTAATCTGAACTTTAAAACTGGCAAGCCAAAAAGAAAAAAAAAAGGACTAAAAGAGGTCTAAAATTTTTTAGCTCAGCTTTCTTTCAATTTAGAGATCTTTCCTCCCATTCCCCACCCTCTCATCCCTTGCCACTTTACAGTAACCAGTCTTGCAACTTAAAACTACCGTAGATGAAAAAATGTTTATACTAAGACTTTTACTAACCGCGAGAATCTTCCAGTACAGTTTTTCATTCTGAGCCGTAACAAAAGCAGGCCTTGATTTCTAGTTCATAAACTTCAATCAGTTAAAGTGCACTAAAGATGATCGTTGATTAGTAGAAAAATTGGATTAGAAATCCTTCCATTCCATTCGGTGGAAAGCTTTTTCCTTGTAACTAACTTTTCCACGCAAAATCAACTTCCGGATTTTCCTAGAAATTGTTAGATTCTTATCGGTGTGAGTCACGAAACGCCAAAAACATAATGTAACGTGATCGACAGATAAACAAACACAAAATTGACACATACCATTGATAATTTTTACAGGAATACATCTGCATTATGTGAAAGTCAATAAATATAGGGGTTGGGAATAAAATTCCTATCTCGCCACAGGACTTTTGAACAAAATAGCGTAACAATTATCGAATCACGTGATTGCTGGATAAAGCTTCATTCCTGAAAATCCTCACTGCATATCGCTGATCACCATCAACGGAGAGCCTTCGCCGGGAAGATATCCACTTTGAGCAGACCAAGCCATTGTTTTTCTCCAGTATGGGGGTAAGTGTTTCCTCGTGAAGATATTTCGATTCATTTCCGGAAATTTTAATTCCAAATTTTCAGTTTGGGGCTTATATTACACTCTCGGGTGAAGCCGGCGTGATATTAAAATGTTGAACCCTTCATTGGAATACGTCTCTTATCATATTATTTCGCCAGATATGGTTAGCTATTCCTGTAGATATCACAGAACCTCACAGTTTGAAGTATTAAATTTAAACTTAGGCTATATATATGTAATCGTTATCATTTTCGTACGTAACAGACCGCGCGTGAACTCCTTCACAACTGATGATTTCTCGAAAACTCAAAGTAAATACTCCGCTCATATTTCGATGTAAATAAATAATAATAATAATGTAAATAACCTCAGCAAACTCCTATCAACTTCCTGAACTACAGTAGAACGCCTGATTGGGAAATTTGAAAACAAAAGACGATTCAAATTCGATTTTTTTTTGGTCAAATAGCTAACCGTGCGTTCTACCTTCCGGAAATTTCCGGGAAAACTGAATCGCTAAACCCGGCTTCTCCTGCATGTGCAATCCATCTTGTGCACCGCACAATTAATCAAGTAGTTGTAAAACGTCCGTTACATTTAAGATTCTACACTTTACGATCACCATAATTTACGAGCTAATATCGCTTAGCCAACGGACTAAAAATTCGCTGTTTTTTTTCTTAAAGTAGCGCTGCCTCAGTGCAATGTATGATCTTTAAGAGGCCGTGACTGTAAATATCGAGAATCGCCAGCCAGGCTAAAAAAATCGAAAATTCTGATAATTTGCCTGGAAAACCCTTTTAGGGAGATATATTTGGTTTGCGACTCATTTTTTTATAGTAAGGTTTGCGACGCACTGTAGCCAGAGGTCACGAATTTGCATGATGCAAATCATTTGTAGAAATCGTACCGCCTAACTGTTTTCCAATAATAATGACCAGTATTTAATAGCGTTTAATTCATTTTTTAAGTCAATGAGTTTTGTGTTTCTTTTCTCGTAACTGTCTTGACGAAAAGCAAAATGTTTCAATTGCGTGACAATTGTCACGTTGGATCAAAGGTGAAGTTGCTGAGTAAAGCGGACACGATCCTTTTTTCGTCAAAACTCCATTCTGAAGCACCTTGTCCTATAGATCTCGTTTTATATTACTAGTGTAAATTCTTTTATGAGTCTATATCGAACAACATCCAGCCGGCCTAATCCTGTCTGACTGCCAAGTGCGGTTCGAAGGGGACTTTTTCATTTCCGGTTTGCGCCTTTAATACGGGGACCGCGGAGCTATAGGGTTGAGAGGGCTGTAGCCCCACCAAGAACAATTTAGTATTATCATCATTATTTATTTTAATCCTTGTATTGAGAAATATGACAAATTTTTCTTAGGATTGAAACGCGTTTCTGGTGATTTCAGAAGCTCTAGATTTCAAAATTTGCCGGGGGAGCATACCTCAGGACATCCTGTCAGCAGTCTTTCTGTACTAAGAAAGGCGTAATAAGAAACAGACAAAAGGAGGCCCTCCTAGGAGAGGAGGCCCCAGGACCCTCATAGATAAGTTGGTGCCAATGAGCTCACACTACGTGGGAACTACAATAGCTCCTCTCATCCAAAATATGCTTCATGACCCCTGTTTTATATCAACGTTCATATAAAACTCATTTTTTTTGAAGCAGCCTTTTGCCATTTGCCTTTTAAACTGCACTGTAAGAGCAGCATCTAACAAGGTCTTCGAGCAGAGCGATGTAAGCTGTCTTTTTCCTCTGATCAACCCCAGGTGGTAATGCAAGATTGAAACTCTCGCAAAGGAATTTTAAGATTGCAAGTTTGAGAGTTTTGAGTGTGTTATTCTCGACCATGGAACAGTTGTACTGTTGGTAATGAATAGGATGAATTACATTTAACTGCTCAAAAATAGACTCCTTAGTATTTGACAAATTAAATTATTCCTCCATCGCAACCAGATCTTGCTCAGTTACAGCTTGTGCGCAGGGTGCTGTCTGCCATTTCACTTTTGCTGTCATTCTGGAAAAAAATGAAGCTACTCGTTGAGTTGTCAAAAACTCAGAGACACTGAACAAGCGCTCCCCGTTCAATCTCTTTGCTCTTCTTTCTGTTGCAACAATTTCCGCGTCGACCTTCTTGCCGCTTTCTTGTCCGATGGTAAATCTAGCGGTCAGGTACTCTCGTTGCTTTTCGTTAAACCGGTAAACTTTCTATACTTGTTTTAAAGCGAAGCCTTCAGGCGGTATTAGATACCAGTGCCACGAAGACAAGTTTCAGGAGGTAGAGGAGTAGTTGGCACGGAACTTGAACCTTCCTCGAGCCTTGCAGCATATTTAACCTTCGCTTTATCAAGAAGTGTCTCCCTTTCAACCGCCTTTGTGCATGTTCCTAACGCGAGGTGCTTTTTTGGAGAAGAGTGCCGTTGGAACTGAAACTATGCGTGCAGCCCTCTTTTGGACATGGAAGCACTTGATCCCCCCCCCCCCCCCCCAAGAAGAGAAGTAAAGCTACAGAATAACATCGTTTTCTGTTTATGCTCTATGAAAAACCTCGCGCGTGTTTACCTTTAAGAAAAAGACCGTGATTACATCACAAAGAATTATCGTCCGGACTGCAACAGTGACATAAGTTCTTTTTATCAAGTTTTATGACAGAAATGTGGCCATTTTTCCGAAAAAGATAAGAGTAAATAGCATGAAAATAGTTGGGCTGTTATCTTGAGGTGAAAAACTACACAGCAGAAGCTTGCGGTGTTGCGTGACTTTGTTTACTCATAACTTTTTTCAAGATATCCAAGATATTTCAAAAGAAATATTATCGCAGTTGCAGAAAACGTAACTATTCAACTAAGAATGATGTCGATAACAAACAGCCAGTCAACAAAAATGGTAAACTATAAGGTGGCCCTTATCTATATTTAGGTGTAGGTAGTGCTGTTGAAATAGCGAGTCAACAATAACAGTCTTCTGCTATTCAAATTAACAGAAAATTTCGTATCTACACATCAATTTACAGCCCTCTTCAGCAACGTCTACGAATTTTTTTATTCTATAATTTTATATCATTTCCATATCAAAGAGTTTTTTAACCATCTTTAGCTATATTGTTTACTTCGTAGCTCTCAAGTACGATTTCTACAACTGATTTGCATCATGCAAATTCCTGACCTTAGCCACAGTGCGTCACAAACTCTTTTATTTTGCCGGCACTTTCCTGAATGACCCAAATTTTTTATTTCATATTATTTTTTTATAAGGACCAAACTTTGTGCCAGCATGCAGTTTTACATGATTTCTCACATACCAAGACGCGTTTTGAAAGCTTGAAGTTGCTCGTTTTTTTGCTTTTTGCAACAAGTGTTTGAGAGTACTTTGTTAAAAAATCATTTAAATTTTAAAATCAAACCAAAGCCCCTAAAAAAGCCACAGATAAAGATCAAATTAATTATCTTTTGAAGTAAAAACACCCCCGATTTCTTAAGAAACATCCTTCCTCTGTACTAGTGCACTAAAGTTGGTCAATTTTACTGTATTTTTGCATAATTAATTCGGTAAAAACCCGAATTTTCGTTTTTCCCCATTTCCACGGATGCATTTGATTTTTCAAACTTCGAAATAATTTTTTTGAATATATCTCCCTTAAAGGGTTTTCGAGGCAAATTATCAGAATTTTCGAATTTTTTAGCCTGACCAGCGATTCTCGATAGTTACAGTCATGGGCTCTTAAGCTCTTCAAAGGTCAATAGGATGGTACCTAATAACTTATTATGTTACATGACTGAATTCAGTCTCAAGAATGGGGCTTGGACGGATTCACGTTTGTTGCTAAGTTACCAGGGGGAGAAGCAGTTTACCTTAGACCTCGAATTGAGAGGTTGTCAGTCTGCTAAAGAAAAACACTGTACTCAAAAACCATCTGTGATAAACTATTTCCAATATGTTTCTACGCTTCTTTTGTGTATCAATATAAACCTCTTCCATGCATGCCTACACTTATCGTTTTATAAATTTAGTTATTTGATGTTGCTTGGGCAGTATCCTGATTAACAGCCAGTCTAATTACATTTGAAAATACGCTTTTCCTTCAGAATAGTTCTAGCGAGGAGACTCACTACACTTATAAAGATGACACGGACGAAGAAAGGCAAAGGGCAGAGGAGAGAGAGGCAAGACGGCTGGAGAATGAACGAAAGCAACGCGAGAAAGAGGAGGGGGAGCGTATAGAAAAAGAAAAGCAACAGGAGGAAGAGAGGCACAGAGAGAAACTCAGGCGACAGCGACAAAAGGAAAGAGAGGATGAAGAAAAGATAAGGAAAGAGGACGAACTGAAAAGGCGGGATTTGGAGGCCGAACTTTGCCGACTTCGGTATCAGTTGAAAAATTACACATTTGGTGACAAGATAAAACTAGATAGTTTCCTAGGACTGGAAATTGATGATGTAACCCAGCTCAGGATCGGTGTGTTTGGCCCCGCCGGTTCAGGCAAGAGTTGCTTCATCAACACGGTTGAACGAGTGGTGAGACAAACAGACAAAGGTACCCTTCCAGACCAGTCCAGAGGAGGAGAGGGGACCATTATACTCCAGGACTACCTGCCAGAGCTATTCTTTCACTTGGTGGACACCCGGGGTTTCTTCAAATATAACTCTAATGAAATCATCGAGTTTCAAAATGTTCTGAGTGGGAAAATTCAGCCTGGTGAGATCATCGTTCGCCCTAAAAAAGGCCAAGTCAACCAACAAGAAATGCATCGGTGCCCAGAATTTGGACAAAGACTACACGGCGCTATCATTGTTTTGAAAGCTAACGACCCAAGACTGAACAAAGGGAATTTGAGGGACTACTGGAACCCACTTCAAAATATCCTGCGTAAAAGTGGTATTGACTGTATTTGTAAAAATTTCTGAAATTGCTCATGATAAAACGAAAACCATCTTTTTTTGTTATTGCATACTATTTATTAACACAAAGCTTTCGACATTTCTGATCCTAGCAGTATGTAGGATAGGTGTCACACATGAACCTAATAATAGCCTACGTGCATCGGAGCACGGAACTCGTAAGCCAAAAAAAACGTTGCAATTCCCTTTCAAGTTTTCAACAGTGCTCAAGCGACATCCAAACTCATTGTTTTCCTCTTTAACAGGTATTGCACCAATCACTGTAATTACTCACTGCGACCAACTGAACGGTGAGGAAGAGAAGAACAAGGCTTGGGAGGATGCATATGAAGCCACCAATAGCTCGCCAAGTCATACATTCTTGACGTGGAACTACACAAAAAACAACTCTGAACGAAACCCGGAAATAGAGCGAATGACATTCGACATCTTGCACTATGCTCTGATTACCGCAGAAAGAGCTGTGAAGCAAATGAAGCATCAGGAGAGAAACAAAAGGGAAGATGACATGGTGAGGGCTCTGAAGTGCTTTACATTCAGTGGACACGTGGCACCTGACTCTGTTGACGGTAATATGACATTTGAGTTTTCATTGGCTTCTCCCTTCCGCCATCAAAGGCAGGACTTCGTCGAAAACCCTATTTTTAGCATATGTTATGTTTCTCCTTGCCTTGAGTTGAAAAGTGCAAATTGTGGGCAGCGGTATGTCGATTTTGATTCTCTGTTCTTGAAATGAATTCATGGTAGTTTTTGAACGAGCCTACATATAAAAAAGAAAACCAAAATGTTCTCCAAATTATTGTTTGACCCATGGGGAGAGTTGGGTGGATTTAAAGTTTTTTGACGCTGTTGTGTTGCACATCCATCTGAAGTGTGCGTGTATGAGTGCTTATCATTATTATCATTATTGTCATTATCGTCATTATTATCATTGGTTGGTGAGCAGGCGTGACCTTGCAGTATTTGTATGAGAATCCGATGTCAAATAATTTTTGTGAAAATTCTGCTACGATAAAAATATCAGTAATAATGCAAACTTAAGCAACAGTTGTACACGCTCTAGGAAAAGGATTCTTCTGTAAAACATTTTTCTTCCTGCAGACTAAAATTTCCAGAAAAAAAATAACAGACAATGTATGGAAAATCTATTACAAACAACAGGGCAAATTCAAGGACAGGTATAGCCATAGCCACTATGAAGCGAGCATCCCCATCACTCTCAAAATGCATTATCAGTTGCCCCAGATGTCCAGGCAGTCCATGGAACAATTTAAACAATAATATAGTTTTGTGTATTCAGATTAATTATTGCTAGGTGCATTTTTTTTAATGACAACATACTTTCACAAGTTAGGTATATATATAGTTATTATCACAAAAGCAAATGATTTCTGGTTTTATCGCTAATTGAGATATCAGATCAAGAAAGTGTAAGCTTATTAACAAAGAGTTAAATTTTAGCTTTATATTTAGACAATTTACTGTACGTTGTAAAATTACTAAGCCAAACACCAACTTTAGCTTGTAAAACACTAAAATAATTACTTACCTTTCGGTCTCAAAACATTTTTCACTTTACTGCTTTAAAAATTTGAGATTGTGTTCATTACACGCCGATGTTTCTTGTAATTCTCCCGTGTGACGACATGAACTAAAGGCAAAAAAGGTCACGCAAGCAAGGAAGGCTTGGGCACAAATTCAATAGGCTTGGCTATTGAGTTGAGCCTGGTTTCTAAGCTCCTTCAGAAAGTAATCCCAAACAACATTATTGCTGGTACCCATGACTTACGTCAAGAAAATACTGAGCACTCGCTCGCCAAAATTACGCCTACTCTGCAGGCTAGGTACCGCACTGGCAGCATAACTTCTCCCACTTGGCACCAACTGGCTGCAAATACTAATTTTTCGTTGCTTCTCGCTGAGTGCCTTAGGTTTAATAGCCAGTTATTATATCTTGCATCTTCTTTGTTCTCCTTTTCTGATTCGCGCTTTATTATCGTGTTATTGAAATTCTACTGAATAACTGAGCGCGTATGAATTTTTAATGAAATGTTCTTATGGACATTACGACTATTTTCCCCACAGCTTCGGTGGAAGTGTTTTTGCGTTTCCTCCAGAAGGAATATCTGTGGTCGACAAACAGTATCATGACGGCCTCGAGCGAGTTGGCCAAAGATGACATAACAAGTGTAAAGTTATTAGCCATGAGTTGGAGTGAAGTTCGTCACCATTTTCCAGCCGGGATGAGTAGAATGATCGAGAAGGAGTTCAGGAAACGAGGCATGATCTCATAAACAATTGGGTGGTGTCTGGACACGGACTCAACGCACAGGAAACCGTAGTTTCTTGAGCAAATTTGATCAACTTTTTTTCTAACGTTTAAGGGGCATCTAATAGACTAATGCTGAGCACACTAATTGTTTTTAAAAGACAACATTTCATTTTTGATGTTAAGGATGATTAAAAATTAGTAATCGAAATACTGTTAGAAAAGTAAATTTTTTGTATTTAGGTTTTGTGGGACTGTATTTTCAATAAAGAACACAGAAAAATTTAGTTCAGGTAGGTAGATATGAGGTTGCAAATGGAAGAGTCTAGGGAAAAAAGATAGGTGCATTACAAGATCAGAGCACAAGAAATACTTTAATGAATCATATGTTAAATTAAGTTCTCTGAAGTAACATTACATTAACGTTGCTAATAATTTTTAACCCAATAAGATTTACAATTTGACCTGGAGGTTTTTATTTAACAGAAAGTTCAATATAGATAGTGTCACCATAATAGATTTCAGGAACAGTAATCAGAGACATAACTTAAACACAGCAGAGTTCAATGTACAGGCAAGTTCATCATATGATTTAAACTACCAGTATGAAGTATGAAGAGAATCTAGAAGACTGCCAAGCTTGAAGGAAGTCATGAGATGTTAAGGTCTGAATAATTCTGGCCATAACTTGGAAAACATAACACTAATCACATTTCAGTTAACATTAAAGCACTAGGCTTCTATTCATATTTTAATAAAAGCAAAACCTCTTTGTTACTGAGTTTTCATGGATTACTCCCCAAAGTTTGGGGAGTAATCCATTAAAACAATCACAATAGACATTTAGCACCTTGTTAACAACAAACCACAGTTTCAGGTTAAGCGTTAGATGTTTGCAACTTTATTGGTTTAGCTATGTAAACATGAAAGTATAATTTCATTTAAAGAGGCTGTCAAATTGAATTTCCAGACAACAGCAGTGTTTGATTTTCTAATGGCAACAAAAAAGTCCTATTTTCACTACTGGCTAAAAATGGTTTATCTATTTGTATTCAATGACATGTAATGCCATGGGTGGTAAGGTATTTTGCAGTTTAACCAAAATTTTATCTTTGCATGTACTAAAAAGACTGGTTAAGTAATTTTCTCACTGAGCATGTGGTATAAACAGAAATTCAGGATAAAAAATGTTCCAGTAAATGACTTATGTGAAATGTGACCGCAAAGAGAGTCAATAATGACTCCTAAGTTTCAATGTGGCACGACCTGCACTTAAGGATGAAATGTTAGCCTGTGAGAGCAAAACTCCATGCTGTAATCTGCACTTAGAAGACGAGCCCACTGTAGGAAAGCCAGCATGTCAAATCTAAGCAACAAAGATAAATTAAAAACTAGATAAAAAAACGATCTTCGACAGTGTGTTACAGCCACCATCGCAAAATGGTCGCTTTCTGAAGCTTTGAAGCTTAGGCAACTTAGCCAAGCATAGACTGGAACCTATCTTCGACAATGATACACTACGTGACAAGCACTCTGTTCACTGTGATAAATCCAGCGAAGAATAAGTATCTTGGATCATGACATAATGTGGTTTGTTTTACACTTCATGTAAACCACACAAAAACAGTTACAGGATAAACTAATAATTGTATAAAAACTTAAGCAAATGCAAGCACAAAAAACAAAGTTTATTTCCAACAGAAAGCCTGGGTGAACACAATTAGGTGTTTAGTTTCATTCTGATATTGACGTTGGTTTAACAGTCTCTCCTCTCTACATTCTGCTGATTCATTTGCAATTTTTTGTCTTTGATACTGAGATTGGGTTTGCCAACCCCCTTTTTTCTTGATTCAGAAGATTCATTTGCATGTTTCTTTTCCCTGGTCAGATGCTGCTGGGTCAGCCACTTTTCCCTTGATTCCTCACTTTCATTTACCCTTCTTCATTTCTCATATTCATGTTTAGCAATCACTCGTTTTTCTTTTTCTTCTGCCATTTCAGTTGAAGACTTTTGCTTCCTTTTCATATGTTGTGTTTGGTTTCTTTTATTTCTGAAAGGCAAATGTTCATTTTTTGGACTCTCGTGAACATTTTGCAAATCAAGTTCATTATCTCTGACAAAGACACCTTAAATTTCAAAAGGAACAAACCCTATTTGTAAGCAGGAAATGTTCAAATATGATACAAGGTTTTCAATTCCTTCAATGGTAAGCAAAGTACATTTCCCAAATGAGTGGGGCATCCCATGCAAATCCCTGGAATGAGCATCAAAAATTTTAAAGCTTTGTTCTGAATTCTTAATCACTGCAACAGTATTTATTACAATCGTTAACAAGCAACATTTGTAGTTAAGTTGACAATTTGAAAACACTTCTGTCAGAGAATTTTGAAGAGATATGAATGGCTCATTATTTGATGTCATGAACAAACTTCTTGTTAATGACTCACTATATTCTAATGTGTATACATTATTGTACATTGAAACAATGCATGGAACATCAGTGAAAAGCAAATAATCATTTGTCTGGACAGAACATCTTATAGAAGTATACAAATTATTTCTAATGGTAAGAATATTATTTAAAATGGAAGAAGTCCACAAATTGATATCTTCTATGTGATGATAAATAATAGCAGTAAGTGACATTGCTTACCAACATTTTCACCAAAGAGAGCTTCATTTCCTTCACTGTGGTCAGCACATATTGTTCTTGTTGGATCGATGGCATCAAATATTGTAGGGCCTGGATTTTCCTCTAAATCATTCGCCTGCGTTATAAGAGGAGTTACTACATCACGGGCGATGAGCGAGGCAGTAAGAAAGTACAAGTGGTCAGCGGGGAAACAAATTTAATACTTCATATAGAGACATATCAGTTGTAGTTGCAGAAAGCAATAGTGTTGTAAAGCCGAAATGTGAACAGTATACTTCGCTCAATAAAATGTGAAGCAATTTTTCAAAAGTGTAGATGGCACATATATCTTTTACTGCTATATTAAACAATGGAAGTATCGGGAAAGGCATCGGTTGCATTCGGAAAGGCACTAAGAAGAATTATATCTACGTTTTGTAACTCGCAAAAAACAATCGTGTTGTAAAGCCAAAATCTTACCAGGTTATACTTCGGTAATTCAAAAGTTAAGCAATTTTCCAAACGCTTTGACTGAAACAATATTTTTACTTCTATTTTGACCAACAGAGGCATCGGGAAAGGCATCGGTGACACCGGGAAAGGCATCAAGAAGAATGATATTTACGATATGTAACTTGTTGTATGACGAAAAAAAGTATCTTGACTTGTTTAAGGCATTAATCACAGTCGGTTTGCTTTTCACTTGAATTTTGCAATCTCGACTTTCGATTCCCGAAAAATGAAAAGTCAAGCAACTCTAAAAAAATTTCGTTCTAGATTTTTTACATTTTTAGAGCCATTAATAAGTTTGTATCCACAGCCTTTAGGTAGGAAATTTTAAATTTTCATCAGCTGTAGTTCTTTTAGTGTTTATTATATATATTAAATCGCCTCGTTTCACGTGAAAAAGGCATGTAGGAAAACACTGAGCTTCGAGAAACAGCCAAGTTAAGGCTAATGTGTTTACCATGCTTAAATATTTATAAATAGGGCCACTCGTTTAGGAGACCTTTTTTCAAAAGATCCAGGCATTAAAATAATTCTGTTTTCCGTTCGAAGTGTTTTTTTTCTTTTCTATTTAACAAATGAACTCGGGATGAAAAATTTTGAAGCGAACGGCGGGTGAAATGTTGTGTTGGTGTCTCTGCCCCCCCCCCCCCCCCCCCCCCACGTCTCTGCGAAAGGTACATCCCGACAACCTGCATGGAAAAACTGACCACAGCTATCGCACCAAATTTTTAAAAGAAATCTTTAAAACTAAACTGGTAGCAAACAAAAACAAGTAGTTGTAAAATTTATTTATTCTCCGACGCGTTTCGTTTAACTGTCGTAGACTTCTTCGGGGAGTTCTTCAGTTTAACACTAAACAACTGTATTTATAAGCCATAGTAAGTGGCTATACGGGAGCCAATGACCATAAAGGCTCGGCCGGACCTACGAATTGGAACAGCTGAAGTTGCGGAAAATTTGAAAATATTTTGGGGCAAGGTGGGAGAATTCATTTGGGGACCACGGTTTTGGTTTTCTTTTTTCGTCACACAGCAAGTTACAAAACGTAAATATAATTCTTCTTGGTGCCTTTCCAGATGCCACTGATGCCTCAGTTTTCCGATGCCTTCATTGTTTATTACCAGCAGTAAAAGGTATGTGTGCCATCAACACTTTTGAAAAATTGCTTAACATTTTCTTTAGCGAAGTATACTGTTGACATTTCGGCTTTACAACACTATTGTTTTCCGCAACTACAACTGATATGTCTCTGTATAAATTATTAAATTTGTTTACCCGCTGACCACTCGTATTTCGGTCTTTTCTTCATACCCCACTCGTCGCCCGTGATGTAGTAACTCCCCTCGTGTACAAATAAATAAATAAATCCGATCGTGCCATAATGTGGCTACACATGTTGTGTAAGCAACACAAAAAAGACTGCACGACATTTCCAAGAAAGCCTGTCAGTTGTTTTGATTGACTAGAGTCACGCCAATTTTAAAAACATCACGCAACACGAAACTCAGATTAGGTCACAAAACATCTATTTCACCAGAAGATAGCGGAGAGCATTAAGAAATCTCCCCACTTCATGAAAGTGGTCAATGTTAATGAGAAAGCATCTCATTTAAATGGCTTAAATTCATAGAAAACCCATGTGGTCATTAGAGAGGGAAACTTCCCATCGCCGGTGCATGAGAGAATCGACATAGTTAACGGTAGTGTGAGACTTTTCAGCCCTGGCATGGGTCAAAGAAGAATCTGAGACCCTGAAAAGATTCACGCCCCAGATTTAGTATTTTTTCTGTAGTTTTTCTGGGCTCTTGCAAGAAGGGCGCTATATCAATGGTCGAATTCATGATTCATGATAGTAACACTAAATTTATTCTTCCCCTCTCCCTAGAGTGGTTCTAGTCAACAGACTCACTACACTTATGTGGATGAGACAGAAACAAAAAGGCGTGAAGCACAGGAGAGAGAGAGAGGCAAGACGGCTGGAGAATGAACAAAAACAACGCGAGCATGAGGAAAGACTGCGTGTGGCGAAAGAGAAGGAAGAAGAGGAGAAGAGACGAAGGGAGCAACTCAAGGAACAGCGGCAGAAAGAAATAGAAGAAGAAGAAGCCAGAAGACAAGCAGAAGAGCAGAAACTTTTGGAACTGGAGGCCGAACTTTGCCGACGCCGAGATCAGTTGTTTAATTACAAGTTTGGAGACAAGACTAGGCTTGGAAATTTTATGGGGCTAAAGATTGATGATGTAACCCAGCTCAGGATCGGTGTGTTTGGCCCCACGAGATCAGGGAAGAGTTGCTTCATCAACACGTGTGAACGGGCGGTGAGGCAAACAGAAAAAGGATCGCTCCGAACAGCACAACAGGACAAGAGGGAACCATCACACTTCAGAACTACCTGCCAGAGATGTTCTTCCGCTTGGTAGACACCAAGGGCTTCTTCAACTACAACTCTAACGAGAACGCCGAGTTCAGAATATCCCGTTCGGGAAAATTCAGCCCGGAGATAACATCGTTCGCCCTGGCAATGACGACGACAACACACAGGAGTTGAATGAATGCCCAGCATTTGGACAAAGACTGCATGGAATCATTATGGTGGTGATGGTGTGATGGCTAACGACCTAAGAGTCCGGCACTGAAGGGGCTTTGAGGGATTACCTGAAACCAGTTCGAGATGCCTTAAGAAAAAACGGTATTTTATGAATCTGTACACAGTAAAGTTTACGAGTCCCTCTTAATGGCCCAGCTCACTGTAGAGTCTCTGTGGCTTAGTGGTAGAGCATCAGAGCGCGGAATCCGAAGGTCTGAGGTTCGATTCCCGGCATTGGGACTCAGAATTTTTTCTTTGTCCCACGCTCGTGGCGAAAAATATCTTGCTCTGTTATTGTTTAATACCCACAATATGGATGGACATAGAAGCCGGTCAATAACTTAAAAAAATGGTGCTGGTTTAAACACACGAACTAATCAAATGGTAGAGGACAGTATATTACCATTTTCATTTATTTTTTACAGAAATTGCCCCAATAACTGTTATAACTCATAGGGACAAACTGAGAATCGAAGACGATGAGAAGGACGCTTTTGACGAGGCATCAGCTGCTACCGGTAGCTCTCCTAACCACACTTTCTTCATGTGGAACTACACCAAAGAAAATAAGGATCGTAACCCTGAGATAGAGCGCATGACATTTGACATCTTGTACTATGCATTGATGACCGCTGAACGGGCTGTCAAGATCATGAAGCAAAAAGAGAAAAACAAAAGAGAGGATGAGATGATGAAAGCTCTCGAGGGAGTTAATATCAGTGGACAAGTGGCACCTGATTCCGTTGATGGTAAGCTAATTAGAATAGTGCATGGTGCATGTTGCAACAAGACATTGAAAACGAAGGCCTCTGCAGTATGATTCATCGATTCCGTGCAATACATATCAATTTAAAACCGTGCTGAAAGGCACCAAATTGTCGCTAATGTAGGGGCGGAAACTAGTTTGAGAGCGGGCACTGAATAGTGAGAGCTACAGGTGCAAGCTGGGGAAAACGTTTGAGGAGAATTCTGAGGCAGTAAGAGTGTACGATGGGGGTGAAGGCGGGGGAAGGGCGAGAAGACTCGGTAATCCTCACTCCCCCACCCCTACCTCTCTCCTTATTTTTGACCGTCGACCGCCCCCTTGGCACAAAGGGGCGGTTAAAATCACAGATGGCGGCCATGATTTTCGTTAAGAAAATAGAGAGCACTCGCTCGCCAAAATTACGCCTGCTTTGCAGGCTAGTACCGAAATGGCAGCATAACTTCTCCCACTTGGCACCGACTGGCCGCAAAAACTAATTTTTCGTTGCTTTTCGCTAGGTGCCTTAGGTTCGATAGCCATTAATAAATATCTTGCATATTGTTTATTATCTTTCTTTTTTGCCCTCTGATTCGCATTTTATCACCGCGTTATTGAAATTCGATTACGTAAATGTGTGTGTATGAATTTTAACAAAATGTCCTCATCCGAATTTACAATTATTTTCCCCACAGTTTCGGTGGAAGTGTTTTTGCGTTTTCTTCAGAAGGAATATCAGTGGTCGACAAACAGTATCATGGCGGCTTCGAGTAAGTTGGCCAAAGATGACATAACAAGTGTAAAGTTATTAGCCATGAGCTGGAGTGAAGTTCGTCACCATTTTCCAGCTGGTATGAGTAGAATGATCGAGAAGGAGCTCAGGAAACGAGGCATGATCTCATGAACAATTGGGTGGTGTCGGGACACGGACTCAACGCACAGAAAACCAAAGTTTCTTAAGCAAATTTGACCAACTTCTTTCTAACGTTTAAGGAGCAATTAATAGGCTAATGCTGAACACGCAGTTGTTTTTAAAAGACAACATTTTATTTATAATGTTTAGGATAATTAAAAATTATCTATCGAAACACTGTTAGAATCATGAAAAAATATTTTGACTGAAGGTTTTATGACTTATGACTTGCGATATTCTTGGTGCATGAAAGTAAAGGAACAATTTTTATTTTACGCTTTCGATCTCTAGTGTTGTAACAACAAACTCCACCAATAAGCGACTTGAACGAACAACAACCTTTTTTATGTAACAAAGTTGACGGTGTAAGTTAGTGTACCTTTGTGAAAAACAAAGTCCGAAGCCCCGCCTCTAAGCAAACAACAGGCATCGTGTAATTACCATACTGAACCAGCTTTTGTTTACTTAGGCTTACTATTTTTAGCAGGTACAAAATTTAGCTTTTTAACGAGTATTAGCCGAAGGCCCGATCTCCGCGACTTACATGTAAGAGATTTCGATGTTCACAAGAACAAAAAATCTGAGCAGCAGAGTGACGTCTTTTTACTTTCCCCTTCCCCTACCCCCTAAAAAATAACTTTCCATTGTATGATTTGCATTCCGTGACTACTCTCCGTATACAACACCACGTTGACTGCAACATATGTGTAGTGCTACTTTCAAAAGCATAGATCAGATCTACTGCACCACAAACCGAACAACACTCACAGTCAACTGAACCGCTGGATAAGATGCCACAGTGCAGAAAGATGTCAAACGTTTTACAGCGAAGGTTGGTGACAGTTCGCAGATTGACAGGAAGTTTCATCGGACGTTATAACAGGGTCGTAACAAGGTATATGAGATCAGGGATCACAGCCCCGGGATCTGGGATCACAACACTTGGGATCGGGATCAGCAGTGTTTTAGTGGAATCAGGGATCAAAATTGTGAACGTTTTTGGGATCAGGGATCAAAATTCCCAATGTTTTTGTGATCAGGGATTAAAATTCTCAACGTTTTTGTGATCAGGGATCAAAATTTGGGGCAAAAATACAGGATCAGTTATGAAAAAATATACCTTGTTACGACCCTGTTATATATACGACGAGCGACGAGATAACCACAGTAAAATGGTCTTTGGATCTTTCTACTACGGCAAATGAGGTTGGAGAATTTGGAAATGTGTATCCATGTACATTTTCCGGCCTCATATAGGTTGAAACATATCAAAATATGTGTGTGACTCGCGACTGGAATGTTGACCGCAAAAGGTCAAATAACTGCATTTTAACGGACTTTGGAAAGCTTTTGTATTGCTCTCAATCATTTGCCCAAACAAATTTTTGCAGTAATATTGAGAACATCTTTTCGTAATTCTACCGCCAAAAGCTTAATCCATTTGAAGGTTTAGTACATGCTGAAAATTAACTTTACTCACATAGTACTTTTACTGAAGAGAAATGTATGCTTTCGAATTTAAATTCTTTTCACGCAAAGAGGAAGCCAGTGTTTACAAAAATCGTTTTGTGAGGTCTTGTGAGGTTGGAAAAGAAGATTTGAGTGTTAAAAAGACAAGATAGTGATTCGTTTTTGAACGCGAAGCCCTCAAACTTGTGCAATAATTTGCTGCTAAAAATGACGATTTTAACGGAATTTTGTTATTTGTATTTTTCTCTGAAATAAAAAGATATTTTGCCAAAAAAAGTATCCAGTGATTTTAGTTATAGTCTAGCCTATTTAATATTAAAACAAGAAAGAAATCGAATTTTTCACCCTTGCCGCGAAATTTAGAATTTGTCTGATTTTTACAGACAAGCGCTCTTAATAACAAAGTAAAGGATTAATACCCTTTTTTCAGAAATCTTCCTTCTTTTCTGTCATCTAAGTTTTCAGAAGGTCATACAGCTGAGATGTTTTGGCCAGAACACATGCTACCATCAGAAGGAAGCAAGTACAATGAGGAGACAAAAATAATTTTCTAGGAAATCCTATGTGTTTACGGTAGTAAACATGGGCGCACCTTCGTACGTACTTGAGTGCGGTGTCCCAGTGAAGCATACCATGGGCGCAAAGTTAGGCAAAGTTAAACTGTTTATATTCTCTTGAATAAACTAACTAGAGCTCCACTTCTAGAGTTGGTGAACTCTAAATATTATTATACATTGAGAAGCACCCTTAGTTCTGTTCCAGTCATTTTTGTCTCCTCAGTTCGTAAACAAACTATGAAGAAGCAGGTGTTTTCCTACACACGTAGATATAAATGTACACATACGTCTAAACTGAGCAATTTGCCATCAGCTTAGGTGGCCTGTGTAGACCAAATTGTTTAAGTTAGCATCCCTCGTTTTCTCAGCTCTTTCTCCATTATTCTGCTCATGCCACCGGGAAAGCAGTGTTGAACATGACTCCAACACTTTGCAAGCAAATTTACAGTTGTTACGTCATCTTTGACTAACTGGTTCGATATCCTTTCAATGTTAGTTGTGCTCCACCTGTATTCCTTTTGGAGAAAGCGTAGGAACACTTCTACTAAAGCTGCAGAGTAAACAGAAAGAAAGAAATTGATAAATATCTTGATTTGCCTTTAAATGGTCGGGGCTATAAGAGAGCCACTTGAGTTTGAACATTATTAGAGGATGTACATAATTGAATAAACTATGCGCGAGGATTTTCAAATTTATGACGTTTCCAAGAACACTATGTTTGTGCAATGACTAGTTAGGAACTGTTCTGTGAACTCTGCAAATTTACAAGTCCTCCAAATCAGTGTCTCAACTGTGATTTAACTTCGATTCTGTCAACTTGAAATCCACCTCCCCCCCTTCTTCTTATGGGTCAAACAATAATTTGGAGAAAATTTTTCTTTTCTTTTCTATATATAGGCACGTTCAAAAATTACTAACAATTGGTTGAAAGAGCAGAGAATCAAAATCGACACTCCACTGCCCACAATTTGCACTTTCGACACCAGGCACGGAGAAACATAATATATGCTTAAAAAGAGGGTTTTCGACGAAGTCCTGCCTTTGATGGCGGAAGGGAGGCGCCGATTAAAACTTCAAATGTCATTTTACCGTCGGGAGAGTCGGGTGCCACTTGTCTACTGACTGACATGCCCTTCAGCGCCTTCATCATTTCATCTTCCCTTTTGTTTCTCTCCTGATTCTTCATTTGCCTCACAGCTCTTTCTGCTGTAATCAGAGTATAGTGCAAGATGTCGAATATTATTCGCTCTATTTCCGGGTTTCGTTCACTGTTGTCTTCTGTGTAGTTCCACGTCAAGAATGTATGACTTGGCGAGCTATTGGTGGCTAGATATGCATTCTCCCAAGTCTTCTCCTTCTCTTTTTCACTTTTCAGTTGGTCGCAGCGAGTAACCACAGTGATTGGTGCAATACCTGTTAAAGACAAAAAAAATTAATTTGAATGTCGCTTGAACACCGTTGAAAACTTCAAAGGGAATTGCAGCGTTTTTTTGCAGCTTACGAGTTCTGTGCTCCGATGCACTACCACTGAGGTATAGGCAATCTACGGTGGGTTAGGCTATTATTAGGTTCATGTGTGACACCTGTCCTACATACTGCTAGGATCATAAGTGTCGAAAGCTTTGTGTTAATAAATGGTATACGAAAGGTGGTAAATTGTGAACTCGGTGATGCAATACCAAATTAAAGAAAGATGGTTTTCGTTTAGTCATGAGCAATTTAAGAAATTGTTACAAATGCAATCAATACCACTTTTACACAGGATACTTCGAATTGGGTTCAAGTAGTCCCTCATAGCCCCGTCGTTCAGTCTTGGGTCCTTGGCTTTTAAAACAACAATAGCGCCATGCAGTCTTTGTCCAAAGTTTGGGCATCGATGCATTTCTTGTTTGCTAACTTGATCTGTTCTATCGCGAGCGATGATTTCACCAGGCTGAACTTTCCCGCTCAGAACATTTTGAAACATGATCATCTCATCAGAGTTGAAATTGAGGAAACACCGGGTGTCCACCAAGTGAAAGAATAACTCTGGCAGGTAGTCCTGGAGTATAATGGTTCCCTCACTTCCTCCGTGATGGCATGGGACGGTACCCTTATCTGTTTGCCTCACCACTCGTTCAACTGTGTTGATGAAGGAACTCTTCCCTGAACCGGCGGGGCCAAACACACCGATCCTGAGCTGGGTTACATCATCAATTTCCAGTCCTAGGAAACTATCCAGTTTAATCTTGTCACCAAATTGGTACATTTGCAACTGAAACCGAAGTCGGCAAAGTTCGGCCTCCAAATCCCGCCTTTTCCGTTCGTCCTCTTTTCTTCTCTTTTCTTCTTCCTCTCTTTCCTTTTGTCGCTGTCGCCTGAGTTTCTCTCTGTGCCTCTCTTCCTCCTGTTGCTTTTCTTTTTCTATACGTTCTCTCTCTTCTTTTTCGCGTTGCTCTCGTTCATTCTCCAGCCGTCTTGCCTCTGTCTCCTCTGCTCTTCGCCTTTCTTCGTTCGTGTTATCCGTATAAGTGTAGCGAGTCTCCTCGCTAGAACTATTCTGAAGGAAAAGTGTATTTTCAAATGTAATTACGCTGGCTGTTGATCAGGATGCTAGCCAAGCAACATCAAATAACTAAATTTATAAAACAATAAAGAGGTTTATATCAGTATTAGGTTTATATAATACACAAAAGAAGCATAGAAACATATTGGCAATAGTTTATCACAGATGGTTTTTGAATGCAGTGTTTTTCTTAGTAGAACAATACCACAACTCGAACCTCTCAATTCGAAGTCCAAGGTATACTGCCTCTCCCTCAAATGACATGGTAACTTAGCAACAAACGTGAATCCGTTCAAGCCCCATTCTTGAGTCTGAATTAAGTCATGTAACATAAGTTACTAGGTACCGTCCTATTGACCTTGGAAGAACTTAAAGATCATATATTGCAAAGACAGCGCCACTTTAAGAAAAACGACAGCGAATTTTGCTCCGTTAGCCAAGTGACATTAGCGCGTAAATTATGGTGGTCCTAACGTGTGTAATATTGAGTGTAATAGACGTTTTACAACTACTTGGATAATTGTGCGGTGTGCTGCCGTGAAGATGGATTGAACGTTCTTGGGATGCCAGGTTGGGTCCTTCAGCTTTCCCGGAAATTGCCCGAAGGTACAACGCACGGATAGTTATTTGTAGCGACCAAAAAAAAATCGAATTTGAGTTGCCTTTTGTTTTTAGATTTCCCAATCAGCCGTTCGCCTTTACTTCAGGAAGTTGGTAAGAGTTTGCTGCGATGGAATATTAAGTTATTTACATCGAGATATGAGCGGAGTATTTCCTTTCAGTTTTCGAGAAATCAACAATTGTGATGGAGTTCTCGCGCAGTCTGCTACGTACAAAAATAATAACGATGACATGTTCATAGCCTAAGTTTAAGACCTCGAACTGTGAGATTCTGTGAGATCTAGAGGAATAGGTAACCATATCTGGCGAAATAATCTGATAAGAGACGGATTCCAATGAAGGGTTCCACGTTTTAATAACACGCCGGCTTCCATCGAGAGTGTAAACATAAACCCCACACTAAAAATTTGGAATTAAATTTCCTGAAATGAATCGACCATATCTTCGTTAGTAAACACTTACCCCCATATTGGAGAAAAACAATGGCTTGGTCTGCTCAAAGCGAATATCGTCCCGGCGAAGGCGCTTCGTTGATAGTGATCAGCGATTCCACGATGAAGCTTTATCCAGCAATCACGTGATTAAATAATTATTATACGATTTTGTTTAAAAGTCCTGTGGCAAGATAGCAATTTTACTCTTAACCATTATATTTATTGACTTTCACAGAATGCAAATGTATTCCTATAGAAATTATCAACGGTATGTGTCAATTTTGTGTTTATATCTCTGTCAGCCACGTTGCGTTATGTTTTTAGCGTTTCGTGACACACCGATAAGAATCAAACACTTTCTAGGAAAATCTGGAAGTTGATTTTGCGTGGAAAAATTAGTTTAAGAGAAAAAGATTTCCACAGAATTGAATGGAAGGATTTCTGATCCAATTTTTCTACTAATCAACGATCATCTTAAGTGCACTTTAACTGCTTGAAGTTTATGCTAAAAATCAAGGCCTGCTCTTGTTATGGCTTAGAATGAAAAACAATTGAAGATCATCGCGGTTAGGGAGGGACCATTTCTTCTCTGGAGGGAGGGTATACGAAATATTGAAAAAAACTGTTTGCAGGGTCTGAAAAGACAAAATAAATTGTTTGCAAACATGATAGGGTAAAAAAAATGTTTTGCAGAGATGTTAGATCGATAAGATATTAAAAAGATATTACCAAAACTGAAATTTTAAAAAATGGTCACTCTGTATTAAGCAAATAACAGATCTGAAAAAAGTTGAATATTTCTTGAAAAAATAGGAATTAATTCTAGCAATTAAATCTCAACATTACTTATCAACATTTTTCCTACTACAAAACTTCATATATCAGGTATTTTTCTCAAAACTACATTAAACAAATAATATTCTTCAATATTGGTTATGTTTATCATTGCTACTTTCAAGTTATTTGGAGTGCCCAGTGACAACAGCAATCATTTCAAATCAGCAAAGTGCCTGCCTTCGTTCCTGGTACCACAGGCTGGGTGGTACGAGCCTTTATGATGGCCTGTGGGAACATCATCAAAGAGGATCAGGAATTTGGTGATGTGGAATCGCAAAAAAGCCCGCTACTCCTATTTCCTGTCGTATGCCCTTTATTTGCGTCAGTAGCTGCCAAAAAATTTTAAAAGGTGAGTGGAGCGTTTATCAACAAAATAAGTGGCTATAGCACTACTGATTGCGTTCTTCGTAAAATAGTTTAATAAGGCAATGGTAATATTTAGCACAAATAAAAAGAACACTGAAAAAAAAAACATGGGAAAATTGTTTGCACGAAGATGAAGTTGGAAAAAGATGTTTGTGGAGGCGTATATGCTAAAAAAAAATGTTGGCAGGAGAAAATTTCTCATACCTCTCCTCAATCCAGAAAAATGATGATTCGTCCCTCAGGTAAAAGTCTTAGAGTAAACGATTTTTCATCTGTGCTAGTTGTAAATCAGTTGTAAGACTGGTTACTGTAAAGTGGCGAGGGATGAGAGGGTGGGGAGTGGGAGGAAAGATCTCTAAACTGAAAGAGAGCTCAGCCAAAAAAATTTAAACCTCTTTTAGTACTTTTTTCCTTTTTTGGCTTATCAGTTTTAAGATTCAGGTTAAAAAAAGTACTAACAAGATTCAACAGAGTTAGCACTGTTGTCATCAGTTGCGGTGTTTGTGTATCACATTGGCTAGTACTTTTTACAGGTCCTCCGCATCCCTCTCCCTAGACACCTTTAGAAAACTCCCTGCGTAAAATGCCATCTTTGATTTATTGTACATATCTTGTTTGACATTTTATAAATGGCAATTACTTTTTCATCCTTGTAAAGAGGTAGGAAAATGGTTAAAACATTAATTATATACTTAAATTTTATTAAGACAAGAACGCTAAGCTGGAGTGTTACAGTTTAATTGACCCCATTTCTCTGTCTTTCTCGTATACATGGCTCTAATTTGGTCATTAAAAAGTCAATTTACATAATTCTGTTAATGATTAATTAAAATAGAATCATGCTTTCAAATATAGATCATAAAGTGATGAAAAGGTTATTTAATTCTTATACAATTGGAAAATCAGTTGGTGGTCGCCAACATTTCTTCAATTTCTTAATTTTAAAGCTTGCCTTCTTACCACTAAAGAACTCTTGGCTCCATTCCCCCCTCAACATAATTAACGATTGGTCGTCCTTAAATTCCTTTAAATCAACTCTTTAACAGCCAGTGAGGAGTTATGATAAAGTGAAGGGCTGGAATATAAACCAAGAGATCGTAAACTGTGTATAATCGTTTGAATAAACTAACTAGAGCTCTACTTTTAGGGTTGGTTAACTATATATATTATTATACATTGAGAAGCATTCTTAGATCTGTTCCGCTCATTTTGTATAGCAAACTATTAAGAAGCAGGTGTTTTACTACACACGCAGATATAAATATACACATACGTCTAAACTGAGCAGTTTGCCATCAGCTTGGGTGGCCTGTGAAGACCGAATTGTTCAAGTTAGCATCCCTCGTTCTCTCAGCTCTTTCTCCATCATTCTGCGCATGGCAGAGGGAAAGCAGTGTTGGACATGACTCCAACACTTTGCAAGCAAATTTACAGTTGTTATGTTCTCTTTGACTAACTGGCGCGATATCCTTTCAATGTAAGTTGTGCTCCATCTGTATTCCTTCTGGAGAAAACGTAGGAACAGTTCTACTGAAGCTGCAGAGCAAACAGAAAGAAGGAAATTGATAAATATCTTGAATGGCTTTTAAACGGTCCGGGTTATATGAGAGCCGCTTGAGTTTGAACTTTGTTAGAGGATGTACAGAAGTGAAGAAACCATATTGTGAGAGCCGCTTGACTTTAAACGTTGTTAAATGGCGAAACATAATATATGCTAAAAAGAGGGTTTACCAACAATTGATTGAAAGAACAGAGAATCAAAATCGTCATTCCGCTACCCACAATTTGCGCTTTCAACACTAGGCACGGAGAAACAAGGGAGGCGTCAATGAAAACTCAAATGTCATATTACCGTCGGGTGTCACTTGTCCATTGACTGAAATGCCCTTCAGTGCCTTCATCATGTCATCTTCCCTTCTGTTTCTCTCCTGATTCTTCATTTGCTTTACAGCACTTTCTGCGGTAATCAGTGCATATCGCAATATGTCGAATACAATTCGTTCTATTTCCAGGTTTCGTTCATAGTTGTTATATGTGTAGTTCCACGTCAAAAATGTATGACTTGGCGAGCTCTTAGTGGCCCAAATTGCAGAGTAAAAACCATCCTCCCTCTCTTCCTCACTTCTCAGTTGGTCGCAGTGAGTAATTACAGTGACGGGTGCAATACCTGTTAAGGAAAAAAAAATGAGTTTGGAGGTCGCTTGAACACCGTTGAAAACTTCAAAGGGAATTGCAACGCCTTTTGTGGCTTACGAGTTCCGTGCTCCGATGCTGTAACACTTAAGTGGGTTAGGCTATTGTAAGATTCATATGTGACACCTGTCCTACATACTGCTAGAGTCAGAAAAGTTGAAAGCTTTGTGTTAATAAATACTATATAAAAGATGGTAAATTGTGAGGTTGGCGATGCAATAACAAAGAAAGATGGTTTTCGTTTTGCCATAAGCAATTCAAGAAATTGTTACAAATCACAATCAATACCACTTTTGCGCAAGATATCTAGAAAAGGTTTCATGCATCCCTGAAAATCCCCTTCGACCAGTCTTGGGTCGCTGGCTTTGAAAACAAAGATAACGCCATGCAGTCTTTGTGCAAAGTTTGGGCATTGATGCATTTCTTGTTTGTTGACTTGGCCTTTTTCAGGGCGAACGATGATTTCACCAGGCTGAATTTTCCCACTCAGAACATTTTGAAACTCGATGACATCATCAAAGTTGTACTCGAATCCCCGGGTGTCCACCAAGTGAAAGAATAGCTCTGGCAGGTAGTCCTGGAGTATAATGGTCCCCTCATTTCCTCTGGACTGATCTGGGACGGAACCCTTGTTTGTTTGCCTCACCACTCGTTCAACTGTGTTGATGAAGGAACTCTTCCCTGAACCGGCAGGGCCAAACACACCGATCCTGAGCTGTGTTACATCATCAATTTCCAGTCCTAGGAAACTATCCAGGTTAATCTTGTCACCAAGTTGGTACATTTTCAACTGATACCGAAGTCGGCAAAGTTCGGTCTCCAATTCCAATCTTTTCCATTCGTCCTCTTCTCTTCTCTTTTCTTCTTCCTTTCTTTCCTTTTGTCGCTGTAGCCTGAATTTCTCTCTGCAACTCTCTTGCTCCTGTTGCTTTTCTTTTTCTATGCGCTCTCTCTCTTCTTTTTCAAGTAGCTTTATTTCATTCTCCAGCCGTCTTGCCTGTGTCGCCTCTGCTCCTTGCCTTTCTTCGCTCGTGTTATCCTCATAAGTGTCGCGAGTCTCCCCGCTAGAACTATTCTGAAGGAAAAGCGTATTTTCAAATGTAATCATGCTGGCTGTTGATCAGGATGCTAGCCAAGCAACATCAAATAACTACATTTATAAAAAATATATCTGTAGGCATAAATGGAAGAGGTTTATATCAGTACTAGGTTTAAATTAATACGCAAAAGAAGCAAAGAAGCATATTAGTAATAGTTAATCCCAGATGATTTTTGAGTACAGTGTTTTTCCTTAGCGGACTGACAACCTCTCAACTCGAAGTTGAAGGTATACTGCCTCTCCCTCAACTGACATGGTAACTTAGCAACAAACGTGAATCAGTCCATGCCCCATTCTTGAGACTGAATTCAGTCATGTAACATAAGTTACTATGTACCGTCCTATTGACCTTGGAAGAACTTAAAGATCATATAATGCAAAGACAGCGCTACTTAAAGAAAAACGACAGCGAATTTTAGTCCGTTGGCCAAGTGACATTGGCACGTAAATTATGGTGGTCCTAACGTGTAAGACTGAGTTTAAGAGACGTTTTACAACTACTTGGTTAATTGTGCGGTCTGCTGCCGTGCAGATAGATTAGACGTGCATGCCGGAGATGCCGGGCTGGACCACGCACGCATAGTTATTTGTAGCGACCGAAAAAGTCGAATTTGAGTCGTTATTTGTTTTCAGATTTCCCAATCAGCCGTTCGACTTTACTTCAGGAAGTTGGTAAGCGTTTGCTGCGATGGAATGTTAAATCATTGCATCGAAATATGAGCGGAGTATTTCCTTTCAGTTTTCGAGAAATCAACAATTGTGATGGAGTTCTCGCGCTGTCTGTTACGTACGAAAACAATATCGATGACATGTTCATAGCCTAAGTTTAAGACCTAGGGCTGTGAGGTTCTGTGCGTAATGGAGATCTAGAGGAGTAGCTAGGAACAGGAAAGGTTGGCTAAAAGCGAGTAACCATATCTGGCGAAATAATATCATAAGAGACGAATTCATATGAAGGGTTCAACATTTTAATCACGCGCCGGCTTCCATCGAGAGTGTAAACATAAACCCCAAATTGAAAAGTTGGATTTAAAATTTTCGGAAATGAATCGACCATATCTTCGTGAGTAAACACTTACCCCCATACTGGAGACAAACAATGGCTTGGTCTGCTCGAAGCGAATATCGTCCCGGCGAAGGCCCTTCGTTGATGGTGATCAGCGATTCCACGAATGGAACCTTATCCAGCAATCGTTCGAAAGTCTCTGTCGGCCACGTTACGTTATGTTTTTGGCGTTTCGTGACTCACTCCGATAAGAGTCAAACGCTTTCCGGAAAATCCGGAAGTTGATTTTGCGTGAAGAAATTAGTTAAAGAGAAAAAGATTTCCACAGAATTGAATGGAAGGATTTCTGATCCAATTTTTCCGAGAGATTGTCAATCTGCTAAGGAAAAACACTGCACTCAAAAATCATCTGGGATTAACTATTACTAATATGCTTCTTTGCTTCTTTTGCGTATTAATTTAAACCTAGTACTGATATAAACCTCTTCCATTTATGCCTATATTTATTGTTTTACAAATATATGTTATTTGCCGGCTGGGAGGTCCGTATGGTGAAAAACTGTGACCGAGGTCTTGAAAATACTGCCCGAGGCCGTAGGCCGAGGGCAGCATTTTGAAGACCGAGGTCACAGTTTTTCACCATACGGACCGACCCTTAGCCGGTAAATAACATATTTATTGTTTTTAAACTTGACGAAATTCTTTCCGAAAGAACCCGAAGGATTTATGGCCGTAAATACGGCAAGATCTTCCATAAACTGAACAATTTTTGAGTGAGTAAATGGTAGTTAAAACAGAGGTGATGCAAATTTAAGAGAGATGCCTCAGCGAAACATTTTCATTTCCGTAACGATAAAGGTGATTTAAAAGGCTTCCAAACAAACTTTGAAACATTATTTTTACAAGTATCTGTCACAATCTGACACCTGTCAATTAGAGAGCGCGCAAGAAAAAAAAAGCGTAGGAACATTTGAAAACCAACAGAACTAGTTTGGCAAGGACTGTCACGACAATGTTTTCTTCAAAATCAGTTAATGATCTAACGGAAAGTATTATTCACTCTCATCGACCATTCATTCATGTGCGGAGATTTACCTCTGTTCATTAAGTAAACGGCGAGGAAAGTAATTGTGAGTAAATTCAATTTTTTTATTTTGAAGTTGTGAGAGTTTTCTCGTTTGTTTGCTGTAATGGCGTGTTTAACTCTGATCTTTCCTTCACAAAAACTAAATTCGAACGGCACACTCCAACGAGACACAAGGGAATGTAATGCGACCTTTTCTCAAAAAATTCCTTCAATTTCTGTTGTGCAATTTAAGGTACAAATGTCCAAATTGAACGGAATTGGAAAGACTCACCGGGAGCGTATATTTGTTGTAGAACTTAAATTAAAACTTCGCTCGCTCTTTCACTATGAACAAATTCCTCGAGAAAATTCAGATATTAAATGAATGAAAGTTCCATCGTTCAGTTTAACTGTAACCAAATACCTCACGTTTCAACTTTCTGGGTACTTTTTGTGAACGATTAAAATTAATTCCAGACGGTTTTTAGGCCGCTTGTCAACCACCGTAATGACACTATTGTTTCATTCTGAAACCAATATTTTTCTGTCAACCAAAGTGATTTGATAGAGAGAAAAGAGAGGATTCATAAGTTATTTATCGGCTAGAGATAGTGACCGAAGTGTTTGCTTAAAAATACTGCCCAGCCGGAAAACGAGGTATATTTATGAAAAATGACAACGAAAGTTGGGATGTACTCGGCGACTCACGAAAGCGTTACCGTGGCCCGTGGGCAGAGATAGGAAAATACTGACCGGGTAAAGAACCAATCAGATTGCAAGATTCGTTACCGTGCCCTCTAAAAAAACAATAAATGTAGTTATTTGATGTTGCTTGGCTAGCATCCTGATCAACAGCCAGCATGATTACATTTGAAAATACGCTTTTCCTTCAGAATAGTTCTAGCGGGGAGACTCGCGACACTTATGAGGATAACACGAGCGAAGAAAGGCAAGGAGCAGAGGCGACACAGGCAAGACGGCTGGAGAATGAAATAAAGCTACTTGAAAAAGAAGAGAGAGAGCGCATAGAAAAAGAAAAGCAACAGGAGCAAGAGAGTTGCAGAGAGAAATTCAGGCTACAGCGACAAAAGGAAAGAAAGGAAGAAGAAAAGAGAAGAGAAGAGGACGAACGGAAAAGATTGGAATTGGAGGCCGAACTTTGCCGACTTCGGTATCAGTTGAAAATGTACCAACTTGGTGACAAGATTAAACTGAATAGTTTCCTAGGACTGAAAATTGATGATGTAACACAGCTCAGGATCGGTGTGTTTGGCCCCGCCGGTTCAGGGAAGAGTTCCTTCATCAACACAGTTGAACGAGTGGTGAGGCAAACAGATAAGGGTTCTGTCCCAGTCACGAGCTGCCGAGGAGAAGAGGGGACCATTATACTCCAGGACTACCTGCCAGAGCTATTCTTTCACTTGGTGGACACCCGGGGATTCGAATACAACTTTGATGATGTCATCGAGTTTCAAAATGTTGTGAGTGGGAAAATTCAGCCTGGTGAAATCATCGTTCGCCCTGAAAAAGGCAAAGTCAAAAAACAAGAAATGCATCAATGCCCAAACTTTGGACAATTTTGGAAGCATAATTCTATTTTGATTAATCATTAACAGAATTATGTAAATTGACTTTTGACCAAATTAGAACCATGTATATGAGAAATACAGAGAAATAGAGTCAATTGAACTGTAACACTCTAGCTTAGCGTTCTTGTGTAAATTCAAAGTTTAATTTTTATATATCTTAAGTTTTTAATTCATGTTTTAACCATTTTTCTAGCTCTTTACAAGGATGAAAAAGTAATTGCCATTTATAGAGTGTTAAACAATACATGTAAAATAAATCAAAGATGGCATTTTAAAAAGTGTGAAAGTATAGTTAAGCAGTGATCTGCGACCTTTTTTCTAAAGGTGTGTAACAAATTGGAGAAGTTACTGGGGAGAGGGATGAGGAGGACCTGAACAAAGCACTTGCCAATGTGATACACAACACCGCAACTGATGATGACAGTGCTAACTCTGTTGAATCTTGTCGATACTTTTTTTAATCTCAACCTTAAAGTTGGCAAGCCAAAAATGGAAAAAAGTACTGAGAGAGGTTTAAATTGTTTTGGCTCCGCTCTCTTTTAGTATAGAGATCTTTCCCACCACTCCCCCATCCTCTCATCCCTCGCCATCTTACAGTAACCAGTCTTACAACTCTTTACAACTAACATAGGTGAAAAAATGTTTACTCTAGGACTTCCACCTGTGGGACGTAACATTATTTTTCTGAAGGGACGTATGAGAAATTTTCTTCTGCAAACAATTTTTTTAAAACATATACGTCTCCGTAAATATTTTCCCCCAACATCATTTTCGTGCAAACAATTTTTTTTCCATAATTTTTCAGTGTTCTTTTTATTTGTGCGAAATATTACTATTGCCTTATTGAACTATTATACGAAGAACGTAACCAATAGTGCTATAGCCACTTATTTTGTCGATATACGCTCCACTCACTTTTTAAATTTTTTTTGGCAGCTACTGACGCAAATAAAGGGCAGACGACAGGAAATAGGAGTAGCGGGTTTTTGGCGATTCCACATCACCGAAGTCCTGATCCTCTTTGATGATGTTCCCAAAGGCCATCATACCGGCTCGTATCACTAGGCCCTTCCCGATTATGCTAGCATTTTTTAGGCATTATGTGGTCTACGTTTTGCTTGAAATAAAACAAAGCATTAACTGGAACCAAAGTAGCATTATTTTGAGAATCGAGCATAATTGGAGCATTTTCTTGGCGTGCATCGGAATATCTAGGAGCATAAAATGCCAGTTTTATTAGCATAATCGGGAAAGGCCTACGAACCACCCAGTCTGTGGTAACAGAGGCGAAGGCAGGCACATTGAAAAATACCTGATATATAAAGTTTTTGTAGTAGGACAAAATGTTGACAAGTAACGTTGAGATTTAATTGCCAGAATAAATTCCCATTTTTTCAAGAAATATTCAGCTATTTTCAGATTTATTATTTGCTTTATACAAAAAAAACCAGTTTTTTAATGCCCAAATTGTGTTAATTTTCATACTAATGTTTAAATTTGTTTCTTCATTTTTTATTTCAGTTTTGGTAATAATATTTTTTCAATATCTTAACTAACGTCTCGGCAAACATTTTTTTTACCCTATCACGTTTGCAAACAATTTATCTTGTCTTTTCAGACCCTGCAAACAGTTTTTTCAATATTTCACATACCCTCCTACAGAATAATAATTGCCCGTCCCTGTCCGCGATAATCTTTACAGTCTTTCATTCTGAGCCGTAACAAAAGCAGGCCTTGAGTTTTAGTCCATAACCTTCAAGCTGTTAAAGTGCACTTAAGATGATCGTTGATTAGTAGAAAAATTGGGTCAGAAATCCCTCCATTCATTTCTGTGGAAATCTTTTTCTCTTTAACTAATTTTTCCACGCAAAATCAACTTCCGGATTTTCCTAGAAAACGTTAGATTCTTATCGGTGTGAGTCACGAAACGCCAAAAACATAACGTAACGTGGCCGACAGAGATACAAACACAAAATTGACATATACCATTGATAATTTCTATACGAACACATTTGCATTCTGTGAAAGTCAATAAATATAGTGGTAAAGAATAAAATTCCTCTCTTGCCACGGGACTTTTGAACAAAATTATTAAATCACGTGATTGCATGATCAAGCTCCATTCTTAGAATCGCTGATCACCATCAACGAAGCGCCTTCGCCGGGACGATATTCGCTTCGAGCAGACCAAGCCATTGTTTTTATCCAGCATGGGGGTAAGTGTTTAATAACGAAGATATGGTCGATTTGTTTCCGAAAATTTTCGATCCTACTTTTCAAATGGGGTTTATGTTTACACTCTCGATGGAAGCCGGCGCGTTATTAAAATGTTGAACCCTTCACTGGAATCCGTCCCTTATGATATTATTTCGCCAGATATGGTTACTCGCTTTTAGCCAACCTTTCCTGTTCCTAGCTACTCCTATAGATCTCCATTACGCACAGAACCTCACAGTTCGAGGTCTTAAACTTAGGCTACGAACATGTTATCGTTATTATTTTCGTACGTAACAGACTGCGCGAGAACTCCCTCACAATTATTGATTTCTCGAAAGCTGAAAGGAAATACTACGCTCGTATTTCGATTTAAATGATTTAAGATTCAATCTCAGCAAACTCTTATCAACTTCCTGAACTACAGTCGAACGTCTTCTTAGGAAATCTGAAAACAAATGAGAACTCAAATTCGATTTTTTTCGGTCGCTACAATAACTATCCGTGCGTTCTACCTTCCGGCAATTTCCGGGAAAGCTGAAGGGCCCAACCTGGCATCTCATGCACGTCTAATCCATCTGCACGGCAGCAGTAGTTGTAAAACGTCTCTTAAACTCAGTATCTCACACGGACTAAAATTCGCTGTCATTTTTCTTTAAGTGGCACTGTCTTTGCAATATATGATCTTCAAGTTCTTCCAAGGTCAATAGGACGGTACCTAATAACTTATGCTACATGGATGACTGAATTCAGTCTGAAGAAAAGGGCTTCAGTTGACGGATTCACGTTTGTTGCTTAGGCTCTATGTCAGTTGAAGGAATATACTTTGAGTCAGTTGAGTTCTCCTAAGGTAAACACTGTACTCAAAAACCATCTGTGATAAGCTATTGCAAATATGCTCAGTTCTATGCTTCTTTTACGTATTGATATAAACCTAATACTGATATAAACCTCTTCCGTTCATGCCTACACTAATTGTTTTATAAATTTAGTTATTTGATGTTGCTTGGGTAGCATTCTGATCAACAGCCAGTATAATTACATTTGAAAATACGCTTTTACTATTACTCAGAATAGTTCTAGCGAGGAGACTCGCTACACTTATGAGGATAACACGGACGAAGAAAGGCGAAGAGCAAAGGAGACAGAGGCAAGACGGCTGGAGAATGAACGAAAGCAATTTGAAAAAGAAGAGAGAGAACGTATAGAAAAAGAACAACAACAGGAGGAAGAGAGTTGCAGAGAGAAACTCGGGCGACAGCGACAAAAGGAAAGAGAGGAAGAAGAAAAGAGAAGAAAAGAGGACGAACGGAAAAGATTGGAATTGGAGGCCGAACTTCCCCAACTTCGGCGTCAGTTGGAAAATTACAAATTTGGTGACAAGATAAAACTAGATAGTTTCCAAGGACTGGAAACTGACGATGTAACCCAGCTCAGGATCGGTGTGTTTGGCTCCACGGGTTCAGGGAAGAGTTGCTTCATCAATACAGTTGAACGAGTGGTGAGACAAACAAACAAGGGTTCCGTCCCAGACCAGTCCAGAGGAAATGAGGGGACCATTGTACTCCAGGACTACCTGCCAGAGCTATTCTTTCACTTGGTGGACACCCGAGGTTTCTTCAAGTACGACTCTGATGATACCATTGAGTTTCAAAATGTTCTGAACGGGAAAATTCAGCCTGGTGATATCATCGTTCGCCCTAAAAAAGGCCAAGTCAACAAACAAGAAATGCATCGATGCCCAAACTTTGGACAGAGACTGCATGGCGCTATCATTGTTGTGAAAGGCAACGACCCAAGACTGAACGAAGGGGCTTTGAGGGACTACTGGAACCCATTTCGAAGTATCCTGTGTAAAAGTGGTATTGATTGCATTTGTAATAACAATTTCTTGAATTGCTAATGACGAAACGAAAACCATCTTTCTTTGTTCTTGCCGTATCACCGAGCTCACAATTTACCATCTTTCGTACATTATTTATTAATACAGAGTTTTCGACATTTCTGATCCAAGCAGTATGTAAGATAGGTGTCCCACATGAACCTTATAATAGCCTAGAACACCGTTGATTGCCTATACCATAATGGTAGTGCATCGGAGCGACACAAAAAACGTTGCAATTCCCTTTGAAGTTTTCAACGGTGTTTAAGCGACCTCCAAACTCATTGTTTTTGTCTTTAACAGGTATTGCACCCATCACTGTAGTTACTCACTGCGACAAACTGAAAAGTGAGGAAGAGAGGGAGGAGGCTCTGGAGGCAGCATATAAAGCCACCAATAGCTCGCCAAGTCATACATTCTTGACTTGGAACTACACAAAAGACAACACTGAACGAAACCCGGAAATTGAGCGAAGGACATTCGACATCTTGCACTATGCTCTGATTACCGCAGAAAAAGCTGTGAAGCAAATGAAGTCTCGGGAGAGGAACGAAAGAGAAGATGACATGATGAGGGCACTGGAGGGCATGTCAGTCAGTGGACCTGATTCTCCCGACGGTAATACGAGCCTGCCTATATATATAAAAAAGAAAACCAAATTTTCTCCAAATTATTGTTTGACCCCTAAGGAGAGGGGGGTGGATTTGAAGTTGACAGGATCGAGGTTTAATCACGGTTGAGACACTGATTTGGAGGACATGTAAATTTGCAGAGCCACAGAACGGTTCCTAACGGGTCATGGCACAAACACAGGTTTCTTGGAAACGTCAAAAATTGGAAAATCCCCGCGCATAATTTATTCACTTCTATACATCCTCTAACAACGTTCCAACTCAAACGGCTCTCACATAGCACGGAACGCTTAAAGGCCAGTCAAGATATTTATCAATTTCCTTCTTTCTGTTTACTCTGCAGCTTTAGTAGAAGTGTTCTTGCGCTTTCTCCAAAAGGAATACAGATGGGACACAACTAACATTGTAAGGATATCGCACCAGTTAGTCAAAGATGACGTAACAACTGTAAATTTGCTTGCAAAGTGTTGGAGTCATGTCCAACACTTCTTTCCCGTTGGCATGAGCAGAATAATAGAGAAAGAGCTGAGAAAACGAGGAATGCTAACTCGAACAATTTGGCCTTCACAGGCCACCTAAGCTGATGGCAAACTGCTCAGTTTAAACGTATGTGTACATTTATATCTGCATATGTAGGAAAACACCTGCTTCTTCATAGGTTGCTTTACAAGCCAAGGAGACACAAATGACCAGAACAGAACTAAGGATGCTTCTCAATGTATAATAATATAAAGAGTTAACCAACCCTAAAAGCAGAGCTCTAATTAGTTTATTCAAGAGATTATAAACAGTTTAACTTTGCTTGACCCTTTAACTCCCATACAATTCATTTGATGTTAGTTTAGAGAATTTGGAATTGGATCAACCAATAATCCCCTAATTGAATTTTTCTTTATTCTCATTACTTGTCTGGCTGATATCCTACTGGTGGTGTAAGGAGAAATTCTGTCTAGATCACTGGTGGGACTTAAAGGGTTAACTTTGCTCCCTTCTGATGGTAGCAAGTGTTCAGACCAACACATCTCAGCATTATGACCCTCTGCAAACTTAGATGACAGAAAAAAGGGTAGATTTCTGAAAATAAAACTTGTACTCATTTATGCAGGGTATTAATACTTTACTTTCTTGTTAAACATGATATCATGTTGACTTTCATCACCAATGTAGCAGATTCAACAGCAGATGTTTTCTTAGGCAATGTACAATAAACTGACACCAAAAAAGACCAGAAGAGACTTAAGCAGGGCTATTTAATAACAAAATATTATTGCCATTTCAAAATTTTCTAACCATGTCCGCCAAAACACGAGTGTTTTAAAAACTGGACTGGACAAAAAGCAAGATCATCCTGAACAAGATCATCATTGTCCAAATTTACTGCATTGATTTGTTGAGTCCCTTGATCAGCAGAATCCATTATCTTTGAGTTTCCCAACAAGATCATCTACTGTCTCAACTTTAATTCCAGCCTCCCTGACAGGTGGGTCTTCAACTTTTAGTGTCTCCACTCTGGGTGAGACATCTACACCTAAGTCACTTGGAGACTTCTTATCAATCTTCTTCTTTTTGGCTTTCTGTGAGATACAAAACGTACAAGAAACAGTTAATACACTTATCTTGGCTCTATTCCCTTAGTACTCCTCAGAGTGATTAACGATTGAGTTTCCATTTTAACCAAACTCAAAGCAATCACAACAACCAATCTGAGCAATGAAATATAACAAAAAGGAGCCACAGGGAGCTCAAATTAAAAGAAAAAAGAAATGGCCCTAAGTGCAAGGGAATGCGAGTAATCAAACTGTAATTGGTTTCAGTTTTGAATCTGACTAGTTCAATAGGGTGAGGAGAATCACTAGACCAAAGCAATCTCTAACTTTTAACATCTAAAATTGAAAGTACCTCCAAAGTCAAACAGCCCCATAACAACAAATTTCCCATGAGAAAATGCAAAAATTATGTTTCTTTTTAGTAGATAAACTGTTCTGTTAGGTATACCACCCAGTTTAACATGGCTTAAAGAGACTAGGTTAGCTCTGCCCCCCCCCCCTAAATTATTAAAATGACTAAAATTCAAAGCCCTAGTTCTATTCATATTTTTCACTATTAACTTTTCCCACCACAAGTAAAAAAGATAAGACAATAACACAACATTCAATATTGCAATATTACAAACCATAATATTTGGAAGTGTTGCATAGCGAGGTTCATTCAGCCTGAAGAGGTAAAGCAGGTAACAATTACATGCATATCAAAAGGCATTGTGGACACTGGCCACTGCCACCAGACCTAAATAGTATAAGCAACAGTGACCATAATCTGTGCTAACATTCCAAAGTTGATCAGTTTTCTCACCTTCCTGAAATTTCTGGGGAACAAACATGCACTGACAACAGCCTAACTTGTAGCTTTGTCACCTAGTTGCTTAATAGGTCCAACTAGTGTCTGAGAGGTTTTATAACCCCAAATTCTTAATTAAGACTTTACATAGTTCTGCAATAACACTTTCCCTGCAGTTCAGTCATGAGGGTCAAGTTTTCACTCATCACCAAAGACATTTTTGTTTTATCATGGAACTTATGAGCCAATAACTACCTTAAATCTGCTGTGACCACACATGGCATCTTCACATCAATCATCTCTAAGCCACCATCAATTTCACGTGTCACTGCTAACTTGTCATCTTTCATTTCTAGTTTGGAAGCAAATGTTGCCTGCAATGACCATCAAAGTATCATAAGCAGACCTTCAGCGAGGACGTAACTTTTAAACCCTATGTGTGACTAACATATAATATCTCCTAACAATATCACTGCTGAATCAAACATTAGGGTAATGAGAGTAAATTAAATGATCCTCAACCAAAAATGCTCTCAATAATTAAACAATATCTCTTTGTTGGACAATGAAAAAATGTGTAGAGAAAAATATTGAGAATATGCTTCCTGTTGTCAGCGAAACCTGGTCCCTTGAATAGATGCAAGTGGAAGACTGACAAAAGCATCTAAACATTTTAAAATGTGCAACTAAAACCCATGATGAAATAATTCTGACTTGGAGGATGGTAGCATTTATCCAGTGTTAAGTTTTAAATCATTTATTACCTGAGGCCATGAAAGCAATGCAGACAACATTTGTCCAGTCTGATTACAATCATCATCAATTGCCTATAGCACAAAGTTGGGAAAAGTATAAAAACAATTAAACATTTTTTCATGGTGTAGTATTTCCTTACTAACATCATCAAATATCAAGCAAACAGCAATAAACACTTCACCTCCACTATGAACTGACCCAACTGTACTTTCCATCAAGTGAGCTTTTGGAAAGATTGTTTTGTCCTTTCCTTTCAATAACCTAAAATTAAACAATAAGCACCTAATACCTGTTTTCCCAAGATGATCAGATTTGGGTTCTCTTGTTCTGTGATCTTTGCAAAAATTTTGGCTACTGCAAGAGGCTGTAGGCCTTCGTATTCTTTGTCATTTAACAAAACATGGATACCACGATCAACTCCCATAGCAAGGGCTGTGCGAAGAGTTTCCTTTGGAGTTCAAGTGAAATTGCTCGTGTTAGTTTGTTGTTGCACACAGTTAAGAGTTAATATACAAAATAAAATTCAATCAGCTAAAAGATTATATATTTCAAAAAGTACCATTCTGCACAATAACTGAATTATTACCTCACTTTTAGCTGGTCCACAGCTCACAGCAACAATTTCAGAAGCTATACCTTTCTCTTTCAGTTTTACAGCCTAAAAATTGACAAAATGGAAAAAGTTAACTTTCCTTCTGAACAAAACAAATAAGACAGAGTGCTCATTTTCCCATGATATCATGGTAATCATTATCTATGGAATACTTTCAAACAATATAGTGTCAATAGTTTTTTTCATGATACACTTCAGAAAATTGTCTCTTTAAATTCTGAATTTTCCTCCAATGAGGGGGGTTTTAACCCTTAAATCCCAGAGGAGATTAACATGTAACTTCTACCTATAATATCTATACATTATCCAACAGAAGGCAACGAGTATACTTGAACTTATCAGGCAGAGGTTGTTATCTTCATCTAACATCAAATTCTCATAACTTATTTACAAGGAAATGTGTCGCAACTAAAGGGGAGTATTAACAATCAGATCTTGAGTAAAAGGACTAAGGGTCAAGTCAAATAACAAAGGCAAGATCCTTTAAGCAAACAAGCCAACAGCAACTTGTACCACAAACAAAGTGAACGAATGTTTCGTTTTTTTCCTGTTTATCTCTTCTTTTTGGTGTGGAGAAAAGAACTTAATCAAGCTTACTGTCACCTCTTACTAACATTAATAAAAATTATTACAAATGTCAATTATTGATTCACAGAGTGAGTTATCTTTAAGATACCACGTAAAGAGTAAAGGTCATTACAAATAATTATATTCTTCGCCTAAGAAAAAAATATCCAAACATCTTCAGAAAATTGAGGGAAAATTCGCGACAATTGCATCTCGAAATGCCGAGAGTGGGAGGGAATAAAATAGTAAATGATAATATATATTTATAAAAAGGTTTCTCACCTCTTCAACTGCGATCTCATCGAAAGGGTTCATACTGTGTTTGACCCCATCAGTTACTACGCCGGTTTTATCGGGTTTTACCCGTATCTACAGGAGATAAAGAAAATTTTAGACTGAAAAATTTTACTTTTAATACTTTATTGCAGTTTCAAGTAAATTTTACAAACCTTTACGGCGTAATCTATGACACGTTTACAGCCGACTAAAACTCTAAGGGACGCCATTTTGGATATTGCGGACGAAAAGAAAGTCACAAGCGCATGATCTATAAAAAAACCGCTGCAATGAGATCGTGCGAAAACAAACATGGCATCCTAACAACCATATATTGACAGTAAAGTATTCTGTAAAATAGTTTCCACATATTTCCGATCTGCGTTTCAAAATGCCACCGAAAAAGAAAAAGGGCAAGGGAAAGAAAAAAAAGAAGAAGGATGGTATGATGATGATAAAAGCTATTTTCAGGGAAATCCTTGGTCTCCATTTAGCAGGTTCGAAAACCATTTGTCTTCCATTCTTCTTCCTCCACAGAGAAGACCGAACTGACGATTGAGGATAAGTACAAGAGAACCATGGAAGAGATTGAGTGTCTGAAGGATGAACTTGGTAAGGAGGAGAAAATGAAGTGGTACATAGATCCATATATGAATACTTGTCATTATGTATAGCTGGGTGTTAAAATATTCGTAGAATATATACCTAGTAATATAATTCTCAAAAATTGTAACGACCACAAAAGCCACAATTGAAATAATTTAGTTATTGTAAATAGTAAGTGACAGTCTAATACTGCATACACTGTAGCGTGTGAGGATTGAAGAATTACTGAAATAATAGTTCATTTTGTTCATTAGATCTCAGAAAGAATACGCAGTACTATCTATACTTTTTAAAATTTTTCTTTAGCTAGGTGTGTGGTTGATTCGATTTTCAGGTAACTTGTGAGTTAAATTTAAGCTGTTAAGCAGCTCTTATGAATATTAGTGAACACTTTATATATTTTTAAGGATGCCTTTTGATATTTATCAATTTGAGGAGCACTATTTAGCCATCACATTAGAAAAAGTGCTATGTGAGAAAAAAAATTTGTCATCATTATTATAATACAGCTGCAAGATCTGAAATTGCACGAAGGTCCAAGGACACTGCAGATCGTATGAAAGAAAGAATGAGAGAAGCAAAGGAGGAAGTTGAAACTGAGCAGCAAAATAAACTGGACATTTCTTCAGGTAAATTGAGCTCAGAATTGACAATCATTAAATCAATATGCTTGTGTTGAAGCTTCAGAGTGAAGCTAGTCACTAAACCAAAGCAAATAGGTGACCTAACAACCAAGCAAGCAGCAGACATAAGCTCTGAGAATTAACCCCCACTAACTCTCTACTTATCTCTCTGAGCCTTTGGCCAACTTCTGTTGCTTAACCCTAAATATTTGAAAGTCAAAACTTGGCTACATTTAAAGCCTTTTTTATATTTTTAAGTGTAAGTTGAGCCTTCACTCCCTAAAATCAAATTGTGCTAATTCTCCACACTGTTCTCTATAAATTTTTATTACAATGACAAGGAGAAAATGTGTAACAATCAAGAACTTCTGAAGTTGGTTTTAATTTCCTTTCTTCTCATGACCTTACTGTTTGATTCAGTGACAATACTGTGGGAAGAAATTAAATCATAGTCACTTTTATGTGTTAATGGATTAAGGGGCCAGTTCACAAAGGTATGGTGTGGTCCAAGAAACCTAAAACAATGTTATGATGACAATTAATACATAACAGAACAATATTTAATATATTGGTAAATTGGAAACATTACTTTTCAGACCTTACTCGTCAATACAAAACAATGCAGTCTGAGATGGCTCTTAGGATTCACATGTTGGAGCAGACTGTGAATAAGCTGAGGGAGCAGTTGGGTGAGCATTGATTTCAACATGGATGTATATTGAACAACAACCAGTTAATAATGGTAAAATGATAATAGGACTGAGTGGAGTATAATTCAGTCTGTAACCATGAGTGATGAACCAAATCAGACAACCACAAAACAGGGGTTCGATTTGTTAATTGCAAGTATGATCACAGACAGAATTGGACAACACAAAGTCCTGTTACCTATTAATAAAAACTATGACAAAATTTGAGAAAGAAACTAAACATCGGTTATATGTGACAACAGCTCACACATGACAAAGGCATGACATGTTAAGTACCCCTTTAACTGTCCTATTATGCTGTTCAATTACAAGAATGATGCATACACTGTCTTATTAGTGCTCAAATTGGTCTGGTGATAACCAATCACATTCAAGAATTTTGATTAACTAAGTAAAGAGCACATACAGACAGTCTAAGCTGCAGGTACTGTAGTAGAGAATAGTAACCACTGAAAAAGACTTGTATACTCTAAAATGAGGCACATTTCAAATTCCATAGAGCCTATCTGCTTGACTTAAGAGTAATCTGCAATTGTCAAGTCTGAAAAACATTTGGCACATGGTAGATTTGAATTTGATAGATTCTCTGAATCAACTTGAAATAAGATGCCATTATTCTCTTAGATCCATATGATTTTTGATTGATTTGAGTAGATTATATTTGATTTGATAGATTTAGCAAATCTAATTTTCACAGCCGAGGTTTTACTTTTTGTGGTTAATCATTTCAACTCCAAACTGCATGTTGTCTGAATTATCAAGGAGGCAGAAATTAGTGATCTGTTAGATAATGCTCTAGTTAATCCATACTTTATATTTATAGCCTCTACAGAAGAAGAACTGAAGAAGACCAGGAAAGAGAGAGATGATATCAGGCGGGAAAAAGATGAAATCATTGCTGAACTCCAGTTTAAAATTGATCACATGGAATCTGCCTATGAAAGTGTGCTTCATGTATGTATTAGAGTAAAGGAATATCTTTCAAGAGAAATAAGACAGCAGTGTTGAGGAGACACTTAAATTTACGCAGGAATGAAACCTCTCAGATTTGAGTAAGGCATTAATATATAGATTTAGCCAAGCCTAAAAGCAGAGCTCGCATTTTTTTTCCTGCACGTCTCAAGGGCACAACACCTTGCCCTGGCCAGGTCGTCCAACTCGGAGCCCAGTGCACTGACCACTGGACTACTGAATAAAGCCGTGGCGTTGGCGTGCCCGCAGAACAGTTGACCACACATGTTAAAAGTAGCACCTTGTATGGTCATACAGTCATACATCCAAATTTTTTCAGCTTGATGGGTTACTACTATTTTGTATAATTATGGGGCTATGCTCTGTGAGCTCCGCTATTACAAAGCCACAGGTGTATGTAGCTGCACTGTGGAAAAATTTTATTGATTCCCCTTGTTTCCTGTAAAGGACTTGCTGTAGATCTCATAATACAGTCAATGTAGCGTCCACTCATAGCTACTTGAAACTGTACTTTAATCAGTTGTTCACTTGCTAGTTCGTTTCTAATCTGCACATAACTTGTATTCATTCCATTCGCAAATTGCACGTGAAAGAGAAAGATTCGCTGAAATAACAACAACGCGACTATTACAAAGATGATATTGACCGAATAACCGAAATACTGCATACATACAAGTTATTGTGCCTTCTAAATAGAAAGGAAAACTTGTCCTAACGAAACGACAGTATAACTCCATAACAAAACATGTGCTTTTCGTGGGAAAGAGCGCCCGCGATATTTTGCGTGCGGTCACCGAAGACCACACCATATAACGTTTATTTTCTGTCTCTTACAGTCAAACTACATGGCTATGTACAATAGTACAAACAACACAAGAATGGCGTTTACAGTGAATGCTATGTGGTGTACTTATTCATTTCTTTTAACACATTCTTCACAGGATGCTTTTGATAGAATGGCTGTTAAAGTTGAGGATGCCAGGGCACGATGGGAGATGGAATCATCGGAGATACAGGAGAAAAATAAACAGCTTCTTTTGGAATTTGGCTTGAATCCACTAGAAATTTAAATTACTACCTTTAATAAATATTTCCCCTTCTAGTTTACCTGGTTTAGTGTGTAGAAAGTAATATAAGCCACATTCGTAGATAGATGAAGAGCTGGTGGAATAACTACCACAAGCATCCTACATACATGTAGGTACCAGTAATAGTGAGAAGACATTGGGTACATGATTGTTTTATTTACAGTACCCTACACAGCCACTTTCACCCAAAGTTTCAACATTGCACAACTAAAGTGCAATAAATATAAACTTGGAAACAGTCATGCTTAAATTGCAATGTTAGTGTGTTGAACCAAAATATCTGAAAATCTTAAATAATGCACATGTACCATACTACCATGAGTGGAAAAAGAAATAAAACAAAGCTTTTGCATCTCCACATGATGAAGATGGCAGCAATACTCCAAAATTCATGGTGCACATTACTTCTCGAGAACACAAGCAAAAAAGTAAAATATAAGACCTCAAATAAGTGTTTTTACTCAGGCATGCAGAGAAATATGGAGCTGAAAATTTGGGTTTGTTTATGTCTTGAATTGCAAAGCACTGCTGACTGAGGGTCTAGAGTGCATGTATGAAGCCTATGACTATGCCTAGGAACTAGGAGATGGGGTACATACAATAGCCCATTTCTGAATTACCTTTGGCCTCTCTTGTTTTTGTTCACAAGTAAATTGAACTCATTTTCATAGGAATGGTTGAGCACCAGGCCTAGCTTTGAAAAAGAGGCCAATTACATGTCATAAATAATTTTGTCATAGCAAGCTTCTGAGTGCACAAAGATATATATGCATTCAGTTCTATCATGGAAAAAGCCCATCTTGTACTTGTATTTACACGAGAGTGTGCATGCAATGTTGCTTCCACAAAATGTTGTTTAATGTTCTAGTAATCAAAGCTCAAGGTTTGAGTATCTCCTCCTTCCAGAGTCAAGTGCTCTGCTGCAGCAGTCATTCCTCCAATGCCATCACCATTGTCCACTTTCATCTCATTAGCCATCTGGTTGTCTTTGGCCAATTGATGGAAATGCTGTTATGTGCAAGAAAAAACAGAGGATGAAAAAATGATTGGGGGTGGCGAGAGGGGAGGGGGGGTTGCAAAAAGGGAAAAGGATTGCTGATAAGTTTTATTAACATCAAATGAAATAATTTTTTGTTCAGAAGATTTAATTTGAGATGCAAAGAGATGGAGATTAACTTGTCTTCCCCTGGCAAGTAGAGTAGACTTTTCAAGGGTTCAAAGAAAGGATTTATGAACACCCCATCCATCTACATTCTTTTTTATCACTATTATCATATCATGGCAGGCGTCATCCTCTTTTTACCCCTGCTCTCATTTTGATTATCTCTAAGCCCCTTGCAACCAAACATCAGTATGTGTATTCTCCATATTGTTCTCCATATTTTTCTTAAGGCACTGATTAGGGGAATTTGTTTAACAATCTGAAGCTTCTTCATTTGATGATGATGATGATCTTCATTCCTGTGACCTTAATGTGTGATTCAGAGAAATTAGATGCTAGTCACCTGCTGGGGTCAAAGGGTCATTAGGAAATCTATATGCTGGTTTCCCAATTTTTTGAGCCAGCACAGTGAGATTCACCAAAAGCAGACTTCTTGTTTTACCAGAACTGTTTTCATGCAAAATTACGCATTCAAGAGTAAAGTTTAACAATCTGTCTAGTGACGCACCTGTGAGTTCTTGAACTCTGAGAATAATGTAAACAGTACATGCATGGCATGAATCCTGTTATTGTGCACTGGTATATCAAGGATTCCTATCAGAAACACAAGTAAAGAAAATTAAGATGTAATTTTAATCAGAACACTAAGACAGAAAATCTACAGTGCTATGGAATTTAACACATTTTGTAGCTATAACAGTAACTACTATGTCCTGGCTTTACATCAAACATTGTGAAACAAAATTCAACAACTTACCACAAATAAGATCAACATATTGATGCAATTCCACATCCAAATCAGCTGTTGGAAGACCAACCTGTTGACAGAAGGACAGTCTGAGTAAAATTGTGTGTATGACCAGAAAGTGTTGAATCTCACTTAATATTACACATATTACAAAAATTTTAAGGACTCCTAACCAATGAATTCAATAAATTCTGTTAAATTTTAAGTTTACCTGGTTCAGAAGGTCTTCAAATTCTGGTGGCCACTCTTGCATAAGAGATTCAATGTCAGGCATATTCCTAAGTTCATGAAAACAGAATATTTTAAATGACCACTGAAAGTTATCCCTATACTGACCAGCTTGCCTTTCTAAAACCAAATACCTCTGTCAAATAATTTCAGATAAAAGTCAATTACAATCATTGAAAATGGATTACACTGTGGTGCTCCCTCACAACCAGTTTACCACCTTACCTTTGGTAATGGACTGTTGGAGCTGGTTTTTGACGATGCAATTCCCTGTCAAAGAAGCATCCAAAATTGTTAAAATTATTACCTTGAATCAACATCATCCTCTTTAAATGTTTACAGTAACTAGCATACATCCAAAAACAGGATAAGGACATAATTACAACACCCAAAATTGTGAAGATTGAAGCACTACATATTTCTTGAGTGAGAGGCTGCAAGGAGTCACAAAACACTACCAAACAAACAAACTACAAACAACAGAAGCACAATCCAAAAATCACATAACAGCAGATGTGCATCAGGAGAGGATTCAAAGAGATAAACAGGCATTCTTACCTGATACTATCAATCCAGTTATCAACAGCTTTAGGATTCTTTTCTGGATCTTCAATGCTGCGTACAGTCTGTGACAAACAAGTAGTGAAATGATTGTAGTATTAGGTAGTAACAGACACTTGGGATTCAAGCCTTTGGAGAGCTGAAATGTTATGACTACTTCCTCAATTTAAAACAACATCATTTACATCATAGTTTCTGTATCTCAAATAATTAGGATAAATTTTTCAAATTTGTTCATCATTTGCAATCCATTTTATCTTCTCCATCCTTGCTTATTCCTGCCTTTCACATGTTCTTACATAAAACAAAAATTCTGTACCATCCACTAGGTTGGAGCTAATCATGCATTTTGCAAAAAAAAGGAGTCAAAGTATCATGATATTGACAGCTTCTCTCTTAATTACTTTTCTCTTACAAAGAGTAAAGTGATAATGAAAAGTGGTAAAATGAGAGGGTATCAAATTCAAAATTATTGTCAATTATTGTTAACCCTTTCACTCCCAGATCTTATTTAATTTAGTAATTCTCACTACTGTCTGCCATATTTTAGATTAGGATAATTTGGTATTGGATCAATTAATAATCCCCTAAAAGACATTTTTCTTCATCTATATCACTACAGTCTACCTAATATTGTATTGATATTGTAAGGACAAGCTATGTCTTAGTCACTAGTGGGGGTTAAAAGGTTTATCAAAAGACAAGCAATGTCCTTAACTGTTATAACCAAAATAATGCAATACAGCACATTTAAATCTAAAATATTGCAAAATACTGTCAAATCAAGAATGGACCCAGCAGTGCCAAATACATTTTACTTACCATGGCTTTTAGATTGGTTTGTTTGGAAATAGTTCTTAATTGAAGATCCAGCACTGAAATTGAAAGAGCTGACAATTAGAAGCTGACGTTGCAGTGTTGAGAATCATCAAAGGTTACCATTATTAATTATCATTTACTAGCTATCACTATTAGGATAATCATTAGTTTATTATACCTGTTGGGTCAGATTGATTAGCCATTGGTTCATCAAGAACCACCAATCCTAAAGTCTCTGGTTTACCATCTGGTCGTGTAACCTGCACAATTTGTGTAAAGAGCATTAAATAAGTTACTCACAGAGCACAGAGAACTTACATTTTCATCAGGTATTGGTTCTTCCTTTTTTGGATAGGTTACCTCCATGGAAAAACTCTGTTACCTTAGTTTATATAACATTCTTCTTTCAATAATTCCTTTTAAAAAACAAATTGCAATCAAGATTTTTTACTGAATATAAGGATACAATTCTGAATTTTACATTGAGTTCAAACAAGCAGAGTGTTATCCTACACTTTTCCATAATGACTCTTTGAACTAGCGACAATATCATATAGCAGTGATCTCAATCCTGGTTTTCTAACCTTCAAGAATGCATCAATGTCTCCAACAGCAGGAATAAAATCAGGATTGAATGGCTTCAATTTATGTTCCAAATCAATTGATTGTGGAGTATACCTATGTAAACAAAAGGAATTTGAAACACAGTCACAAAGGAGCCATGTAATACTTTAATTGCAATAATTTTTAGAATGTTTTTAGCATAATTATAATCATTATTTATTAATAATGATGATATCTCCAGTGCTAAAAAGATTAATTCAGTTCTTCTTTACCAACTGAGACACTAAAATATGATAGACCATCATGTTCAAACAACTGAAGACAAAAGCCTGGCATGGTATCCTTCACCAGAACATACCGAGTGATATAGTGAAAAAGTTCCTTGATTTCCTGACTCACAGGTAGATGTTCGTAATCAGCTGGGTCATAGGCCCTGAAAGGATAAAAAAAAAAAGCCATCACACCAAGAATTATCAATAGTAATATGGCTGATAACTCTTTGATTAGATTTTAATTGGGTTATAACTGATCTGATTTTTAGAAGATCTTACATACCAGTGTCAAGTGTTCACACCTACTCTTTTTGAGAGAAGAAGGAAACTGGCTTAAAACTCTAAAAAAAAGTACACCCAGAGAGTACATTCCTTTCTGAAAACAGCTTTTAAGCTGCTAATAAAATTCCTCATCTTAATTTTTGTCAAATTTATTGTCATACCCCTCCAGTGCAGTTCCATGCGCATCTTCCTCATCATCATCCTCCTCAGAGCTATCACTCTGGTCATCACCTTCATCATCATCATCATCTTCATTTTGTTGAGTAGGTATTTCCTGGCCAGTTGGTCTCCCAGGTCTCTCCTTAACCCCCTGTAAAGCCTCTTGTGGCCGGGAATATCCTCCTGCTGGAGGCTCCTGGAAAGAAAGGCATCTTGATCAACTATTAAATGTATATTTCATTGCAAACTAAGAAATATGCATCATTGATTAATTGTATAAATCAATAATACACTTAATTTTATCAACACTACTAAACAACCAATCTTAAATTGTCTTAATGCGAGGGCTATCACTTGACATCTCTCTATACCAACCTTCCTTTCAACTAGGTCATCATGGTCAAACTCATCATCACTCTGGTCAGTCATTGAGATGGATCCAATTCCTGTAAACAAAGTTAATATTTTTATAAGATAAACCTACTTTTGGCTTTAATACACAGATTTCAAAGTAAAGGGAAATATTAAACTTTTTTGTGCAGAGCAAGGAATAGTAACAACTAGAGTCCTGCTGGACAAGGTTTGTACTGTGAAGTGCATTCGAAATTTTATTCACATCACTGAGGATTATTCCCCATTGGAAAGGAAGATGTCTTAAAATGGCTGACTGTAAAAACTTTGATCTTGTCAAGTGATTTTTGATCATCAGCATTTTTTTTTAAATCATAACTTGTGTCAACCAAATTTCTCAGCTTCAGGATAACCAAATTCTTGTTGATGCTATGCTCTGTGTGCTCTGCTTGCAAATCTCTCTTGGACAGGCAATTTATAACGAATAGCTTTTTAAATGTAATGATTTTTCTCACCTGGATTATATCCACCAGATTTACCCCCTGCGGGTCTAGGACTTGGAGTAAATGTACTGGCTACTTCTTCGTCGTCGTTTACTTCAAGAGCTTCATCATACGGTTGATTCACGACAAGCTGCAAATCATTTACTTTCTTCAAAAGACTGCATAGTCATGTGCAAAAAGTAATGATGAATATGGTGTCTACATTTCATTTTGGGTAACCCATAATTCCCCTATTTGTGTTTCTACCAGAGCTTGCGACACAAACATCACAGAAATCCAGAATTAACTGTGCCGAATACGGTTATTTATAACTCAAAGATGCGCTTTAAATGTGATTAGTTTGAGATAAAATCTAACTGACAAGGTCCAAAAGTTTTCCTCGTCATCTTACAGGAAGATGCAAAAATTTCACCTCACTTCGAGGAAATATAAAGATTACAAAACCAGTGTCCAAAATAAAACTATTCGGATAAAATTTAATTGGGATTTGTTCGTATCCAAGGACAACGTAATCTGATAGCGACTAAGCTGTACGTTTGGCATTATTTGAAAGATCTCCACATTTATAGGAACCACAACTCGACCAAAATTTCTTAATTTAGCATAAAAATAACAAGAAGTAAGTTTTATACTGTAAAGCATAACTACATAATGGTAAAAGCCGCAAACATCTTCTTAGTTTACCTTTCTTCGCTCGTCATCTGAGTCAGCCATGAACGAAACAACCCACCAAGTTCCTGACCGCTTACATGACGTGCTTATCCCGCTAGACTACTTCTTCCCAGACCTCCACGTGAACTGTCACGAACATCACTGGAAACCCATCATTTCCTGTCATTACTGATCATTCAGCTCCACTCGCCGCAACCAGACACCATTCACCCTCATTTGCAATCATTGCTCATAATTAGACGTTAATCTAAACTTGACACAAATTCCAAAAATACAGCTGTTTTATTTTCATACTGTATCAATAACATTTCTTATTTCATAAATTTTTATACTAAGTCTGATGTGACCACTATGAATTCGGTAAAATAAAGAACATATCAAGTCGATGCTGGACACTTTTGCAAATATCATATTCTATAACACAGAAAAAATTTCTTTACATGTCTAGTCGATCACAAAACTTTTTAACAACGATCAAAATACGTATAATATTTTTTAAAATTCAACTGGAACTTTGGTCAGATTAACTAACCGACAGAAAAAGGCACTCGGAAGCAAAATATTATTTCTCATACCCTTTAAAATGTAACAAGAACGAGCAGAAGATTTAAAAACAGATCTGTTCGGTTCAAACCTGGGTAGAGTTCAAGCTACAGAATACTTAGACGTTAAACAACAAAACAAAATAACTAAGGTGTGGTGCCATACGAGAGAAAATGTTTTCATATCTCTTCTCATCCATGTGATTTTTCATCTTATCAAAGGTGTAAACCAGTAATGGTAAGGCCGTAATGAAGACGAGAGATATGAATATCTAAAAAGAACAGGTCAAGTCTAAAAGTCCATGAGTGTTCTAACGTCTCGAATTCTCTGTTGTCGTCTATCTTCTGCAGTTGATTTGGTATTAAACGCTCCTGCCATCAATTCCCTCTTTTTCTTCTGAAGTTCAAGCATACGTTCTTCCACAGAGTCTTTCACAACGAACTTGAAGACATAACATAAACAAGAGAGTGCGTTAGATGTTTGTTATTAAGAGGGATTTACATTTGTCACAACATGGACAATATTATGGAAACTACTTAATCACGAGCCTGTGTGGCAGTCTTTTTTGTGTCTTTCTAGCCAACCGGAAGTTGCTCGGAAGAATAGAAGAAAATCCAGCAAATGATAAGAAGAGCGGTTCCTTCAATCCGCCCCCTCCAGAGGTTTTCCGAGCTAAATGGGGTAAACACTTTACAACGGCGAGGAGGAGGAGATAAGTTTGCAGAGAGAGCATGCTGACAAATTTGAGATGCTCACGGCAAAGCGCAGAGTGCGAGTGGAAGAAGGTGGAAGGAAAAGTATTTAATACGGCCTTTTCTCTCCTTCCCATAACTCTGTTAACCCCCTTCCCCCCTTTACTTTCCTCAAGGACTAACAATTCCTAGATGATTGCCTCGGACTATGGATAAGGCAGTCTCCTACCATCTCAACGCTTACTTAGCTCGCTTTTACTCCATGTCCTCGCTTGGTTCACCATTCTCCAGCTTGGGTCAACGAAAAAAGAAAAGACTGCTTTTTCGGCTATTCCTATCTTCAGGAGATAATCTCGCAAGTGGTAGATTTCTAAATCAGAGTAACGTCTTAGATTTTTGTTCATACTGATAGACAGCCAGACTCTCTTACTGCCCTGAAAGACAAACTGAATAACTAACCGACAAAGTAGCCTCTTCATTTACCTTAGTTACTATAACATCCTCGGTCTGTCCTAATCTGTGGCATCTGTCGAAACACTGATCCTCAGCTGCAGGATTCCAAGCCTGAACAACAATGATAAGAATTCAACTTAGTCAGGTATTCAAGTAGGTAGGGAGTGCCAGGGATAGAAATAGAATTATCGATACTGACATTCGTTTGTATCTCAATAAAACGTTTTGTTCCTTCAATGTCATGCGCGGCATAGAGAAAACACAAATTCTCAGATGGAAAAAAAATGCAATAAAACACCGGAAAACTAGTGTAAAATTTATCCACCAAACAGCCAATGTAACCAGACACGCATATCAGCTGGGTAGTGTTACCTTGATACAACACCAACTTCCCTACACTAATTTACTAAAAACAGTTGAAAAATGCATCTTTTTCGACAGGCGTATGACAATTTTTTATAGCTACTAATTGTATTTCAATATTTTACATTTAATTTTATGCTACTGATGTGCTTATAAATTTTGTCTTAAGCTTTATAATTTTATTTTACTACGCACACTGTGTAAAGCGCTTTTGGACTTTTATGGAAAAAGTGCTATATATGATGATAATGATGATGATGTGATTACTATTATTGTTATGATTATTGTCATTACTATCATTATTATTAAGAACTTCACAGCAGTGAGAAGGAGAATTACTGATCAAATACTGAGTTTAAAGGATCAACATACAGGGTCAAGAAGGAAAACTCTGGAAGCTGCCGTCAGGTTCAGTCCAACACCTCCAGCCTTCAGCGACAGCAGCATCACTTTAGGTGAGTCAGGACCTCGGTCATCAAATAATTCTATCACTTCAGATCTTTTCTTCTGCGACATCTTGCCATCCAATCGAACAAAGTTAAACCCTTCTGCTTTCAGTGGCGTCTCAACGATGTTTAGCAGGGACGTGAACTGAGAGATGACCAGACTTTTCACTGAATGATCTTCTTTTCTGAGCTTTGTCAGGAGAGACATCAGTGTGTCAATCTGAATGAAACAAACACATACTATGTAGAAAACTGCGAGAGTGGGTAAGATGAATCAAATTCTGTTGTACGATTTGCCCTCTTGGAGGAGAGAGGAAGTTTTCTGGCTGTTTATACAGCAATGGAGTCACAAAACACTAAAAACTTGGGTCTTTAGGGGAGTCCAAACAATGGTTAAAAGCAAAAAGTAAAATGGCAAATCCTTAAGTGTGATCTTTTGGCCACATAATAAATCCTTTACTGATAAACTTGCTCTATGAAGACGGCCGAATTATTGTCAGAGTCGAGTTTATGAACAGAGACAAAGGTAAGGCCCGTGAAAACGAGAAAAATGAAAAACGTATATATCATGGCCCTTCTTCCGTCATCTTGTGCGAACAAGCTTGGCAAATGACAAAGGCGTTATGAAACCTTTGAACTGGAGTGCCACTCTTCAGACCCGTCAATTTCATCTGCATCCTCCGTCTCCGGTGGGACTTCTACCAACACATCCTGGCTAATGTTACCGCGGCAAAGAGGACAACGAGGGTTCACAGCTGTCGTCTTGATCACATCTTCTATGCATCTCCGGCAAAAGACATGGGCACAGTGGGTTATCACTGGGGTTGAGAGTGAGTCCAGACACACAGGACACTCCTCATCAGCCCCTGAGCTCAGGAGAGTGACAAGGGTGGATACCAGCTTCTGGCGGAGTTCCTCCGGTGTGGAGCAGCCTTAAGAATGCAACAAGTAAGTCAGAGTGATTGGAAAAGACGCAACTATAGCAGGGCATAACTCTGCCGGGGCTTATGAGAGGGCACCAGAGGGAAACTAGCGGAATGCTGGGGGGGGGGGGCGGGTAAAGGGGGTTATCCCGCAATAAACTAGCATCTCATCCACGAGGAGTAGCAACACTCCTAGTCGCTTAACCCTTTCACCCTTACATCAATATGTTTATTCTCCAAACTGCTCTCTAGACATTTCCTAAGGCACCGACAAGGAGAATTTGTTTGACAATCATGAACTTCGTAAGTTTGCGATCATCTTCCTTATTCTCATGACCATAATGTTTGACGCAGCAGCGATACTATAAGGAGAAATTAGATCCCAATCACTCTTCAGGATTAAGTTGTTAATCTTGAGGAAACCGGGGTCAGTGTTGTATGCAGACTTAATCCTCGACCTTCTGTAAACATTGAAAACAATGATGGTTCATGCGCTTCTTAGTAACGCACACAACTACTCAAGTACCGATTACTGTTTCACAGAATCTACATGCTGCCAGTAATATAAACGGGGGTTCAAGTTCATGATACAAGTTCTAGGACACTTGAGAATCACGGTGCTTACCTTCTTTTGAGGCCAGCGCAGGCGCTGTAGCGCAAAGCTTAGGGTGACAACAAAGCTGTCTGAGCCGCATAAGAATCGCCAACACATCAGCATAATTCTGAAGTACATTTCCAGTCTTGAAATATCTATAAAAACATAATAATAGTAAAGACTTCGGTTGAAATCAGTTCTGTGATCAAACTCCAACTGCGAGCACCAGTGGGACAAAATTATAATGGCGCTGCTGGATAACTATAGGAGATGGAATTTTAACAGTTCTTCTTAATTCGCTCACAAACCTTCGCAATCATTACGAACCTTAACCCAGTCTCCTTGTGGTAGGGCGCTGATACACAGTTCATTCACGTTCACAAATGAACAGTAATCCACGAAAAGTCTACAATTTTTAAGCCACTTACTTGCCAATAACAAGTTTTCCCTCTCTAGCCATGGAATCGTACAGCTTTCTCTCCTCAAGTGATAACTCCACAGGCTGCACAAACACTTGTCTGTCCGGTAGTTCCACCAGCGGTTTTCCATTCACTTGTTGTGTCTTAGTGCGCCTCAGTGCAATACTTCCCATTAGTGACTGCAACCGGCTTTCAACAAATAACAACAAAGTTTGAAAATATGGATTTTCGATTGCGCATTTCCCGATGTTCTGATGCGCTCTAAAACACTGTGCAGAGGTCTTTGATTAGACTTCAAGAAGCAGTTTACAAAGGGTAGAAAATTTTTGCAGATGCCCAAGATTTAGGAAACAAGGCAACACCACATCATCGTGAGTTCCATACCCTAGAACAAGAAATCGAGGTATACAGGTAAACTTCCCAGAAACCAAAATAAAATTTGCGTGGTTTGATTTGATCTATTTGGCTTCCATTTTCTTTTCAACTTTTGCACGAGAAACGGTTGTTTTCATCCGATTGCGCTCTCGCAAAACAGTAGCCTGATGATCGATATTTGCTGTACCACGTCATTTTTTCGGGAACTACATCAGTAAGCCACCGCCCTATTTTCGGCATAACTCGCATCCAAAAAACCATTGAATAATCGCAATAAAACGTTCCGCGTTTTTTCAATACCTCAACGCACTCTGATCACCTTCACTGATCGGTCTCTCCATTGTTCGTCTCCACCACTGTCTGTCTGTGAATGGCTCCAGCTTTAGAAAGCTTATAATTGAGAACATGTCCTTCACAGAGTTCTGGATTGGCGTCCCTGTTATAACCCATCGGCGTTCACTCTTCAGGGCAAGGACCGCTTTTGACATCAAGGCATTGGGGTTCCTGATCACATGCCCTTCGTCGAGAACAACTCTGAGCCATAGTGTGTCAATAAGCGCAGACGTTTTCTGTGAAATGAAGTGAAAATACGTGAGTTTTTACAAACAAGGCTGGGTAGGATCACAACTGAAAATGTAACTGGAAGATGATGAGAGCGCAAGCTCTTATCCCACTGCACTAATTGTGCAGCTACTGAAAAGAATATGTTACCTTGGAGAATTCAGAAGATAACGTCTGGTAGGTAGTTAGAACAACATCTTGTTCAGCTAGCAAGTTTTGATCCTTTGTGCGCTCAGAGCCATAGTAAGTATACACATTCAACAGTCCCACATGGACATGATTGTCAAACTGATACTGAAGTTAGAACAATGCACCAATTGTTAAGCTTCATCTTTAGTATACGTTTAGTAACAGAGGCGGATCCAGAGATTTTCATGAAGGGGGAGGTTCCCAATTTTGATTCAGAAAACATTGAAATATTTTTCGTGGTTAATTATCTCTCGAAAAACATAAGCCCAAAGTAATAATATGCAATCCTGTCCTTTCAAATAATTTCGGTCTAGCTTTTGATTCCAAGTGGGGAAGCTGCCACATCTTTGTCTAGGTATCACAGCTTATTTTACATTGCAGTGGTTTGAGATAATGAAAGGCTTCACTGCATATCATAATTTTCCCTTAGCGGCAAAGGCACAGAAAGTATGAATACCTGCCAGTTGCTTAGCACAGACAATGGGCAGATAACCAAAGTTGGTCTTGGTCCCATCTTTGCAGTCTCTTGTCTGCTCAACTTTGTCGACCCTGCCACAGCAGGATCAGGTGACACTGCTGGAAACTGCTGCACAACACTGCTACATGTACTTAAAGCTGACAAAAGTGCAACCATCTGTTAGAGTTATCAACAAGTATTGTTGGTACTTCTCCCCACAATATCAATACATTATCCTGCAAGCTCATAATGAGAGTAGACATCTTTAAAAACAAACCTGTTGGTTTCTCTTTAGAGGTTGATGCCAAATCTTGTGGAAGAGATGGTAGGGGAGGATTGTTGATTGCAGCAATAGTTTGGTCCACATCAGTTACCGTTCTTGGCATATTTTGAACTAAATAAGTGTAAATATTTCAGAAGCACAAATATGAAATGGAAGCTCATCGTGACATTTAAAAGTATTTTCTTTTGGTGCCGATAGGAACTGCATGTCTATGCATGATGTCTAGCTCTGAGGTTGGTGTGTCAATTCATCTTGGTTATTAGACAAATGAATATACATTCATTTTGTCAGTGACACCAGTCAGTTTAGGAAATGATGTCAGTAGCAATGTGCACTGTAAAGAAATTCCAACAGACTTCAACCTTCTTTGATAAGCTCTTGTAATATTAGCAGGCCTTAAGTCTCTATGAAGGAGTAACAGTACATCAACTTTTAAAAGCCAATTCCTTTAAGTCATTTCAAATACCTTTGATATAGCAAAAACATATAGTTTAACCTCCATTTCACTTTCATTTGTAATCTTATCTGTAATTATTTATATTTCATTTTCATAAAATATTAACCTTCCTGCTGACTCATTCACCTTTTTTCCCTGCTTTCTTGTTACTCTTCACCTTTTTCTTGGCATCTTTTCTGGCTGTTTTTTTCCTGCTGCTTTTTGGTATTGTTTGATCTTCTTTGGTATGAGTGTATTCCATCTTTTCATCTTCATTTAAAACTTTTCTTGGTTTCTTTCCTGAAGAGGGAATTGGAGCAGTCCTGTCTATGTCACTGCTTGTATCCTGAGCAACCTGCAGAACATCACTGTCCTCTTCTTCACTGGACACTTCAGCTTCAACATACCGCACTGGTCTCTTGTTGGTTCTTGATATTAATAAAATTACTTATTTAACATAAATTTGGCAATAACAAATGACAAATTGATCTTCACAAAGTGGCTGGAAATAAGAACATTACAGCTAAAGTTAATGAACATCCTCACAGTAAACTGATTTTAAAATACTGCTGATCTTTCCAGATTCCTCACTACCCTGTACACCATCGGCAACAATCCACATCCGTTGTAATAAATTATCACAATAATAAATTACTATGCAATGTAGTGAGAGGTATAAGAAGGAGCCACTAAAATCAATTAACCCTGTAAGTCCCACTAGTGATCTAGGCAGAATTTCACCTTACACCACCAGTATGACATCAAGCAGACAAATAATGAGAATAAAGAAAAAATATTAATTGGGGGATTATTGGTTAATCAAATTCCAAATTCTCCAAACTAACATCACCTGAATTGTAAAGCAGACAGTAAAAAGAATTACTAAAATGAAATCTTAGGAGTTAAAGGGTTAACTGTTTCTATGAGTGACCAAGACAGAATTTCTCCTTTCATCATTCATACAATATCAAGCACACAAGTGATGAGAATAGAGGAAAGTATAAATTAGGGGTTATTAGCCGATCCAATACCAAATTCTCCAAACTAACATCATAAGAATTGTATAGCAGACAGTAAGGAGTATTAATCCTGATTGATCTTGGGATTGAAAGGATTAATTGTTTAACTTTTATGAGTGACCAGGACAGAATTTCTCTTCATAATATCAATACAATATCAAGCAGGACAAGTTATAAGCACAAAGGAAAATGTAAATTAAAAGATTATTAGCTGATCCTATACTAAAATATTTGAACTAATGTCATAAGAATTTTATAGCCAGTGGAGAGAATCACTATTGAGATCTTGTGAGTGGAGGGGTTGATATGAAGAAAGTACTCACCTTGATGATCTCCTGATTGGTTGAGAGCTACAAGCCTTCTTCAAAGAATCTATACCAGGACTGAAGTTCGGATCTTCTTTACTGGCCATGTTAAATGGCACATCAACTAAGTATTCTTCATCATCATCCTTATCATCTTCTTCAGCAATTTCACAGTTATCCTTATCAATGACCTCAACAATTTCCTCATCATACTCATCATTCAGAAATTCTTCTTCATTCCTCCACTTTCGCTTTACCCTTTGGCTTGTTCCTTTTTTTAATTGTTTCCTTTGCTGTCAAGAGATGGTACACATGTAAATAGCCCATGTTTTAGACTTCCTGTCACTATGGAGGGGAAGCAGAATTTCTGAATTTGGGGCCATCTAGTTTTTCTTCACCTCTTCCAAAGTTCCAATTGCCTCTATCTGCTTGCTTCGAGCAGCCAGTCACAAATTAACTCATTATCACTAACTCAGTACAAGTCCAGAAAAGATTGCTTAGGTGTTAAAATTGCTAGGTGATAAACTATTGATAGGTTTAGTTTGAAACTTTTCAATGCACTTTTCAAGTGAGTTCACAGGTGTAGCAACTAAGGAAAGTTGCAATAACCTAAAACTCTGAATTTTCTTAATATTATGACATATTCGCATAATCACCTTGGATGCATTTGTCACAGTGGGTTTCCTATTTGCCAAAGTAACCAGTGGTTTTCCATCATAAAAATTTGTGACAATAAGTGAAATGACTTCCAGAGTCTTCCCAAGTCCCATATCATCAGCTAGAATCCCTCCAAGCACACATTTGGGCCGTGTTCCTGTTGCATAGTTAGTGGCTGTATTGAAATATTCTTTCCTGCCCCCAACAGTTCTTTCTTTCCAGAAGGGTGGAAGATCTTTGCAATTCTCTCGAGCAATCATCCAAGCCAGAGCTTGCTTCTGATGCGGGAATAACACAGATTTTATGGCCTGAAAAATTTCCCCAGTTTAGCTTTGAAGGAAAAACCATTCTCTGTTCATTGTTATATTAAGTACACATGTACATCAAATAATTTGCAGTGCTAGCAAATAAGGCAGAAGAACAAAGTTAAATTTGGTACTAAAGCTTCAATTTACCATTACGTAAATTAAAAATCAATTCAAAATACTGGTAATACAGTAAAAGCCCACATAAGAGAACAAGTGGATTAAGAACACTCAGGATGAAATTTGGTCTAAAAAGTAACATATACTTAAGAACACATTCAACCTGAAAAATGAAAATTGTTCTTGTAGAAGAAAATTGGCTGCCAGTTAGATTAGGATAATCAACTAGTGTACAGTACAAGGGTACAGTACTAAGGTAAAGTACTGGAAAGAGGGAAGGGGAGCTGGTGCATTTTGAATTTGCCTGAATATTGCTGAGTTTCGAGTTGGTTAACATCAGATCTGCTAGCCCTCCTTCAATGTATTACATTGCCTTGATTAATGCAGTTAAGGTTAGTTCCATCCATTAATTAATTAAAATGTTGTGTTTGCACATTGATTTCATCTGTTGGTAGTCTGTGCAGTAATTAATTTTAAGAAGCAATTTTTAAGAACACCTTAAGAACATTTTCAGGCTAATTTTGCAGAAAAAAACCTAATAATATATATAAGAACAAAATCAGCCTGAACCCCCTGAACCCCAGTCTAAAACTTGTGTTCTTTTATACAGGTTTTTACCATATTATAAACACTGTAAGGCCTATTATTATACCTCAGCAGGTTCCACAGATTCCAGCTTGCCCTCTTTCCCAAGCTTTTCGAATAGCTTGTCCAATTCTCTGGTCATCTAGAAGAAGCCAAGACAACAACAAAGACCATTAAGTCTTATACACTATGAATTCTTAAAAAAAAAATTGAACACACTTTTACTAACATCTAAAATATTAATACAAAGGCAAGTAAAGGAATGATATAATTGTATATGAACTTGAAAACTTTGGTCCATTTATAAAGTTAGCTTGACATGAAATTTTTCTGTTGAAGGTCATTTCTCTGAAAATGAATAAAGGGGTAAGTTTCTAAAGAAACTGTGGTGCTGCGTCGGTGGGAGAGTATAGCAGGTAATTTAGTGTTAACAACTGGGTTGAAAACGTAAATTAGCCACCGTAAAGGGTAAAAAAGCTGACGTTTCGAGCGTTAGCCCTTCGTCAGAGCGATAAATGAAAATGAAAATGAATCTGCAATTTGCCTCTGTTGTCAAACATAGCAACCTCAGAATGTGTCAAGACTATGGTCTTAGATATTGGGAGTGCCAAGCTCTTCAGAAATCTTTCATATTAGCAAAATTCTATTAGTCACCCAAATACAAAAGTTGGTTTCCCTTGACACCTGAGCTTTATACTGTTCTACTCTTTTTTCAACTGAAAAGAGCTTACTTAAAATGTTTAAACAAAAACAAGAGGGTCCCTGTACTTGTTGAAGAGCAGAAGCAATAGCACTGAATGATTCATATGTTACAATTCAATCTTTTTTTCTTTGTCTGGATTTTTTTTTTAAACCAGTTTGATATTACTTATCTTTTCTCTTGTGTTCAAAATCATAATCTCAATCAAGAGAAAAATTGCAAAAGCAATCACAGGATTGTTAAAAGTTTATTAAGATATTTGTCACCTGATCCTGGGAGATTCTCATAGAAGGAGGTCTACCAGTTCCTATCCATGAGTGAAGGTCAAGTCTAGGGACTCCACCTCTCTGTGGTATTGGCTCTCTACATGTCTTCAAAATGTACCCATGCTGACGCATTCTCTGGATAACCTCTTGCTCATTTTCTGGTTTCCCCCAAAACGCAATGTCACAAGGCATAGTATAAATGTTGTTTTTTCCAAAGGGAACAACACTGGCAAATTAGGGAGTTTTTAGGGATCAAAAATCAGTTAACTTGAAAATCATATATGTACAACTGTTGGCAGCAAAAATTAAAACTATTTGTAAGAAAGCTTACAAATATTCAAGCCTTTATAACCAAGAAGGGATCTAACCAAAAAATAGATTTCATGTTTCCCTGCATACTAATAGATCACAGATGACATCAAAATGCAGCAAGAACAACAAAGTGGTACACCAGGCATAGCTGAGTGTGTCATTGATGTTCTTACCAATTTTTGACATTTTCTGTAATCTACAACTGCACAGATGGAATCTGTCCATTTCTCTTGATGAAAAGGCAAAAAAGTGTCAATAGTGACCTCACTTATGCCCCCCTTGACCTCTAACAGTGACAAGCATCTAATTTCCCCTTACAATAGTACCCCTGTATCACACATCAAGGTCATGAGAATAACAAAAATAATCATCAACTAAAAAAAGCTGTTGATTGTTACACAAATTCTCTTTGTTAAGACCTTTGGTAATGTATAAAGAACAGTATGGAGAATATGCACACTGATGTTAGGGTGTAGAGGGTTAGAGAGAACCAATCAAAATGCACGTGTAATCAGCTTCTCAGTAAAATTTCCGCACAGCCCCATACTATTGTAAAACAAATCTGTTTTCCCATGGCAATGTATTGTTTTTGTAATTGTTTTCTCTATCCAAGAACTGAATACATATTGTAGTATGGGGCTGTGCGGAAATTTTACCCAGCTTTTCATATAAATATGAGCTACACATACGATCACAAAATTAATTTTGTCTCGCTTTGAAAAAATTTATTTCCTTGAGCGGATCTCAGCAAGATCCTCACAATATCCATACAACACCTACAAAAAAAAGGGTTTGATATCGCCGAGTAAAGCTACACGAATATTCATCAGTTGTAAACAAGGCATTTGAACAGTGTGGCGTGGACACCAACATAAACGCACTGCAGACGTGAAGTGATGCGTCAAATTTTGCGTACTGTGGATCACAGTGCAAACTCACCCTTCTACTCTGACCAATTTGCTATCAATCACATCAGCCAGAGCTAGAGCTAACTCTTTCTTTATATGCCCTACTTGTATGCCATAGACATTGTCAACTCGGACAGCATTTCTGTCATAGGGGTTGCGCGGTTCGCGCACAAGTGAAACCATTTCGTTGTTGTTCACTGTACCACGATAGTAGCGGATTCCAACAATGTCTCCTCTATAACCACCGATGCACATTTCATTGTCTAATTCATCCTCTGAGTCAAAAGAATCAGAAGACGTGGCCATCGTATGCCAAATGGAGAACCTACTTGAACGAACAACAGTGTGAAAACGCAAAACACGTTCACATCAGAATTCAAATGCTTGCGCCTTTGTCTTAATCGTGTTGCAAATGAGAAGACTGGTGAGGAACTGTTCCCAGCTCTTGCTCTTGGGTGTCGGCTGTACTAAGGGTGGGGAGGCACTTCCAAATTAAGAATACTCTGTCCGAAAGTGGTAGCACTTTCAGGGTACTAGTGTATGAAATGAAGGAATGTATGGGTTGAGCCATGGGAAAGGTCGGGAAGGTTTCCATTGAAACTTTTACCGTGTCTAACACCAAATCAAACAGGGTGATCCATGAGTACTTAGTTAATAGAAATGACATGGTTAATTCATAATTAGCCAAATCACTTGGAAATTTTTCATATCCTTATTACAAGATGTTTTAATTCAATGTTTCGGTTGATGTTATTTTTGTAGGCATATTGACGTAGTGCAATTTTTTAAGCGACTAGCGCTAAAGGATACTTTTTCTTAAGAGATTTAAGGTGGTACGAGACGGAGCCCAAGTTAGTGAATTCCAGTTCAATATTGGGGTGACCACTCTCTTTACGGCAGGCATGTTTAAGCGTAGATTTTCTGGGAACAACTTGAGAAATTTCCAGTGGAATCCTTAACCTTTACTGGGGTACTCTAAGATTCGTCAGAGTGTTAAACTCACATTAATCTACAGTATCGTGACGTGCAACAGTATTTCTCGTCGAGACATTAGTATAGGTTTTCACGCCGTTAAATTGTCGCCATCACGTCGGAGTCCCGGCTGGGGCTCCCTCGGGATTCATGGCAAATCTCTAGAAAGATGGAGCACTGTTCGCCTATCACTTATAACTATTGTTTCGAAATGACATAACTCGCCAAACTCTAACAAACTCTGACATGACTACACGACTCCCGTTCTCGAATATTTAAACCCCTCGACAAGAATGGCCGAGTTGAGGTGATTCGTGACAATGACCAGGCATCGCGCGTGCCAATGTCCTGTTGAAAATATGGGAGAATTTTCAACTCCCAAACCGAACTAGATCTGTATTAAGGGAGAGAGGGTAGGGGGCTGTTACATAAAATAAGTAGTTTAATAGTCTCAGATAGGTTTACTGAGCGCTCAGCAACTTGACGACAGGTTAGTCATGTGGCAACCATTTACCAGCTCAAATCTTAGATAATTAGTCTCAAAACCGGATGAACGACGTGGTAAACAAAAATCACCAAAAAATTACCTGAACTTAGGAACATTTATTGACCAGGAAGGAACAAGAGCACCATATGTGCATATCCTGCATTCTGTTCCTTATACATAAAATGTAAGAACCAATTTAGGTAACCATACAAAGCTGATACACCATACAGGCAGAGACAGCAAATACAGCAGATGTCAAACCCCACAAGTCTAAAAATTAAATACAAGTTTTTCTCTTTTTTCTATTTTAATCCAAAACTAGCATAAGCGTGTTGGATTCGGCATCTGCATTCTATCAAGTTGCACACAAACGCACGGATAAACAAAAAAAAATAATATATTTTTTCAAAATTCGTTGAAAACCAATAAGTTTTATTTAATATGACATATCCGGAGGTTTCGCACCTTTCTGGTCAGTACGATATGGTGATCATTACTTTTTTTGGTTTGAGACTTTTGCGATTTTTTTCCTTCTTTTGTTTGAGCAAAGCGCTGTTATTCAATTTGTTAGTTGCATTAAATGACGACTGGGCATCTCAGATAAGATCGGCCACATTCATTGGCATTTCTTCAATCTGTGTGTTGTAGAATGTTTCAATATCGCGTAATGTACGAATATCTTCATTGGTCACAAAGTTGATGGCGACGCCTTTACGACCAAAACGGCCGCCACGACCAATCCTGAAAGAGAATTGTGTAATAAAACTAGATAACTTCATTTGAATTCTGATTGCTAAGGTGAGAAATGCAGTAAAACGTTGATAGAAAAAATATATCTATTGAGTGGTGAGCCCAATGATGGAAAAGGCATTTGAGGTGGCCGTTTTTCCGCTTAGGGTTTAGTTACACACTAACATATGTTAAGACAACAACGTTACACAGACCCTTGCTTGGTCTGTGTGTGTCAAAAGACTACTTCTTTTTGTGAGAGCTTCATGGACTCTGCCAGGAGAAATATCCAATATGCCAAAAAACATGTCTCGTAAGGGGACAGAGAACATTTCAAGGTACATTTTTCTCTTTTGTTTCGTATCAAAAGTTCCTACAATACAACAATTATCTTCAAGGCGAGTTTGGACACCAAAATTAAGAGGCAACTTTGACCCCACAGACAAGTTGCTCAAAAGATATAGAGGATTATCATAGATTGCAAAGTCCAAACTTGAAAAATGTAGGTGGGATATCTATGGATAACAGACTATAATATGGTCCCTTTTAATAAAACCAACTTCAGGTGTCAAGTAGTTCAGAGGTGTTCACATAAACACTCACCATGTCAAAGCTAACAAACCAATCAAAAATGCAAAAAAAATTCAACTATTATGCTAAAAGTAACCCACCTATGAATATAGTTCTCACGGTTTCCAGGCAAGTCATAGTTGATAACCAACGAGACTTGCTGTACATCAATACCGCGTGCCTGAGATAAGAATGAAATTACATCACTTCATTAGCACTTGAATCTGGTGAAATCTTGGAAAAAAAATTTTATTCTCATTTAAAACAATATCAGTAAGTACTTACCAACAAGTCTGTGGTGATAAGCACTCGACTAGAACCAGAACGGAACTCCTTCATGATCACATCTCTCTCCTTCTGGTCCATGTCACCATGCTAAACACAAACACATGAGAAATTTATTAACAGAATTGGCATGACACTAGGTCAATGTGGAAATCTTTACACAAATAAAATGGCTCAGACCACCAAAGCTCAGCTTATACTGTTTCCTGAAGCTACAACTGCTCTTTCTTCACCACATCATTGTGCTGCAGAGGAGCACTATGCAATTACCTGTTACCCTAAAGGAGCAAAACACAAAGCCCAGTGATTACCAAGGACATACCATAGAGGAGACAGTAAAATCCTTCTCACTCATCCTCTGTTGCAGCCAATCAACTTTCCTTCTCGTGTTGAGGAAAATCACAGCCTGGGTGATTGTCAGTGTCTCATACAAGTCACAAAGTGTTTCAAGCTTCCACTCCTAATAAGGAACAGTAAAGAAAGAAACAATTAGGGGAAAAAAGACAGAATCTGGAAAAAAAAATACAATGCAAGAAAAAACAAAGACAAGTGGTGCTTGCAAACAAGACAATGCACTTTTCATTTTTACAATTTATTTCTTCCACTCAAAATGACCTAGCAACAAAGCAATGCAAACACAAAACAACCAAAAGGTAGTGCTACCAAAACAATTTCTTGGGTGCAGGTGTAGGGAATTCCCAATTGTGCAATACACCAAGACAGTGACAACTTACTTCTTTTTCCACCAGGACAAAAAACTGCTTGATACCTTCAAGGGTCAACTCTTCTTTCTTCACTAAGATTCTGATTGGATCACGCATGAATTTACAAGTCACATCCAACACATCTCTGGGCATTGTTGCTGATAGCAAAATAACCTGAAAAGCATAATCAGAACAAAGTTTAAGTTTTGGACAGAAAGTAAAAACCCCCCTCTCCAATTAGCTTTCAGATATCACGGACAAAGGTAAGAAGGTACATAATGTTGATAGAATTCTTCAGTAATGTGACACAGTGTCTGATACATATATGTATGTATACTTAACCCTTTGAATCCCAGAGGTGATTAACATGTAACTTCTCCCTATGATATCCATACCTGGGCGTGAAATTGCACCTAATACAGGCGCCAATGCACCTAAATTTTTCACTTTGGCGACCAAATCCTGAAAGTTAGTCACCAAATTGGCGACTAGAACATTTCATCATAACCTTACCAAGAGATATAGTGAATTAAAAAGATTTGCAAAGATAAATCCGCGGAAAACTTCCTCTTTAAGTTTGTTTCCAAAATGTAGCACATGCATCTCGATCGATAACTAAACGCCATCTTAGATTTTGATGAGCCTGAACGTTGTATATCATCCATCCTAGTGTCAACTTTGTAGCACGTTAAAGATATTTTCCCTAACTTAATTTTGGAGGGTCTATCTAGAATGCTGACAGCATAAAGAAAGATTTTGTTTGTCTTTGAAAATGGCGACCAACTTTTTTTGAATTGGCTACCACTTTAAAGAATTTAGGAGCCAAGTGGCTATCGGAAAAAAAAGTTAATTTCACGCCCTGCATACATTATCCAGCAAACAGATGATAAGAATACTCAAACTTGTTGGTGATCATTTCTTTTACTTTTGTTTCTTTAAAGTTTGATTCAAAGGCAATATTGCAGGGAAAAAATAAATGGAGGTCACTCTTACTGGTTTAAGGGTTAAATGACCATTCCCCCAATGGGGCTTTTCTGGGCCAATACCAATGAATTAACAGAGTTTTTAAAAACTCTCAGCTAGCAGGAAGCAGACCAGTCAGATATATGTAAAGCACAGCCACAGAGTTGAACTAGGGGCAACCAAGATCAAATTCAGCAAGTAGCAAGGTGGAGGGAAATGGTTACAGATAGGTGACCAAATGTTGACACTTTTTTTCATTTATCATACCTGCACACTAGTGGGCAATTTCCTAAAAATATCATATATCTGATCTTTAAATCCTCTTGACAACATTTCATCAGCCTCATCTAAGACAAATATTTTGATTTTGTCTGTATCTGAAAAATAAAAATGTTGCTCTATCACAACAAATTATTCAAAGTCCAACCGAAAAAAAAAGATTTGTAAATAGAATAAAAAAAGATGGTAAGTTTTTGAGCTTGGTAAAGCAACAGAGAAGGATGTTTTTTTCATCTTATACAAGCATGGGACAAAGAAAAAATTCTGAGCCCCTATAAGGAATTGAACCTCAGACCATCAGATCCTGCACTCTGATGTTCTACCACTGAGCCACAGAGACTCTATGATGAGCAAGGTCCATGATGAGGTTCAAATATGGTATATGTACTGAGTACTGCTAGGATCAGCAATGTTGCTAATGTCATGTTTTGTAAATAGAATAAGAGAGATGGTAAGTTTTGAGCTTGGTAAAGAAATAGAGAGAGATGTTTTTTTTCTGTCGAGTAACAAGACAAAAAAACATCTTCCTCTGAACAAAACTTTACTTCCCAAAGAGACTGTGGAGATACTAGTCTTGCACATAACAAGGACATTTTTTTGGTTATTTGGCCCAAAACAAAGTTTGTACTAGTTTAAGTTACTTTCTCAAATCATAAGGTTAGAAATACATGTATTTATTGTCCATCTAAATGTCAGCTAATTTGAATAAAGGTACCAAGTTTTGATGCTAGCAATTTAGGACTTACTCAGGTGACTTCTGTTGATCAAGTCAAACACTCTGCCAGGAGTTCCAACAACAGAGTGCACACCTTTGCTTTTATCTTTTAAAGCCACAATGTCTTCATGGACACTGGTTCCACCAATACAGGCATGGCATCTGGCATCCATGTAATCACCAAGGGCAACTACAACCTTTTGAATCTGTAAACACAATGAATGAATTACTGAAATTACTGTTGCTGGGTTGATTTATCAACAATTGTATCAGCAACTAAAAGAAAAAAAATAAATGTTCCTCGAATTTTATGTCCCTAAAAGAAACTTCCTGTTAAATCTGGAGAAGTTTATGAATGTCTTAATACCCAAAACAAGCTGCAGAGAGCTATGGTTGGTACAAAAGAAACACAACATAACTTCTGAAGTGACACATGAAAAAAAATCATAACTTCAATTAAAAAAACAGGCAAGAATAATTGCTGTTCACTTTTATTGTTCTGTTGAATGAAGAGAACCTTTGAGAGATCATTTGCAAAAGTCAGTTCCTAATTTTGAAATTTAAAAAACAAACAAAAACAAAACAGACACAATATTACCACCTCCATGTAAAGTTTAGTTTGTGACATTCCCTTCAACAATTTCTTACAAAAGGAAAGTGCTTCCCCAACCACAAAACCATAAACAATCATGTAACAGTGATTTGATTTTATACCTGCTGTGCTAACTCCCTGGTTGGTGCCAACACAAGAGCCTGACATTCCAGTAAAGACACATCAATCTGCTGCAAGATTGAAATGGAGAATGTGGCTGTTTTTCCAGTACCAGACTGGGCTTGTGCAATAACATCAAGTCCTAGAAAACAAGACATCAATATGCAACCCATGAATACATTATCTCTGCAAGCTAACTGATGCACAAACAAGGTACACTTTATCTTTCATGAGAAGTCTCAAGACCAACGCCCCCCCTCAATACTCTTCCTTTGTTAGCCTCAAGATGAGAGAAAGCCAACGGTGGCCCAGATTTAAAATAGGCAAAAAGTGACACCCCTTAATGTTTTGGTAACCCTCTGATAAAAAGTGACACTCCTTTGTGTTTTGATGACTCTTTATTAGTGCATTGTAAGTATTTCTCATGCTTCATACAAGCACTAAACTACACTTCATCAAAGGAAAATTTGCTTTTAACCCTTTTACTCCCAGAAGTAACTAACATGTAGCTTCTTCCTATAATTTCTAGACACTATCTTGCAATCTAGCAAACAGGTAATGAGAATACACAAACTTATCCAGTAAAAGTTGTTATCTTGATCAAACACCAAATTCTGGTTAAAAATAATCCTTATCTTGTATATTTGGATAGGGTTCTTTCTTTGAAGGATTCCTACTATTATTTTGTAAGCAAGAGTCCCATGACTGTCTATACTGAAAAATAGGGCCATTTAACAGCTGATAAAGATAAGCCCATAATTTGCTTTGAAAAGAAAACTCAGATTTCTATGCCTTATTCATTGTAGAGCACATTCAAGAAACTTCAACACAGGTAACACTAAGGCTGCAATAACCATTAGAATTTCCAGCCTCTCTACTAATAGCCTATTTGCTTTGCAATGTTGAGATTGTTTCAATATAACATTTCCACCACAAAGGCCACAGAAAGTTTTATGCCTAATGTAAGCAATCTTTCAAATTTCCAAAACAGGTGGTTTGTTTTCACTTTCACTTGAAAAATCAGTTGCATGAGATCTAGACTTAAACATGTTTCAGGGAATCAATACTGAACACTGCACATTTCCACAAGCAGGATCACATCTAGACTAATTACATGTTTCAGAATGTTACAAATCCACCAAAGAATCCAATCATTTCACTGAACCCCAATTTTTGATTCAAAAGGTTTACATCCAGCCTAAAAATATGCTTTACAACTAGATACAATCCACCACGAAACTGCTAATGTTGCGGAACACTGCACATACTCACAGTTTCACATCTGTAATTTGTTTAGGCTATCCACCCAAAAACCTGATCATACTACCAATCACTGCACATTAAGACTTACAGCTTTGCACCTAGACTACAAACATGTTCCAAATTTTTCCCCCTTAAACAAAAATGTTCCCAATTCACAGTGCAATACACATTTAAACTTGCAAATTCATATAGACAGAAGACAAGTTTCAAAATGTTACACATTCTACCCAAAGTCTTGATCATTAACCAAATGCTGCACCATGTTGACTAACAAGAATAGAATGTAGAAGAATCCGAGTTTCAACATGTTGCAATTTATCACTCCTGCATACATTCGTATGTTTGCTGAAAAGTGGTCACTGTCGTGATCAAGAAGGAGCAATTCAAAGTTGTGTTCTATGCTGATTTACAGAAATGATCTGGTTTGGGGCTTACCCCAAAATAACTAATTCAAAAAGTCTTTTTGAAAACTTGATGTTCATTTTTTACTGAAATACGAAACTTATTTTCAGAGAACTTTCACCAGTCAGTTGACTGTAAGTTGAAATTGCCCATTATTTAATTCTTAACATTTTACTTCACGAATCACATCGCACACTTGTGCGCTCCTATGTACTAGTTAAATATACATCTTTTGGAAAAAAATTAACCTCAACATTTTCAGCGACAAGACAAAGATTTCTACAACAAAGCGACAAAATGCTAAGAAAGACTACTGCGCTTTTCAAATTAATCCACTGACTTACCTTTACCTAAGCATTGGATTTCTCTTTTCACAGCGCTTCCACTAACAATTCAGTGTGATAAATTTTTAAAAGATAACACTGTGCAAGTGATGGTTGATCATAATTTTTTTCACTCCAAGGAATACTGAGCACAAAAGGACAGTAGTGAACCCCGATCCTCCATAAGTTATTTATTACAGTTAAAACTGATCATAAAATACTGCTTTGATCAGGATGAACGTATGGCACTAACCTTTACAACAAGGTATGATAGCTCTCTGTTGAATTGCTGAAGGTTTTTCAAACCTGAAATCGTAAAAATGTCGTTGATGTTAGGTTTACGCTAATGCTTGATTTAATTCAACGAAGATCTATTCGTCTATAATGAATTGAATCGAGCAGTTGTTGGCAAAGTAGACACTCACCCGTAAGCATAGATGCCTCGGAGTAAATTTTCTTTCAGGCCCATGTTATCAAATTTGTCAACAACTTCGTTCCAGTTAGTCTGAAGTATAAAAAAAATAGAACTGTAAGAAATTGACAATAAAATTTACTCAAAAGCATGAAACAGGAAAGACAAAAAAATTCAGCTTTGTTTCACACATGTTAGACTTTGAACGAACCTCGATATCTCCGTCCTGTTCCATTCCTGGTGGACCATTTTGCTCGTCACGACCCCGGTCGGAGTCAGGATTTCTATGAAAAATTTTCAGACACCATAAGAGAAGAATCATAAGAGTTACGCAAGAAAAATGCTCACCAGCCGACTGAAACACGTGGTTCAAAATGGCGGTCGGTGGCGAAAAATTACAATTTGAAGACGCAATTTCCTCTCATCGTTAAGCATCCTAAGCTAGCTTCTTCATTTAAATTATAGCAGCTAAATTGCGCCTGAACTTATACTGCAACAGATGAAAGGGCTGAGAAGAGAAATCCATCACAGAATAACGAAAAACCAACCTAGTATCAGCGTAAGAGTCGTAAGACATGTCGCATGAGATAAGCAGCGGGAAAAGGAAGAAAATTGTTAAGAGCCGGCAGATAGGGGGGTGAATGAATTACCCTAATAGTACCCTATGACGTCACTTGACTTCCGGAGACTAGTCACGAATATTTCTAATTTTAACAAAGTTGTTTCTAACAACATTTCAAGATCACGAGAATTTAGACAGATTTCTCATTTTCAAAAATTTATTCTTGAAAAATATATCCGTCGGAACTCAGAGAAGAGGTGAATTTTATAAACGTGATTCGCGAAATGATCTTGGGTGATTCAAATTCATGTGAATAAGGAAAATGCAGGGGCGACCCTCTTAAAAGATTAAGAGGCTGTATTGTGCCGATAAGTCCTTGGTACTACATACTCTGGTTAACTTTTCATGATACATGACTTGACTTTAAACTCAAATTTATTCTATTGGAAATAAGTTAGGTCTGAAAAAGAAAATTATATTAAAAATTCTGGTTGCTATGACCCCATCGAAGAAGGTCAAACAGCTAAAAAAAGACAATGAAAAGCACGTAATTTATCGGGTCAAGTTCAAACTCTACAGCCTCCTGCAACTACCAAACATGATACAGCACAGACGGCTGAGTGGGACACAGCCCATGGGAAGAGGGTTTTTTCAATGAAGTATTTGATGCACTGTATAACAATGCAAACCCCCACCCCCACAAAAAAGTGTTTATAACATGGCTGGCGGTATTTTTTTTAGAGGGGCACCTTTTTTCAGAAATTTAAGTTTAGAGAAGAGCGCAGATGACTTTCATCTATTGCAAAAAAGGGTAAAATAGTTCTAGATACAAGTTCCTCGCAGGTGAGCGACAATTTAAGTGATGGCGAAAAGAACCCTGAACGGAAAAAAAATTCAGGCTTCGATGGGGTTCGAACCCGTGCCTCTCATACACTAGTTATGAAAATTGTTTCAATAAAAAAATCTGATCATTTTCTTTCTTGCATTCATTTTTTTTAGTGCCTCACCTCAACCAAAGGGTTTTAAAATCCGTATTTCCATCGTTAACTAGGCGATTTGTGCGCACCTTGTGAATTAAGTCACCTCCGTGTTTAAAACATATTTGGAATGTGTATCTCTCTGGTTTAATTTTGTAAATAACCTTAAAGGTGTATGTGGAGCGGCTTAGGCGAAGCTTTCGTCCAAAAACACTTTGCTTAATGCGACTCTTTCTCCATGAGACTGCAACTACAACTGATCACGATCTTCTTTTTTCCTACTTCATCGTTTCAATATTTACTATCATTAACATTATGGTTATCAAAATTATTATTACATTTTATTATTTTCTATATTTTTCCACTCAACCGACAAACCCAGCAGAGAAGGAATTACGACTTGTCAAAGACTATTTTGAGTGTAGTTAACCTTTATGATTGGGGCTGTGGATCCGTATAAAATCCTCTCCTTTTTGAGAAAATTATTCAATAATCACATGGTTCCTTCTTCTTAGTTCAGCAAGCAATATTTTATAGAACTTCCTGTAAAACAGGAAGTTTTTTTAGAAAAAAACATAAACCGAACGAGTTTCTCCCTAAATGGCATTTTGATTCGATTGACCGGAAGCCCAATGTCTTTCCTATGACCGGAAACCGCCGAATGAATATTGAAATTTATGGACTAATTTGGAGTGTTCTATCTCTAACGCCCTTAAAGAAGTTGTATAAATAAAGTATAAGCATTTCTTTTGTACAATAAAGAATAACTAAGTTAACCAAGACAGTAATCACACCTCTACCAGAGACAATTTTCCAACCTTATACACATTACGGTGGCCGTTCTACATTACAAATTCGGTTGATAAAACCAAATGACATTTCAGATCTCAGAGTTATAAGGCAGTTGTTTAATAGTTACTCATTTACAATGGAGGTCCTTGGTAAGGATACTGTTTTGAATTTAGCAGAAAAAGTCACAAAGACAAAGCAGTGGAAAGCAAAACTTAATGAAGGAAGTAAGGTGGTAATCAACACAAGAGGAAAACATTGGAAAGAAAATACAGCAAAGGAAGCCGCAAGGAAATTGAAACCAGAGGTGAAAATGAAACATATTTTCGTGTTAATTATTCCAGCAAAAATGAAGCCTTTTTCTATCAAATAGTGTCGAATCCTTTCAATTTTTAAATAGATAGTTAAACTTCCTTCGCAAACGAACAAATCATCCCAAATGCGACTGGCAGTTTAGACAGGTATCGTGCTCGTACGAAATTTGATGAAGTGCACGGTTCGTTTGTGTTTGATGACTATGCTCGCGTTTTTAAGTCAAACTAAATTGATAACTATGGGAACACTTAAATATTTGTCACCTTTGCGATCGAGGTCTCTTTTACTCTTGCTAAGCCCAAAACACGTATTAACTTTATTTATAAAAGTTCTACCTTGAGACAGTATTTCCGCACGAGAGATTAAGAAACGACGATGCGAATGAAGATTGTAAATTTTAAGCCCGGTGGTTTTCAAGTGAAAGATGTTGTTATTTAGTGAATGACACAAGCACACTCGGAGAGAAAGAACTCTATCCGAGTGCTCCTAAGAGGAGTCAAACTCACAACCTCCCGATTGTACTTCGGGTGCTCTACCACTGAACGAAAGTAGACTCGTGACAGGCCGGTTATGGGCCGTTTAACTAAGACCATGGTGTCAAACTTCCTTCATACAGCCAGGATAGGAGTTTCGATATGTAATACCTCTGCGTAATTAAGATGTAGGTAAATAAAGATGGTACATTTTAATTCTGGTGATTTTCAAGTAAAAGACGATATTAATCAAGATTTAGGTTCCCGTGCGATATTTGGTTTGTCTCAATTTTCCAAGTTCAATTAGTTTCAATCCGTGTTCATCTGCAACCATCCTCACTTCTTTTTTTGTGAATTTCCGCTTAAGACGTAAAAAGGAAATTATATTAATTATCAGTGTATGTATGTATTATCAGTAGCCCCGTAATGGGCTCCTGGTATTATTTTCACCTGACATAATACATGCAGTCGAGATACTGCGGTTTATATTCTCTTTATGCAGTTCTGCTTCACTTCGGCCTCGTTTACCTCAGGTATTTTATGTAGTTCTATGTAAATGCTTATCTTAGATATGCATGTCGTTTTATTTCAGTGGAAAGAGCTTATCAAGGTTCCCACGCATTTAACCACACAAGAACCAGGCCGTGAGGACAATGTGGTGTCTAAGGTGCTGACTCTGTTCCAACAAGCGACATCTATCTGTAGTTTAGAGGCAGAGCTGATTTTTAAGGATTATTCAGTGACCGTGAGAACATCTGGTGGACATGTGCAATTCGCTCGATGCCGCCTCATTCTAGACACGGAGAAAGGTAAAATTAAGTTCAAAGTCCTCAAGTCGGCCGCTCTTGCCCTGGTGGTACCTGGTGCCGTGACCAAAGCCGTGCTTGCTTTGAACACCGCCCTTAGTTGTCTTCCTCTTCAGACCAAGTCGTCAATTGTCAAAGCGTTCGATGCCATCTTCAAAGTGCTCACAGCCGGGAGCTCCATAGATGACGTTACGACTCAGGATGACGTCAGCAACGACGAAATGTTCGAAGACGACGTCATCGATCCGGAAAAAGCTCCGAATGAGGCAGCCTTCACTGCCCCTTGTAAGTTGTTTTCTACGATCTTAAAAGTGGATGTTGAGATAATATGCCCAAGAAATGTGGTCGTGGAGTTCAAGAAAAGAGAGATCTTAGCTGCCTTGAGGAGACAGAGAGTGGTTCTGGATGCGAATCAAAGTCTGCAGATCATCAAAGAACCCCGCGTAATTTTAAGAGGGAAACAAGTCCAGGCAGCAATGACAGCTCTAGCCTTATGGGTTTCGTCTTGTTCGCAATTTAACGCTTGGCAAAATACTTTTGAAGTTGTGAAATGCTTGCAGAAAGCCCGCCCTTAAACGCACTGAACGATCAAATGATAAAAAGGCTTTTTACAAGCACAATGATAAAAATTTTGTGATTCCTAGCTGTTTACCCATGTTAAACTACGGCACTAAATTGTTTTTTTTTTCTTTTCCGTTGTTGCGTTTTATTTCGTTCAGCGACCCCTCACCAGAAAACATTTCTAATAAAAGCCGCGAGAATTCTATTTATGCTTTTTGGGCGATGCAGCGATGAAATCCCTGTAAATTTTGTAATGTAGTTTATTCTCCCAGCAGGATTGGTTTGGTTTGTGTTATTGGAAAAGGACGAGAGAGAGAATTTTATTTCTGTCAACGTTAAGTTGTTGTACTGAACAATGCGTCTTTTTACGTAACACCAGTGCACTACTCCGCCTATGTCACGCAGTGCTCATTTTTTTCGTAATCGAAATGAATGAGTAACGGTAAAATAAGAAGGCCGAACTTCACCCGATCTTGACCCAATGTCACTTATTGTTTATTTCGGAGTATCTTCGTAATTCGACATTTGCACTAAAGATAGCACAATTAAGAAAGAAGAATACTTTAGAAAGAAATTATTCCGTGCCTAAATGATCCAAAATGTCATCTTGTCAGTTCTTGCCGTGGCACTACAGAAGACAATAAAAAATCTCACAATCATTTCAGGAAGGCTGAATAATTGTTTTGTTTTGTTTTTTTGATTAAAAATAAAATTTTCCTTGCAGAAATATCTTAATAGGCGTGGTCGGCACATCATGAAAACTTAAAGGACAATTTTTCTTTAAAGGGCATGTAAACCCAAAAATACATGTTTTTCTTATACTATGTAAAAAGTGGCGTAGAAGACGAATTTGAAATTCGTTTTGTCCAATTCGACTTATTTTAGGAGAAAATCGGTATTTTCAACTGAAATTCCATTTCCGGTAAAAACAATAGCAAGAAGTCGTGACGTAAGCGGTAGAACTAAAATATTGCGCAACACATATTCCCCAGTAGAACTGGTGTGGGAGTTCGTGTAAGTAGCGGTAGTTTGGAAGATGTTTTTTTAGAAGATAGCGACTGGAATGCCTTAAGCTTAGTAATACCCCGCAACTGAAATGAACTTTCAAATCCTGCTACCGCAGTACCGCAGTCCCGCAGTCGACATAATTTACATACTATGTATATATAAACCTCACGAAATATACCGCTTTTTGCTTGGTTCACCTTGTTGGTCCGTGCTACCGCAGTCCCGTAGTCAAAATAATTTACATACCAAAGCAAATGAAATGAACGCTAATGAACACAACGCAAAGCGTGCTACACATGAATATTCCTCGTTCTTTTATCCATGTGCCGAAACAAGCAAGTTAAACATGTATATACCTTGTTCTATTATCCATGAGCCGCAACGCAAAGCGTGCTACACATGAATATTCCTCGTTCTTTTATCCATGTGCCGAAACAAGCAAGTTAAACATGTACATACGTTGTTCTATTATCCATGAGCCGAGACAAGCATTTGCATATTTCTCGTTTTACGCAATGCCAATTTTTCAAACGCTTTGAAAAATAATATATTACAACTTTTTTGCCTTATTAACATCATAAATTTCACAATTACAAATTTATACAACTTCTTGGCCTTATTTACATCATCTAATTTAACTTCAACCACAATTTATAACAGAAACCGGTGCAAGAATAATAACGAAGCTCATCGAGGCACGATTAACGATTCAAAACTTTGTCGAAAATTGTCTATTACACTTTAAGGAGATAATGTTCTACATTTTTTCGAATATTGTCTAATACACTTAAAGAATTAATGTTCTCTTGTATTGATGGCATACACTTTCTTTACATCGTTCAAAAAAACCCTAAACATATCTTCATCGCGATGCATGTATCGCCAAATGAATTTCGCCAAATACGTGGAGAAAAGGTGCTTTCGAACACCAAACTTAGGCAGATTCGACTTGGCATGCCTCCATTGTCCTTCAATTTTTATTGGTATGATCACCGTCTTTGTTCACGAATTCTACAGAGTGGTTCACTGTTTGGTGTTCGCCTCGAGTTTGGAGTACGCTTTCCAGCAGTCCGACACTATAATTGTTCCCGGTTCAATCCAGTCTTGAATAATGGGCAACAGTGTGTCTTCGTCTCGCTTCTCGACTGCCACCAGAAAACATTTCCTGCTTTCCTCCTCTATACCTCCAAGCACCCACTGCCCTTCAACGTGATGTCCTCTGTGGTACTTTCTTTTGTCAAATTTACTTTCGTCTATCTGAACAACCTTTCCTTTTCCGCCTAGTTTTTTTCGCTATATCAAGAAGTGTTATTTCGCATACTTCGCGACAGAAACTGTCCCAGTCCACCCCCGTGCTTATTCATCCACTACGGGACTGCGGAACGGAGGTAGCACTTAAATTATACACTTACCCCCTAACTTATTCATCCACTACGGGACTGCGGACCGCGGTAGCACTTTAGTAAAACACTGCGGACCACGGTAGCACTTAGCTTAATACTTATTCATTCACTTCGGGTCCGCGGACCTGTAGATTTAAAGAGGGCGTGTCAGTTGCGGGGTATTCTGAAGTTGCTCCTAATCCAGAATCTTCAGGAGAGTCTGGGACACGTCCCTAACAATATGAGCCGCTTAGTGTTCACCGAAGCGATCCGTACGAAGACAGTACAGAACATGTTGACAGCCATGCGACCTCCTCGGAAACTCAGACTGGTATTTAATTTACTGTGTGATTTATTTGTATTTGACATGAAAATCCAATAAAGCGAGGGTACAATCTAAAAGAATGCAACAGAAATTTTTTAAACTTGAGCTTCTGAGAGTGTTTTATATAAAATTATGAAAGGTGCGAGCGTGGAACTTGTCAACCAATGCCGACAACTCATGAAAGTGTTTGTTGTACGGAAATCGGGCAATTGTGGCAAAAAGTAGAGTAGCAAGGGCCTGAAACCCAGATAAGTTGTATCACTGAGCATCCAGGTTTTCAGTCAATTTGCCTTGATTTCTGGGTGCTGGAGACGGCCAATTACGCGTACAGGCAGCAGCAAGGCACAGATAATCACACCGGAAACGAGTAAGCTAAATGTTTTCTGTTTCATCTGTTTTGTTACATTTTGAGATCGATTTGTTTGGGTTGTTTCTGCCATTGATTTAATAATACAGTACTAGAGCTAGTTGTTTTTCGCTTCTTTCCTGGCAGGAAATTTCGCTAAATTGCCTACAGATAGCTTGTTCGTTGGTGTTGGGAATATCTCGGCAAACACTTCAGGGTCGCTGTGCCATCTTGTGCGGTAAACAATATCCGAAACATTTTTCCAGCGGATTTTGGATCGCCTTACACTGGATTAAAACCGCCAAACCTTTGAGAGAAACAAAGGTATATGTTAATGCAGACCTTAGTTATTTATTTTTTACAGCACTGGAGGTTGTGCCCGTTCTTTATGAGATATTTATTTATTACTTTCCTTCATCTCCGAAGCACTTCCATCGATAAACAAGTTGTACCATATACATTTCCTTGTGTGGCCTTCATAATTATGCAACCCTGTTTGTGTTTGCTTCGATTTGAAATACTGAAAAGATAGCTTTGCAAGCTGGAATCAGGATCTTTTAAGTTGTACTCAAAATGATGAATATTGTCCTACTGACCTTTGAATGTATTTTCATTGCTGTAAAAATCGTGACACAAATTCTTCTTCTGTTTCTCTGTAGGGTTTCTCAAAGGAAGCACCAAGTGGGGCTGGCAAAGATTTTCTCATAGAACATAAGGGTTGATTATGGGATCCTGTATAGAATTCTTTGCATCGAACCAACAAAATTCCAGATCACGTTATTACACACTGGCATCAACGAATTCTCTTTCTTTGATAAGTGTTTCGAATTCAGGCAAAGGATCAGAAGGGTCAGTGTCTTTTATGGGCTCAGCGCTGGCTCCCGAACAACTGGCTTCCCCATAATCTTTCATTAGATGAGAAAATAGATGTTTTTAGAGAACCAATAAACTATCATTGTTTAATTAACGAAACGTTTTCATGTAAATCGAATCGTTGACCTCTAACGTTTGAAGAGCTCAACTTCTTTCTCAGTTCGGTCGGCCACTTCCGAATCCTCGTCGTCTACCGACTGTATGGGTCGTTTTTATACTTCCGAATAATTTGCTTCTAGTAAGGCCTGAATCGTCGGTAAAGCACCAGGAAGAAAAATGACTGCTACAAACAACAGAATGTTCGAACGGCTCGACGAAATCGACGAAATTTGTCGCTTCAAATTTGCGTCATTTGGAAATATTTGCATTGTATGCCCAGTTTTGTTTGAATCAGTACAAAACTGGACGACACAACGCTTTACCATTACGAAAAAATTGAATATTTTGAAGCAAAATGTAAGTAAAAAAAATCATGACGAGACCGGCAAACAACGGCTGTAGAAAAGACTCCTTCGTGCCTCAAGTGATTATAAAACGAGACTTTGAAGGGTCCACCCGTGACGTCACAGGAAAGATGGCGCCATTCAAGAAGGCGAATGTTTCGAATTTGGAAGAGCTTTTACAAAGTGAAAATGGACTTTTGAGAAAAAACGAATGGTACCTTTGGTGTACTTGATATATTTACTAAACATCCATGTGGAAAGAAAATGAATGTTTTTTGGGTTTACATGCCCTTTAAAGTGAAAGCGTTTTACATTTTGAATCAGCGCATTATTCCCAGCAGATAAAAAGATATAATTGTTTCGGTTCTTACCGTGACACAACAAAAGCTGATAAAAATAAAAAAATTACAAATCTTCTCTAGCACCGTCTTCTAGCATCATTACACAAACTCTAGGTCTTCCTAATACTACAAAAATTGTGCTACATTAGTGGCAACATGCATTCTTAGTTAGACTGCCACAAGAGTCCGATTTTGGATTTTAGACACTTATGTCCAATTTCCTGGATACAAGGGTCTGATGTTGGATTTTGAACATTAGGGTCCGATTTTGGATTCTTGACACTAGCTTCCATTTTTGGATTTTGGACATTAGTGTCCGATTTAACAAGAAAATTTAGGTTTTGGAGCCTAGAGGATAGGGTAATCGTTAAGCTTTTGAGCTTGCCCCTTTAACTTATTAATATATTACTATTTTTATCATAATGAATATTGTTGATGCGATAATTTGTTACTTTCTAATTTTTCCGGAAAAGTTTCGAAAAAAATTTAAAAGATTTGACTGTAATACAACCAGCTATATTAACCCGATGTATTTTTAAAGCATGCGATCAAGACTTCATTTTATCAATAATAAAGTACTCTATACCTATAGTTTTCAAGCCTTTGCATTATATTGGATATGTTTTGAATCGTTTCTGTTGGAAGGTTCGATTGCTTTGCTAAATTACCAAATGCTCTCTTTAATTTTCAGTTTCTTAGAAAAGCAAACAAATAATCTTTCATTTTCCGCCTCTTAGAAGAAAAGGGGAAGTTTCATTTGAATTAGTGGAGGGGGGGATAGGGGGTGATAGTTCGGAATGACGCTAGCGGGGGACATATTGCTGCAACTACTCGCCTCGTTTGAGATGACGAAATTCTGACACGGGAATTTCACCCCTGGTGAACTCGTACAGAACTGTTCAGTCACTTGCTTTGGAGTCAAT